TAGCTATTACTATTGTAAAATGACATTATTTATGTGGCAATTGCATGTAATCTAATGAAAGGTCCTCACCTTGTATGTATCCAACGATTGTTCTACAAAGTTCTTTAAATTTGTATAGAAATCCTCATAGAGTGATGGGTCTCCTTCACTGAAAATTTACCAAAATACAACACATCAAACAGTATAATCAATCATATTTTCAAGTGCTATAAATTTTTTTCTTGTATGCTACAATGCTATATAACATGTAACATGCACTGCTCATACTAATAGCATGCAACATGTGCAAAACAAATTACCTCTTGTATGCAGCCAGGGCCTGTGAAACTTCTGAAGCATTTTGTGACTGCTGTTCTTTGGGAACATCATCATCTTGGATATTTGCCTCTTTCTTTAACAGAGTTTCAGTTTCCTAGGAAAATGTATGAGGGTATCTTTTAATACATTTTTCATTTCAAATATGAACTATAAAATTCGTTTTAATACAGTTAAAATAATAATTTAAGTTTTTGTAATTTTTATATGTTGTCTTTTAATCTCAAGTTAAATTTTATATTGCTTATTGTATAGTGATTAATGAACCTTTAAGTCAGGAAACAAGTTCAAGTAACTCAACTTTCTGTTTCTGTATCTGTCCATATACGTCTAAAGAGACCAATACTGGTATGAAATAGACGGGTAGGAGAGAGCGCATGGGAAACTTAGTCAAATAGTAGTCCTGTGAGTGTGTGTGAGTGTTTGTGAGAGAGAGAAAGAGAGAGTAAGAGAGAGAGAGAGAGATCACCTTCAGATTGTTCTTGCGAAGGTACTGCAGCACTGCATATAGCGTCTGCTTATCTGTTGAACTGCCATTTGTCGACGCACCGTTTGCCGCTTGGGGCTGAGTTTCGGTGCTGTTGCCTTCCATATTGAGCTAAGTTTGGCCTCGATTTCATTATTTCTTTACTCTTCAAACTTATGCAGTGCCAAATGAAAATTAATCAAATTTGATATAAAAACAAAGAAAGAACCATAAGTAGTATTTTCAAGCATCTTTGAAATGTTTAAAACTCTAAAATGCACAACTAATTTTCAGAGGTCAGTTGAAATAGGTCAAGGTGACGGCCTCTTTAACCGCCATCTTTTACCAGGTGAGGTCCGTACCAGAGACTGGGCATAAGAATCTGTCAAAATCTACCTTAATTGGTGTGCATCTCTTCTTGAAGTTACATCGATGACTTAATTCACTCTTTATTTGTTTTTTCAGATCCATCTGATACAAGATGAGGGCCAAGGTAAGTAGAAATTGAATCTGGCCTACTGTGTTAAACGTGTGGGTATTGGTCGTATTCTTGTAATGATTTGTCAGACAAGTGCTTTTAAGTGACAACCTCCAGACTGTTCAGTTTTGTCGTTAAACGTATGGTTTAACAGTGACTTAGATTTGTAGCCGATATGATTTAATCACGAATCTGATCAAGTGTTGTACTTATCCCCTTTTGTCAAGAACATTGTAGTTAGTAACGTTGCGAAATGTAATTACTGGATTACATTCATTCACTTGATTTTATCTAAGTTACATATGAAAGCATTTGATCAGTATTTCCTGTTTAAATGTTTTCTATCACTTGTCCTATATAAAATCTATGGCAGTATCAGCAGAGCAATGCGCCGTTCATGGGGTTCTACTGATTACTGGAATCCATTGATTGACGGGAAACGACCAGAATCAAGTACTGAAATTATGTACATTATACATTGGATTCTGTCTGTCTGGAAAGTTCTTTGAAAAGTGCTACTGCCGAAAGGGCGATATCGGATAAAAGAAATTGGTTGCTGCCTTACTTTGAGAGACCACTGATTTCAACTACTATTTTTGATTCTGAAGTAGTACAAAATATTTTCTGTAGTATGGCAAGCATAACATGAATCCAGAAGACATAAAATTGTGAATTACATTTTATTGTTGATTCCAATAAGTTAAGACTTGATTCCAGTAATTAGATGGACTGCTGTTTATACACCTTCAGCTTCAAGAGTGATTTATTTCTGTTTACAGTGGAGGAAAAAGCGCATGAGAAGGCTCAAAAGAAAGAGAAGGAAGATGAGAGCCAGGTATGAGCATTATACCTTATTGATTACTAATTATATAGCAGCACATAACCTTAATGTGCTGACTAGTTTGTCTTTCAAGGGGAGAGAAACTCAGACATGGGGAAAACTTTGGAGGTGTTAAAGGTTTGGAGGATCTGCACTACAAGAAATCTGCAGATCCTTCCAATTCTGTGCTGGTCCAAACGAAGTATTTTATATCCATCGGCTCATGTTAACATGTAATTTAATATGTATTGTATTTGTACATTAACCTTGCCAGTCCAAAGGACCTGTGGTGTCAAAATTCCTGCAGGTCCTCTGGGATTTCTAGCGGCCAAGACTATCCAGATGTACATTTTCCCTATGACTGGAAATTTTTCATTTAAAGAGAAAACTTGTATTGAAGATATTTTTAGTTGATTGTAGTTTAGATTTTAAGCAGGCATACAAAAAGGACAATTAATTAATTACTTGCATTCAAACCTACTGATGTGTTTCATAATTGACGCATTTACAGCAATCATTTCATCATGTTGCACTTTTCATTTGCAGATCTAAGTAGATTGGCCTTTCTGCTTTTGAAGAATAACAACCAGAAGTTATTGGACAGAGTGGATCCTATCCAGATTGTGGTCCTTTGAGATGAGCAGCAGTTAAACTGACTCAGTGCATGAATTCTTATTCAGACAGATAGTACCAAATATGCAAACTGCATAGGGGTATATATTGAAAAGCTTCAAGTTGAGAAGCTGCAAACGAAATGGAAAATTTCCTGAACTGGGACCAAGTGAACTAGCAAACTAAGATCGTGTCACTTTGATGGCCAAGTTGTCAGTAAATGGAACTTCTGGATGTTGTTTTTCTCTTATTTGTGTACAGATGTGTTTGCAGTAAAACAATAAAAACACACTTTACTTACGAATTGATGATATCTGTTTTTTTTATTTTCTTGGTATATTTTCTGAAGAAAAAATTTTCCGTGCCTTGTTGGGCTATATCTATGGCAAGGAAAATGTCTGTTGGACTGCAGAAATTGTCAAATTGAAAATTTAAAATTTTTTATGTTAAACATTTTTCAAGTTTTACCTGACTTACCGATTTGACTATCGTGATCGTTTTAATTTGATCTTTTTGTGGGATACTGTTATTAGGTGGTTAAGTACAACTTGACCCATATAAAGGATTTCAAAACTAGAGTTTTGTTGCATTGACCACCTTATGACAATGATGCATTACATTTTTCATACCAAGAAGCGTGAATGTAATTATTCAGTTCATGACTGCTTGGTTGTGATGAGGCTGGTCAATTTTTATTGCACAAATGTTTATGATGACATTTGAGAGACTGCCACTATGCAACTGTTTTCAAATGCCTTACTAGGATTATTCGATTAAAAAAACATTGAGAGCGCATTTTTTTTTTCAAATTTGTCTTTGAACAGCTTATCATCCCTTGTGTCGAGTGGTATGAAAAGTTAAATCGTGTGATGCTAGCTAATCGCGTGGAATTTTACAAATGTGTTAGTTGAGCTTGAAAGCTGAGATTTCCACACATTTCTTGAGAAGATTGTGTTGGTTGAGACAGAACGCGCTACGTAAAACATTGTATTTTATTTCCTCATCTCACGTCTACAGAGTAATATCAATCGAAGCAAAATCTTTTCCACTATGGAAACACTGCAGCAAATGTCAGAGATGCAAATAAAAACCCTTAAGTTTTAATTAGGCACGTAGTGGGGCCATTTGGTGATGAGCTCATACAACGTATCTCCCGGGCAAGCTGTCGCTTTCATGTCTCTGTGGCCCTTTAGAATGTAATTGCTCTCCAATTCGCCTTTAGCAACGCTGCAACTGATCAACTGCTTGGCTGCGTTCAGGGCTTTGTCGTTTGGAAGTCTATCCATAAAGTTGCCCATAAAGCTTATTGCTGTAAGAAAATATTTTAAGTCGATTGGCATAGCTAATCACACGTCACTCTCACGTCACATGTAAGATTAAGTGTTTGCTTGATGTAAACGGTAAATCTAAATATATATTGTTGTTTACAAATAATAATAATTATCAATGAATAAAAATAAAAAAAATAAATAAAACAATCGAAATTATGCTATATAAAACATTCCAATCGAAGTAAAGAAAAGACGCGAGAGAGAATATCATAAAAAAATTGAATTTACGGATTTAGGTTTGCATCTTAAAATATTCGACGTCATCTTGGATTATAATGTTGAAACTTTCTTGTTACTGAAAAATAATAAAATCAATAAAACGAGAGATCTTTTGTTGACCAACTTTTTGCGTTGTTGCATTAATGGTCTCTTCTATCCACCATAGCCACCGAAGACAACTATCTCACGCCCCTTTTCCTGAAAAATAAAAGAAAACAAACGTGGCCTTACCAAGTCCAACGCTGTTGTACCCGTAAGTGTGCGCTCCCACTTTATTCCACCCCCGTCCTTCGTACACGTTCCCGTCTTCTCCAACTAAGAAACTGTAACCAATGTCGCTCCATTCTAGAAATATATGTTTTGTTCATCAATTTCTCTGTAACATTATCAAATTATTCCATCGTGGGTTTTACTAATGGTACATGTAACTGTCAGAAAATCTAAACAATGCCTAATCCATTGGCATTTTGTTTTTGCCATAAAAATGAGGCATGTTAGTTATTTAAGCATATCAATTCCATAAGTTTCACCAAGCAAAAGCTTCTATCGATGGCATGCTTCTGATCTAGCAAAGTATTAAATCTATTGTTATTTTTACCTCCGCCAAGGAGGTTATGTTTCCACCCCTGTTTGTTTGTCATCAACATAACTCAAAAAGTTATGGATGAATTTCGGTGGAATCTTCAGGGTAGGTCAGAAATGGGTTAACTTAGAAGTGATTAGTATTTGGTGGTGATCTGATTTCATTATGATTTGAAGAAACCAAATAAAATGCTTTAAAGAGAAGTATTGTTGCTGAGAAGTATTATTGTCTCCGCAAACAAATACAAATAAAGAAGTTCGAGATAGTATGATGGGGGAACTGAGCTGCCTTGGCGGAGGCCTGCGCTCTCTGAGTGCTTTTCTAGTTTATGCTATGAAATGAGGTTTATCATTCTAGCATATAATAATAAATGCCCCACTGCCGACGTACGCCTTGGCGCTGTCATGTGCAAATCCTGTATGGATCTCATCTCAGCTTTGCACGCCTCTGTCGTGCTACAGAATCTGCCGGCGGTGTGGTGAATGAACATGTATTTGGGCGTGGCTGGAAGTGGCACCAATGGGTTGTTTGAGGGTTTAGCTCCCCACTCTGATCGGCTGATGATTCGTGGACATTCCGATCCTGTAATGATGAAGCGGAGTCTTTTTAATTTTACCTTTTCATTTAAGTCAAACTCGCAGCTAATCACTTTGTTTTCTTTCTTATTTACTTTCTCTTTATTGTTAAGTATGAAAGTTTTAGAATGAAACTTTATCTATGCGGCTTGAAGTCAAGTGGCATCACAATATTGCTATTCTATTATATCAGTGCATCTTATCTGACCCTAATGCATACATTGTGTTGGTTATATATTATCTTATCCCACATACATTTACAATGTATTGGGGAGATACCATCTCTCGCCTCAAATTACGCTTCATCTCTCAGAAGGTTTTTCAATATTTTCTTTCAACCCGAAAGTCGGGCCACTAATACAAATATATACATACCTCGGGAAAAGATGGTAGACACATGTAGGGCACAAATAATGATGATAACAAGTGCGCTGACACCGAGCTACGTGTATACAGTTCAATAATCAATAGTTCAATGCACAACTGAATGCAGCCAGTCTTAAAGACCATTCGAAAGTCTCTTCACGCATGAAAAATTGCTGGAGTAGAAAAAAATTCTACGCGGTGTCGCTATGGCAATGTGTGTTTCTATTTTCAACTCACCTTCAGCGGACACTCACGCTCGTACTAGGGCCATCAGTATCACGACTTGCCATAGACCGCTTGATAATAAATTTGGAACAAAATTACCTGTTGAATTGTGAAGGAACAAAAGATGACAGCACCATACATAGTCTGTCATCTCTAATTTCACTCCTGCGTTTATGCTAGGACCTACGAAACAATGCTGTTCAGTTGTTTGGTGGCGGGTCCTAGGATAATGATAGGCTTTAGAGAAGGCCTAATGGTGTACTAATATACACAAAACCTACCCACTGAACTTCCCGAAGAACTTCCCGCTGAACTTCCAGCCGAGCAGCCGGTGCTAGATGTACGCAACCAGTTACTGGCAATCCAACCGTCCTGAAATCAGTTTTATTTGAAAAAAATTAACGAGAAAAAAATCGTACCTGACATTGCTTCCGTGTTTGTCCCCATAACACTATCTACAGTGCAGTCCCTCTCACCGTTCCGCATATAGGCTATGCCAGTTATTCAGTTCAACAATGGTATACTACGCTTACTCAGTGGGTCCTAAATAGGTTTGAAGTTGACAAAATTTCCGGGTCGAAGTATGGGTCTGCCGGATTTTTCACTATAGCTAGGAGATAATATCACTTCCATATGAGTCTTAATTATCAGTTTGGTGTCAGTTGTCATGCAACGAGTGGGTATAGTTATGTTGTCATATATTATGTGTTCTGATTACAGAACGCGATATGAGTAGCGACAAGTGGGCATTCATTGATGTGTGTTAAGACACACATCTATGACAACGATAATTTATGTCTCTGAATGTTTTTTGACACCGAAGTAATTCAAAGAATGGTACAGTAAGCGTTAGAACTTTATATCCCAAAACAACTTTCTGAAATTTTTATGTCCTTTTCTTAATTACATGTACCACAACTTATGGGTACTACACTATCAATGCCTCGTCGTCGGATAAGCTATTTTTAGCCACTATAATTAGATTTTCGTTTTTATAGGTTGTAACGGATCTTTTTCGAAGGTTGCGGAAAAGTGGTTGCTGTTGGGTAATATCGCGATTTATCATCTAGAGAATGACTTCGTCTTCCGTGCCAACCTATGAGTAATGGACGGTTACGAAGAACTTGTTCTTTGGCTGTAATCACAAATAACGCTTTTATCATGCGGTTTGTTACTCAATACAGATAAGTAGAAATATAGGAGGAAATAACCATCTAATATATTTTAGCACGCCACAGTTTTTCGACTCCGAAGTAACTGACTAAATCCCCGTGTGGAAAATTCAGTGTTTGCTCAAAATAATGACAATAATTTTTCTATGCACTTGAAAATGTATAAATTCACTTGTTTTTTTTTTTTTAATGGTTATTGTTGGTGTCCTGTGTGCGTTAACAACGCTAAGTGCGACTTAACGCAAATTGGATATGACCCCTTGGTCCCAACGGATCTGCCTTAAAAAAGTTAAATCTTGGTAAAAAAAATTAGTCTTAAAAAAAGGAAGAGAGATAAATTACAAATGATGAAAAAATAAAGTGAAAGAAATTAATTTTAATCAATTTCAATCTGTAAATTAACATACTCTGATGAAAATTTAAGCAAAAGAAATAATTTTTAATAAATTTCATTTTATACATTTACATCATCTGATGAAAATGAAAAATCTACCAAACTTTTCCAAGAAGGTCGAAAATTTGACTAGAAGTTTAAAAAGCCTTACTTGTCCATTGTAATCCACGTTGAACCAAACATGGCTACCAGCATACTGTGTTTTTCCTGTAAAAGGAAGACAGGCGTCTGGGGTGAGAAGACCAATCTTGTTTTTTGAGGTCACCCCGGGACTGGAGCGAATGTTCACATATCCAGTACCACATACACACGAAGCAGCTGAGGCCAGGGTTGGACCAGCGATACACAGCGTTAGGATAAGAACCACATTCATACTGGAAAGAAAAGTCCTTGGTTTAATTACAACACTGCGATTTCACAAGCACATGTTTAGAAAATGCAAAGAAGGACAAATCATTTCCCGGTTTCATATCTTTTATTCTTTACTTTTTTTTAANGCAGCTGAGGCCAGGGTTGGACCAGCGATACACAGCGTTAGGATAAGAACCAGATTCATACTGGAAAGAAAAGTCCTTGGTTTAATTACAACACTGCGATTTCACAAGCACATGTTTAGAAAATGCAAAGAAGGACAAATCATTTCCCGGTTTCATATCTTTAATTCTTTACTTTTTTTTAATACCATTTGCTATGCTCGTTTATGTGGTTATATATGATGCTAACTATTGTTATTATCACGGCGCAAGTAAAATATACGTACCTTTTTGTCGCACTTTTTTCCTCACAGGTGGTGTTTTAAAGCTTCGTGTCTGTTTGCAGTTTATATATACATAGACCCCTACGCCACAGCGCGTGTCCAGTGTCACATTACAGAAACGTCAGTAACCGCTTCAGACGTGACGTGGCCTTTTCTAAAACGAAAGAGTCCAATTAGAGTAAAGCTGGACGAAAAAGGGTGGGGAGGGTCCGGTAAATATTCTTCTTAATTGTTAATAGGAGTGTTTATCAAAATAATATCAAACAGATTATTTTAAACGTAAATTGAATACTTTAAAGTACTAGAGTCCTTGAATCCAGGAACTCGGACTCCGCTCTGCGAGAGTAATAAGTAAATAAGGTCACCGTCAAATGCCAGCTGTCAGTTTTCCACCACCCGGATCAACTCTGTGACTGCACCCTGGTGTTGGCAACCCCTGTATAATCTTTAATCCTGCATATTCAGCACGGTGCATTTAATAGTGCTAAAGCTGGTACAGGGAGAATAGATATTTTAAGTCCGGCCGGTGGTATGGCGATTATTTAGATTATTCCGTATGTTGACATGCAATGATTGTTGATTGACTGGTACCTTTTAAAACCTGTTTGACAAATGTGCAAATATCGCAATTTTTATCTCGTTGACAAAAATATCGATTGTAGATTGTTGGGTAGATATTATCCTTTAATAGTACGTCGGAGACGTAGACCGTAACCCGTGGATATCCTAAAATCCAGGATGCGGCGCTTTCGCAGTTTGCGGTTTTCTTGGATATCTGTAGGCTTACCACATTTCCTTTGATCTGGGATGGTAGTGTAAAGCACCACATGTATGACACAGCTGCCTCAATCCCAGACCCCAGGCACCCGAAAAACGGTCATAAAATTAGGCCAGTTGAAATATATATATATAAATGACTAACGAAAAGAAATTTATCGAAATTTTCCACACTCATGAAATAGGAGTAACTGTGCCTGGTAGGTTAAATAGCGAGATAAAGTGTTAGTGTCCAGTATACTATCTTGTTGGTTACGCCACAAACGTGTTTGGATTCATATATATATATATATATATATATATATATATATATAGTGCAGAGAAAGTTTTAAAAATTCCAATGTAGTATTTATATCTAAAAGTAAGACCTCTATGAAACTTCTCTTCTCTTTAATACTAAAGGCTGCTGTGCAAATTCACCTTTTGCTACTAGATAAAGTGTTATCTGTTACAAAACGCACGATTTAACCAACGCCTTCGGCATCGCAAACAAAAATGCCATATGTATTTATCTGCCAGAAGACAAATTAACAACTTTTGCTAAAAGTGGTTTGTTAGCAAACCACAAAGAGCTAGATACTGTAGGTCTTCTCTTCTTTGGCTACAGAAAAAATGCATTCTTCAAGGCTAGAAGAAATACCTTTAATATAAAATCAAGATTGTATTTTAGTCCGTTACCTATTGATTAAATGTACCACGAAATAATGTTTATAGCAACTTATTTAAATCCTGTATATTTTAGCTCTCTGTTGCTCACGATTTAAATACACCTGTATGACCCAGATTTGAATTTTGCAGAATTTCGAAATCAGACAGTCCAGGATTCATCATGCCTACAGACCTACAACTTCATGTGCTAAACAATTCTTGACTGACAAAGTACATTGTAATTTATCGTAATACTACATTATGCAATATTTCTCGAAAAATGATTGGCTAAACATCGCCAATAACTAAGATGGGGCGGGGGTAAATTGATGGGTTTTCAATACACCGTTATTGCAAAGAGACAGGTCTAACGTACGAAAACAGTACACCGCTCTGTACCGTGATGAATGACCCGAGACTTTATGTTGAACTAAACTGAGGTCAACAGATAAACCTGCTGGTGAAACTGTTCAATTTTGTGTGATAACCTGATTCCAATCGGTGTATAACATGCACTGAAATAGCACGGACGGTTTCTCAAGGCAAGTCATGAATGTTTTTTAGCAATTAAAATTGACTCCAATTCAGATTATTTTATCATCGTGTATTTAATATGCAGGAATTAACATTCAATTATTAAAACATCGACCATGATACTTATATTAACATTGCAATAGAAAAACCAAAAACTTTAACCATTATAATATTATAGTATATGTTTAAAAATCCAAATACGGTTTCTGCATACATTTGTACGACAGTGTGTGAGCAGTGAATGCAACTAAACAAAGATGGAGGATTCGCCAATAGATAAAAAGACCGCCATAGTACCTGAACCCGATTCCGACAAGAGAGAGGCAATATCGACAGAAGAAGATTGTGCAGTTACTACTTATCGCATTACAAAGCAGGTCTTCATAGTAATGATATGGTTTACAATGGTAAGCATAAACCTTAAGTTTTCATATTTAACGTTAAAAAATAGGGTGCGTTTAAATGATTAACGTGATGTAGGTTTGGTTTACTGTTTGTATGCAACTGGGCGGTTTGGAGTTGTTAAACCCAAATGTCCATTTTTTATTACATAATCTTCATTCAAATTTTTATGTACAATATCTCGAACATTCATTTGACATGTTCTGTGGTAGAAAACTGAGTATTTCATAGACTATTAATCTCATGAATCCAATAAAGGCATCCTGTTTGGAGCTACCTGGTCCAACTTTGAAAGATTTGATGAAGAAAGTCCATAGTAGCTATGAAGAAATTTCACGTGCCTTGATAGCACGTAGTGTTGGTTTTTTCATCAGCTCATTTGTGGGAGGATTTCTGTGTGATCGATTTCCAAAGCATGTTGACATATTTATAAGGTCAGTATAAGTTTGTCCCATTTTGATATGCCTGTATCAGTAAACTGTTTGTCAAAACTGGATCAGAATGACCACCATTAACAGTACAGGTGTAAAATGTATCTGCACGTGTTCATCCAAAGCTTAAATCTTATTCGAAAAGACTAATCGTTTGTGATATAGGAATCGTCCGAGATAGCCCAAAGTCTCGCCATTCAGCCTAAAGTGAAGCAAAATTTTGCCGGACACGGATCAGAAATAGTAGCAGACTAGCGAGTACGGTGCGCCAACGAATAAAAGCCAACAAAATATATCCATATTTTTGTAGTTATATCCTGTCTTATATTACTGTCTACTGCAAAGTCGCAATTTAGGGTATCTCGCATGATTTTTCATTTCGAAGCGTTGTTCACACATATTTTATCTTCATGCGCTTATGTTCTAAATATCAGTTATTCAAACATAGTTTTACCTTCATACGCTTACGTTCTAAATATCTTGAAAACAAATTCGAATTTAAGATCTTCCTCTTATCAAATCTATTCAAGGGAGTCTTTATATTGAAATAAAATTATAGAACCATAAATATTAATTGAACTCAGTTCCTTTTTAGTGTGGCAATGTTCGTAAATGCCGTCACTACTGTTTCCATTCCTTGGTGCCACGAACTTATTCCTCTTGCCATTTTGATGCATTTTCAAGGGCTGTCAGAAGGAGTGTTGAATACAGGCAAGCTGTTATTATTGAAGAAATAAATTCTTTCCTTTAGCATGTTCGGTGTTAGAGCTATGAAAAAATATACACCAACTCGCTCTTATAATGTGAAACCTGAGCACCTATTATTTCAACTTAAATATTGAACTATGAATATTGGTGGAAACAAGTTGTACACATTTTTGTACCTGAATGCAAAAGAAAAAATAATGTCAAGAATCCAAGTAAAAATAGTCTAACGCATCGAATAAGATGCGTTCCCAGTTTTGTCACTTTTTTTTCAGAAAATGAAGAATAAGGTTGCTAGAAGTGATTAATTTTATGTTTTGTGCTTAATTTGTTTTAGGCGGAATGACAACTTGCCTCAATTTATGGGGAGAAAAAGTATCGGCACCAATGCACTCTACACACTTTGGATGGGGAATAGGCGGCCTGTTTTCCACACAAATAGCTCGACCATTTTTGTCGCCTGACGTTTTCCTTCCAGAAGATGTAAAAAGCAATGAAACCGTTATATTTCAGGCCACTACTTCATCTTTATCTGCAAATATTACTTTGGATGCAACAAAATTGTCCCGAATTGAGTATGCATATGCTATATCCGCAACTCTCGCATTATTAATGTCTATTGTCTTTTTGTTGTTTTATATTCTTCCACCTCCGCGTGGATTTAAATTGGCCACTATCCCAAAAAAGAATGACATTAAAGCTATTTTTCATCCGGCATCTTGTGCTCAAGATAATACAATGTTTGGCTTGATCATGTTTCCACTATTACTTTGGTTCTATATGCATATTACGGGGGGTGAACGTGCTGTTGCCAAATTTTTGTTTTCTTTTGCCAAAGACAGCGAGTTGCTTTTTAATAACGACCAAGCCACATTGGCATTATCTCTGCACTGGATTTTCTACACCATAGGTCGAGGGCTAGCCATTGTTGTTGCCAAATTTGTACCTCCAAGATATATGTTAATAGGAGAAATATCAATGAACATTATCAGCGGTTCAGTTCTGTCTGCCCTCGGTTACAAAAACGAAATAGTATTTTGGATTTTCAATGCATTGTTGGGACTTTTCTTGGCGCCAGTTTTCCCGTCAGGTGTTTCATGGGCGAACCGCTACCTGGACATGTCTGGCATTGCTGTTGCGATTGTGCTACTAGGGGCCTCTGGTGGAGGATTTGTATACCAGTGGATCACAGGCGCCCTTTTCGATGCCATCGGCCCCAATGCGTTGATGTATGTTATGACTGGAGATGGCCTTCTTTTGGCTCAATCTTATGTAACATTGCAAATAATAGCATCGAGACAGGGCGACCGCTTTACCAAAGATTCTGACGCCAAAGAGAAACATGTTGTAGGAGGCGTCAAAGAGACATCAGTTTGATGAATTATTTGAATAAGCTTATATGGGGTATTTCTTGCGTTTTATATCTCAAACAGTGTTTTTGAGCCAAGCAATAGTAGAACATCTTGCTGCATTTATTACTGCTTCTGTATCTGGCAAGTGAGATCAGTAAGTTTTTCTGTTTTCCAATGTGAAGTAAGGGGCTTATATGAGAAAAGTATTATCCTACCTACATGTACCTACATTTATTTCAGAATCAGCTGCAAAAGAATATAAGACCGTACTTACCAATTAGGCAGCTTTATGAGGGTATCGCTTAATTAACCCAAATTGACAAAATGTAGTAGGCCCTATATACGGAGTATATGATCCATTTACAAAAATAAACAATAAAACAGCTAATTTATGTACTGTGAACGTTTGGGTTTAATACACAAGAAAATGAAAATATATATATATGAATAAAAGCAATTTAATTATCTCTTACAGTACCATCTAGAAAAAAATTCTGGTTTTTATCTACAATTTTACTGCCATTAGTAGGCGTAGGGGCCTACCGCGCGGTAAAGGAAACTCAGGGAAAGTATTGTAAACACAGGATTAGAACTGCATTACAAACAAAATAATATTAAAAATAAAGAATAAAAACTTACAGGCCATGGATCGAGGTTTTAATGATGGAATAATGTGAAGTTGAGATTGTTCTCCAGGGAAACGAATCGAAAGCGCTTCGCCAAAATCTAAATCTGTTGAGTGTTTGGTGCAAATACTTAGCCCCGAGCCTTTTACCTTTTTATTGGAGAATCACTTTGTTGTTTTGGAAATCATTTGTTTGGAACAGGTTTTGGACGAATAAAACTATTAATTCGTCTAAGTTCTAAGCAGCAGTCGACAATTTCAGCTCTTTAATATAAAGGATCGTTTTTAAGCACTGAGGCAAATTAGTTGTTTCAAATAGGCCCAAGTTAGGCCTACTCTTCAGGTAAAACAAAAAGAAAAAAGCACCAATTTTCAGAAAAAAGAAAGAAAAACGTCAGTTTGCCTATGTCAAAATCTGCTGCCTCAAGTCTGAGTGTTGTCACAGAAATCCCCCGTAGTCAGTTTGCTATTCAAATTCGGTAACAGGCTATCTTGGTCAAAGATAGCTGCGCCACCTATAGGATCACTTTAAAAGCGGGAAGGTCGAAAGTGTTGTCTGACGCTAGAAATGAGTGTAGTAAAACCTGCTTCCTCGTCGTTAGCAAGAGATAAGGAGCTTAATGCAAAGTAAGTAAATTCATTGTGATGAGGTAAAAAATAAACATTCATCCACCCAAGGTACTGTAGAACTTGCGTCTCGCATCTAGTCGTTTCGATTGGCCTACATGTACAAATGCATGCACTGTGTGAGGAAGTAATATGGAGCTGTAGTTGTACTATTTGTAAACATGTGGTCCTTTTGATTTAGAGTGCAGTTGTTGTGGAAAGTTAAAATAAATGTGGTTTTAAGGGATGATGAGATATAGATCCACCAAGGTTCTAATTACACCCAGGTGGTACTAAACTTCCTAAACTTCGTATAGATCACGCTGCGGCTTAAAATTAATCTCCTCAAAAATGCCCAAGGACACACGAGAGGCTGTACAGACATTTGATTATTGAATAGACAGATGAAAATACAACAACAAAATATGGCACACAAAATCTGAATATTGACATGTGTAAATCAGCATGAAGTTGATTTTATATTGCAGAAAAAATCCCTCCATGACTCCAGCAGAGCAAAATATTGTGAGTCACTTGAAGCTGATGTTTCCACAACTATCAGCATTAGCCATAGAGACCAGTGTGCTGCACCCTTCTAATAGACACGAGCCATGTGAAGAAAGAATTCTGCTTAATCGTTGTATAGATGACCTCATTGAATTGAGAACATTTAAAGAAACCACACAGACTGATACTGATTATATTGATGTGGATTCTGATGGTATGTATGTTTCTAGTAGATTTATTTTGTATAAAGAAGTGGTTATTGTAATAAATTCCTGACCGTGTCTTTGAATGTACCAGTAATTTTTTCAATTATTGACTTAGGCTTTTGGTTAATATGTTGTTTTGCTGACCTCAGAAAGCTGATAAGGCTTGGGTCAGTATCACTTTTGTGAGTTCAACAAAACTCTTATTCTATCCCCTTTAAAGATAGCCTGGGTATAAACTTCTTGCTGTTCTGGTTTCAACTTTTAGCGCATATTAAAGGCTGCTTCCTTTCAGATGACATAGAAGTATTGAGGAATGCAAGTCACAGTAAAACCCCAGCCCCAACGGACCATGACCATCCTATTTTAATAGACTCACAGGAAATAGAATGGGATGATGACCTCACATATGACGATGTTCTAATTATTAATGCACAAAGCAAAGCAGCAGCTGATCCAGTAAACTCACCAGTGGAGAGAAATGTGGATGTTACTGATGGATCTGTTGGGACCAGTGTGAGAAATGGAAAGTATAATGTAGTTGTAGAAAAGACAGTTGCTAATCAAAACTTCGCAGCAGAGGCTGGTCACTCTGCCACAGAAAAGTCGCACAATGCTACTACAACTTCTTGTAACTCTACAGTTACTTCCACATCAATTGGTGCTCAAGTTAGTGATAAGCCTTTAAGTGGCACTTGTGAGATCACTGTGAAAACAGTTTCTTCAGCCCCTAATAACATTCTTACTCCTGCAGTGCAGACAGTTCAGGATACTCTAAGAAAAACTTCACCCAAGTCAACTATCCAAGATGAGCAAACTTTGGTACATAGGCAAGCACATGGCATGGCCCATACTTCTACACCCCAACCAGTCAAATACCCTCTGAAAAGAATGTCTCTGAATCCGAATGCTCAAAGTAAGCAGCTTCCATCACAAAGTGTGACTCGTACTCCTGCAGCCCAACCAGCTAAGTATCATCTGAAAAAAATGTCACCAAATCCCACTGCCCAGAGAAAGAAACTCTCAACACAAGGTCATCCACAAAATATGTTTCATACACCCTCAGCCCAACCAGCTGAGGTTTCTATGAAAAATTTATCGCCAAATCTGACTCTTCAGAACAGGCAACTTCCAATACAGCATCATGCACAAAATATGACTCAAATCCCTGCAGTCTCTCTAGTTCAGAGTCCTTTGAGAAAAATATTGCCACAGTCAGCTAACCAAAACAAGCAGGTTCCGGCAAACAGTCTCTTGCATAGTAACACTCCTTCAGGTAAAATAGTTCCGGATCCTGCAAAAAGAATTGCTCCAAACACAGCTAACACAGATCAGCAGATCCTAGCTCAAAGATGTGCAACGACACTACAAGATTCACATCTAATTAATCAATTACAGTCACCTAAAAGGCAACCCAAGACACCTCAGGCTGCACCAGTCCAAGGACAAGATTACTCAAATGTATTACTGTCTTTTCCCTCTACATCATCCCAGGCACTGCCATTGCTCTATTCTATACCAAAGCCACAGGGCCTAGTTCAGCAAATAGCTATAACACCTGTGTCATGTCAAGGAACTTCATCAGCCATTGGACCAGGGCCTTTTTTACCAGCAACCACAACTGCACAGCCCAGCACTTCGAGGTACATAGATTGAAAATTGTTTTTATTAAGAAACCCATTATTGTTACTCCTTCATTTAATATGTGAACTGTAGTGTTGGCAGCATTTGTTAAGCAGACTGTATTTTGATTGATGATTTGAGTGTTAAGCTAGATGAGGCTTGTTAATATGCACATCCCAGTGTTAAATCTTATATGTTGATATAATTTGATTGTTTCCAATTTATAAATTTGATTTAATTTTTTTCCATAGTGATACATATTTTATTTTAGGCAAAAGTCTCCAGATGAGGTCTTAATGGAAAAAGTGACAGAAGTGGTATGTGCTTCAAAAGTTTCATTCATTAATTTTAATAAGCAAAATAAAATGCTGACAAACTTTTTATATTAGAAAGTTTATACAACAACATTAATAAGACATAGGGTTTAATTCTTTTATGATGTTTGAGATTATCAAAGAATAAATATTCTGTTATGAATGTTTAGCAGAAGAATTGTTTCTTGACATGCACCAATATTATATTAATAATTTATGTACTCATTCTGGTGATATCATATAAATGTTTTAAATATCCATCTGTTTTAAATTGAAATTGCTTTATCTGAAAGGTAACATTGATCCCAGATGTAGACCCGGCCCATGTGAAGTCACTGCTGCAGTTCCAGTACTCTTCTCCAACTGCTGTCAATGATGTGGTATTGAACCTGCTGGAAGCTGGAAGCTACCCAAAAGTTTGTCAGACTAGTGGTAAAACTGCTATCTTGACAACAGAGAAGGTAGACATTAGGCATATTTTTAAACGTGTGAAAACATATTTGTTGTCTACCAAACTTTTTATTGGTTTGAAAATATCATAGATCTAATTATTATTTTTTCATTCTTTTTAGTTTAAGTGAATTATAATTATTAGTATGATAAAGATCTTTGCAAACTTGATTAAACTTTTAGAGTCAATTAAGCAGATGAATGCCACTTATTTTTGTTAAAACATTTGTGATTTTGTCCACTAATGGAATAAAAGTTTTTAAATAAAAATGGTCAAATTAAAGCAAAATATGGAAACTGTCTACTTTGAATCATAAAGAGATGAAATGTGCATATTGTATGAAAAATTGAAAAAAAAAAAATTATGTTTGATTTGGTTAAAAAGTAGATTTAGCTATCTTTATCATAGTTTTCATAAGACACAATCTCTTACTGAAGCTTTAAATAGTAGATAATAAATGCGTAAAATGATGAAATACATATAAGGAATGAACTGAGATTAACAAATATCGTTTCTGTTAAATATATTATTTATATTCATCTTTTTTTCTCTAGGATGACGAGTGTGAGATAGACTACTACAAAGAGTACAGTAAAATCCCAGATCAGGAATATACCAGACAGTCGTGTATTCTGTTGCAAAATGAATTTAGGAGGGTAGGTTCTTTAAATATATTTTGTTGATTAATCTAACCCAAGTCAGATGTTGTTCTTTCACATGAAATTTTCAGTTTATTGGGGCTTGTATGGGCTAACAGACTTATATGGTATTAAAAGACAGCAGCATTATATTTACAGATCTCCGTGCGCGACATTCGAGCAGTGTTAGCCTGGTTCAAATGTCATTATGCCCCTGCCAGAAAGTGTATTTATGATGGTCTGGCCAGTGTCTTAGGAAATGGTAAGTTTTTTTTTCCACAATTAGGAGACACCAAATAGTGTATATAAGTGGTAGAATATTTCTTAATCTTGTCACTTTAATAGTACTTAAAAAACTTAAATAAAATTTTATAATTTGGTAATTTAAAATTATCATTAAAATTAAAATTACCATTTATTATGTTTTAAACTTTTTGGAATATGTGCAGTTGTGTTCATGAGAATTTTTATAACCAATTTTCTGTAATTACCAGGTGAAGACCAAGCAGAGAAGTTAGATTTGTCTATGGCAACTGTAAACATATCTACCATTCCTACAATACCTATAAAGATACAAATTCCTGGTGGTAAGTGTATTTCACGAAAACCAATAGATGATATTTAAAAAAAATGTCTAATTTTTCTGTCAATTTTGCCAATGACTATTTAAACCTGGAGGCAGTGAATCATGGCTTGGGGTTTCCTTAAGCCTATCAGGTTGACTTAGTTTTTGAATAGAACTATCTTTAATGCACTAAAGAAAGGATTACAGTGTTTTGTAATACAATGCATGTTTACCTGTGTGATGTTTTGTGTTATTTGGTATGATAACAATTTCCTAATTGTATACATTTATATATTTCTTAGGTCGTGAGAGCACAATCAATGCCAAAGTGCTGAAAACTCTTCGCCCCTTGCAGAAATTCCCAAGTAGCATGGAAAAAAACCTTGAGAAAGAAGTTCAGTTTGTGGTAAAAAAGGCCAAAATTGAAAAAGAGGTGAAATGTTGATATCTCTTATATTTCTAGCACTAATATTTAGGTTCATTTTAATTCAGATTTTCAGTATGATTAATGCATTTACAATAATGATATCAACATAAAATAAAAGCACAGTGTATGCTAACTAATCTGGATTGTTTGAAATTTTAAATTGTTTTTTTGGGTCCATTTTAACTTTATATATCAGACAATGGGGTGTATGCATAGCACTACGGCTGGAGAAAACGTGAGCAAAATCTATTAATTCAAAACCTGGAATGAAATTCAATATTTGTTATCAAGTGCTGAATCTGATGATTGAATTTTCTTTGTTTCAGGCCCAGGATCACCTATTTGCAATGAATCTAAATGAGCATCAGTATGAAGAGACAGGTCAGCTTATTGAGTGTGGCTGCTGCTATGGAGAGTTCCCCTTTGATTCCATGGTGCAGTGTTATGAGGGCCATTTGTTTTGTATGGAATGTCTGCAAAGATATGCACAAGAAGCTGTGTATGGTTCTGGAAAGGTGAATTAATAATTAAATTTGATGATCTCTATTCTTTTGCTCATGTACCATGATATGCACCTATGGATAATAAAAAGCACATATCAAGTGGCAGATAAATGAGGGCATTTTAACTAAAATTTTGCTGAAAGATGTGTTTTTAATAACTCCGCTTTCCTGGTCTTTTTTCTATACCCAGATATCTTTTTCTATAGGTCAGTTCATGAATAAATGTGCCTGTATGAATATTTATTGGTTTTATTGTTTTAGGCAGAGTTGAATTGCATGACAAGTGACTGTGATGCTACCTATCCAATGAGTGAGTTTCAGTTATTAAGAATTATATTACACAGTTACAAATGACAGTTAGTATTTGATGTCAAAGCATATCCAATCCTACAAACTTGTGTTTGTTTCTTTCTTGTGGATTTTATTTTCACTTATCTTACAATAAACTTATAATTAAACAAGTGGATGCAAGGAGGTGTTTGCTGTTTTGTTGTCAAGGATCATTGTGAAAAAACTTATGATTGTGTTCATTATATTTCTGTTTTCACTAATGAGGTTTTGATAATTTGGGACAATTAGGTGGTTTGAGGTGATTGTTAGAAAAAATTAATAGTCAGGTAATATCATTTATTGAGTTTTTTTAATTAAAAGTAGACAGAAACCAGGGAGAGTTAATTCTTATTTTCAGGCCAGTTGCAGAAGTCCCTGCCCTCTACAGTCCTTGCCAAATATGAAGACAGAGTGAAAGAAGAAACTATTAACTTGGCAAATTTGGAAGATCTTGTTCGGTAAAATATTTATATTGTAAAGCGGTAAAATATTTATATTGTAAAGTGGTAAATGTCTGTGTATTCATTACTATTGTTGAGTGAGATGATGGAAATTTGAAGCTGTATGGCACATTCTGTCTGTAATTTTTACTCTGTCTGATTTATGGTTTCAGTTGTCCTCATTGTAACTTTGCTGCTCTGTTAGACCCTGCTGACAAAGTTTTCAAGTGCCAAGATCCTAAGTGCATGAAGGTAATAACATCCATTGCATCTAAAGATGTAAAAATAAAATGAAAAAGATAAGTAGTTTAGGCTGGTGTGCTTTATTTTTTATTTTATTCTTTAGTTATCATGGGTAGTTTTCTGGGAAACTATAATTGAAAGCTTGTTTTTGTAGGAAACGTGCAGGCACTGTAAAGAGGACTGGTCTGGACATTTTGGTATTCCATGTAATGAACTTGAAAAGAAGGATGAAACAAAGCTCAGGCTGTCATTGTGAGTATCACAATTTTGGTCATGTAAGGGCCTGCAAGGAAAACATGAGCAATGTATGAGAAACCATCTGTCAAGAATAAATAACATTTATTGGAGCAGGAAAGAACAATTATTAAAAGCTAGATAATATACTTTGTCATATTTGTTTTTGTTAAATAGCAGAATCAAAATTTCAATAAGAAACTTCTGCAAGTTTTTCAAGCTTATTTCAAAGTTGATGATTTGTAAAGGTAGTGCCATGCTTTTGCTATATTCTAAGTAAGAATTTGAAAATGATATATACAGGGTTGTGTGAATATGAATGTATTTATTTTAGTGAAGAGAAAATGACTGAAGCCAAGATTCGCTCGTGTCATAGATGTAAGACGGGTTTCACCAAGTCAGATGGGTGCAATAAGATGACATGCCGCTGTGGTGCCAAAATGTGTTACATATGCAGAAAACCAGATGTAAGGATAATGCCATTAGTTGTTGAAACAACATCATGACAATCTAAATCAATTTAAGTTTCCACTATGTACATCTGTACCAATGTTTGATTTGTGGCACGATTTATCATCCCCAGTCTTGGACTGTTCAGTAAAAATTTTAATATAGAATTCCTATATGTTTGAAGGAAGACGTCTTGTTACAGATGGAGGTCCTAAATTACTAGTGGTATAATGATAGGAATAGAACTTGCTTTATATCCAAAATATCTTTTTTAATTATTAAGTAAATTAATGGAGAATAATTTTGCTTTTTGTTTAGTTTTCAAAATTAAATGATTTATATGATTTATTGTTTGTTTTTTCAGATTGATTACAACCATTTTTGCCGTCATCCACGTGACCCAGGGAAGGCATGTACTAAGTGCTCTGATTGCTCACTGTGGACCAATCCTGAAGTAAGTTACATGTAGAAGTTAGCTTAGAGCTAGCACAATACAGTTGTTTCCTACGATTAAGTGCCTTAACAACTTGAGCTGTCTGCCATTACATAACATATCATTGTATATCATTTTTTGAAAATGATTACTTTTAACTACTTTAATTTATATAGGAAGATGATGAGCGGGCAGTCCAAGAAATCAGAAGACTTGCTCAAGAAGAAAGGAAGAAAATGGGTAAGAAATGAAATTTTAAAAAAATGAATGACATTTGCATTTCAACTCCAGTAATGTAGCAATGATATGAAAGGGACATGTATTGGCACACATGTATACATGTATTGTAAGTTATTTATTTATTTATTTTTTTTTTAATTCTAGGATTTGAGGATGACAAACTCATTGGAGTTCCAGATGAGCCAGTTGCTAAGAAAGCCAGAAAACATTAGCAGCCAAGTCAAGAAACTGTAGCATTTGGCAATGCAGACACTAATTTGGAAAAACTTCTCTTTGGAAAACCTTCTGGACTTTCAACTGAAATGACAACTGAAATAACATTGTTCAAATTTTAGAATATGGAAATAATTAAGAAACAAGTGATATTTTAAGCAATTGATATCGTAAACATTGAATATTTTACTGTTATAGAAGAATGATTTGTGCCATGAAAAATATGCAAAAGTAATATGTTTTTTAAATGTCTTTTTGTCTGGTCAGAAATTCTCATGCATTTTTTATTTTGTGTCAAGTATCAAAAAGTCAGGTTGTTTAAAAGGCAACAAAATAAATAATTATATTTAGTTCATAATACAAGCAGTGTAGTTATTCATCAGAAATTGTAGATTGTTAATTGTAGGCAATGTTAGCCTTGGGTAATTAAACTTATATTTCTAGTCTTAAAAAAAAACATTAATAATGTCTCTGGCTATTGATTTTTTTCAAGAATTACTGTTGAAGAAGCACACATAAAAAATCAATATTCTTCAAAGACTTGATAAGTATTGTGAGGGGTTTCTTCCCATCTTTGTACCAAAGTGATCCATCAAACTCGTAAGCCTGCTGACTGTTCCAAATTTAAGTTCCTGATATTTTTTACTGCAAATGTTCTAAAATTTGGAAGAAATTTAAGTTCCTAGTATATTTCTACTGCAAATGTACTAAGTTTATATTCATATTTGAATGAAAATTTCTTGCCACCTTTCTGCATTATTCTTTACATTTGCATTGAAACTGAGTAAAGACATTTTATTAATATTGTAACATCGAGTTCTGTTTTCTTGACTTGAACAGGGATGTGAAATTAAGATCAGTGTCATTTCATCAACCTTTTAGTTTAAATATTTATCCCAGCATTGTCAAACTGATAGTTACATCATCATACCAACTAAAATACATTGAAAGTTTTGTTTATTGGTGAAGGTATGGATATTCTCCAGGAAGAAAAGGTGCAAAATTTAAATAATGGCCATGCAGTGTGGTTGCTGTTGAGGCTTATTTGATTTAAACTAACTTTTTTTTTTACATCAACCAATTGCCTGAATTACTAGAAAATTGTTATTGTACATCCTTTTAAAAAACAAGCTTGCAGAGTCATAACGAGGCTAAGCAGTTGACAACGAGGCTACTGTCAGGAGGGGCAACAATATTTCTGCACGCTGGCCGGTAGATTTTATGGTCAGCCAAAAGCATGCTGTACCTTTACACGGACAGTAAGAAGATATAAGGAGCATGCAGCCAACAAAAAGTGGACAGGCAATAAGCCATTAGAGGTAACTGTACTTGGACTTAGGGATAGCCGGCAAGACCGATAGGAACAGTACATGTGGTCCATTCAGGTGGCTTAATTAGAGCTGCCATTCCTGTCACATGTACTGTACACCGGCATCTAACTGTTATGTGTTGCACATTAACATGTCGGAAACTTGTCTACTATATCTAGGCTTCAGGCAATCTCGACTGTCACCTTGGTCGACTTGTGTATTTTAATTCATCCTATAATAATGTATAAATTATGACAATACATTTATTTCAGTCGAACCACCAGTACTGAGCAGTGTTGCAGTAAAGAGGGAGGGAGACATCAAAAATGGGAGTCAGAGGCTTGCTAAGTTACTGCCTTTGCAACCAAGAGCAATGTGTGGAATACTATGATCTGATTGAAGAGGCAAACAGGAAAGGGGGCCTAGAAATTTTGATCGATTATTACAGTTTTCAACAGATGATACTCACCAATTTCTGGAAGAGCCTCAGAGCTGTCAAACACAACCCATACCTAAGATTAGAAGGTGGTGAATACAGCACACTAGATGCCTACTTGTCAAAACTGGTGCAAGACCTTCAGTCCCTTGGCATCCACATGGTGTTTTACATAGATGGAGCCAAGGGGAGTTCATATTTTTCCACACAGCAGAAACTGGAAACTTGGAAGTCGAGACACTACAAGGAGCTGAGGACACTGAAGCAGCTGACCGATGTGTGTAAAGGAGTAATGGATATACAGGCTTTACCAGACGATGTGAATGTCCGTCCTGTGTTACTAGAAGTCCAAGTATTAGGCACACTGAAAAAATGCAACTGTGAGATCATACAGAACAGCTGTGGAGAAGCGGATTTTGTGATTGCTGAAGGTTTGATTCACAGGCCCAAAGCGTTTGCAGTACTGAGTAATGATTCTGACTTTTGTATCATGCAGAACTCAAGGTTTATTCCAAATGAGCTCTTTGATTTGGATAATGCTATACAATTAGGACAGGCCAGTTTACTCCCACAAAAGCCAATAAGCCTAAAAGTTGGGGTGATAACCACAGAAAGAGTTTTGCAGTTGTTTGGTGTAAGTTAATGATTAATTTCTCCTTTGTTTAAACCTAAGTAAAAGTGTAACAATAATGTTTTTTCTTGAAATCCATTATTAATATCAGTGGAATGTGGAAATGTGTGCCTAAGAAGCATTGCAAGGTTAAAAGCAATACTTGTTATAAAGGATAATGATGAAAGTTAAAGGATATATTGGATAATTCAAACTATATATATATCTCTGTATTGACTGCAGATTCCTTAAACCTAACACTTACTGTCTCTTTTGTTTGCTTCAGTTTAGAAGTCATAGGCTACTTGTTGACTTGAGCATTGTCAATGGAAATGACTTCACAGCCCATTATATGAAAAGCCTATATAACCTACTTGATGTGCGGGGTGCTAAGAAAGTGGAGAACTTTGCAGGCTGGATGAGGCATTACAAAGGAATTGAAAACCATCCTATACTTGCAAGAGAATTGGTAAACTGAAGCCTTGTTTTTTGTATTTTTCAGAAAAATATTCAGAAAATTATGATTGTTATTAATTATGGATGTAGATGTATTTATGGTGAGAATTCAGGGGTAAACGTTATTATATATATATTCAGTGGTTCTTTATGTTATATTGGACATGATTTTTTTCTAATTTAAATCAAATATAAAATTGTTTGCTTAACATTTTTTTTTGTCTTAATTACCACCAGTTGAGCGGTTTCATATTTCTCAAAAAATGACATTTAAGCAGATATTTTCAGCTATCTTCCTGTGCTATAAAAAACTCTTGCTTGCTCTAGCTCTCACTTGCTTCATATTATGTAACTCAAAAAGCATTTTAGTTTTAAAAGACTCGTTATAAAAATTGTTTATTCCAGCAATATAACCCTCAATTTGCCACGGCTGTCATGACTTCCAGGCAGTTTTACACTTTGACTGCTCCGCCAGACAGACCAACCATGAAGTGCCCCCTCTCAGAGTATCTAGAACAAGCTGTACAGCATGGTGCTCTACCCTCAAATATCATGGCCATGCATAGCAATTTCTACTGGCATCGCTTTCTGCTTGAGGACTCCACTCCAGGTCTTCCATGTGCAGAGGTGGCATTACAGAGTTTGAGAACATTTATCTACAGAATGGTTCTCCCAAGATATGAAAATTATGTGTATGAATATGGAAGGACACCAGATTCAGACCTGAAGACCATTCAGGTAATCTGAGGCATTGATGAACTTATTAATGCAGCATTGATTACACATTTAAATTACACATATTCTGTGTAAAGTAAAGATAGGCAAGATTATTTTATATTTGTGATAAATGTATTTGATATGACCTAAAAAGTATGTTGTAAATGTTTTAAAGTATTGGTTTCAATAATATGCCAATATATTAAAAAGAATATGCACAGGAGATAAATGAATGAAAGTATTATTATTTATCTTAAAACTTATGGGAATTATATAATTATCTAAAATTTTAAGGTGCACGCTGCCCATGCAAGCCTACCACCAGTTAGCAATATCAAACCAGACAGAACATTTGAAAGCTTGAAATTGTTTCATAGAATAATGATGCACCAAGAGCCAGGTAATATTGAAATGTTGACTGTACTTTTTCTGTGTCATCATGAAATTTTCCTTTTTCTATTATTAAAGCATGTGTACAAAGAAATCATATAATTTAAAATTAAAACCACTTTTGAAGCTATAATAATTTTTAATTTAATGAAAAAAGTTTTTATACAGGAGATCAGAGCAATAAATTCAGATATTTTATATTGTTTTTAAAATACAGCACTTATGTTTTATCAACAGTTAGTGCATATACTCCATGTTTTTAGTATAATCTTTTACAGACTTTGAGCTGAACTTCTTTCAACGTTATGGTCGCAAGAGCGGATTTATTTTCTGTATACTGCGTTATTTCCTGGTGCTGAATTGGGGTCAGAACCTATATATAACACCTGTGGAGTTTCTGTCTGTCCTGGCAACAGCTTTTGGTTGGGAGCACCACAAAGACCAGTGGTACCAGAACATTGCCATCAGACCTTCGAGCAGGTGTGTCACCATTGGGAACTGGTTCCAGGTAGGAATCCTACATTTAAGTAGCTTTGGCAATACTAAATAATTTTTGATTACAGTTAGGCTACCACCTCCCATAAGCTTTATGAAGTTAAATTGCATGAAAATAAATGTTGGCATCATAAAAAGTTTTATTCTTTTTTTTTTACATTATGTTCCCAAGAAAACTGTTTCTTTGTTCTAGAAAGTAACATATTCACTCACATTAGTCTTCGTGTGTTGAATGTGTTCGTAGGTTGAATCTACATGGTAAATGGCAAGAATTTAGCTCTCATCATTTTTTCAATTTTTTTCAGGCTCTTTACAGATATGCTTATAATTTCCTGGGCCAAATGTTGTACTTGAATCAAGAATTCCCTCCCCCTCATGAAATATTTGCTGGAGCTAGATGGACAGCTTTTTACATGATAATGTACCCACAAGGCATGTTTTTTTTTTTTTTTCCATTCAGAAGTTCAGAACGCCTTATTGCTAATGAAATGGCAACAAGTGGTGTATTGGTAGATATGTCTGCTTGGTTAAACAGAGTCATAATTAAATTGCTCATTTGCAAGAATTTAATTAGCATGGAATGTAACAATAAAAGAATGGTAACTAGAACAAAGTTTATATACTATGCTGCTTGTGATGCATTAAGTTAAGACTTCCCTTTTAAGAAGTCTCGGTTGATGGTCTTGAATTCAAATTCTCTTCTTATCTGACAAAAAAGGTTAGTTGTGTTTTCTTTTTTTTTTTTTTTTTGTAATGGACCAGATAACTGTCTTTAATACTTTTTTCTGTCTGATAATTTTTAGATAAGAATAATTTTAGGCAGTTAAAAGCTTTATCTTATTTCATTTTTGATTTCAGATATCTATGAAAACCCTATTGCTGTTCCTTGTGACATGTTGCAAACAGTTGAACTGGACAGAAGTAAGATCATTGAAGAAAAGAAGCATATGATTCGCTGGCTGGTTCAAGGATGTTTTCCATTTAGAGACTAATTCCTTATTGGGCAGAATTGTTTCTTGATTGAAAACTTATTCCTTGTGAACAAAACTGATTAAGAGGCACGTAAATGCATTTAAAATGTGAACGCTAAAACAAAATCTTTCAAATATACAATTTAGAGGTTTTCCAGATCTCGAAGGAATCTAGTCTCATAGGTTGAAGGGAAAGTTCAGTAGATAGTTACAGAGGTTTTGCCTTAATTTTATGTCAGTCTTACTCTACTTGAACTAGTATGTTTTTTTTAAATGTATGTTGCAATAATGAAAGAAAGTCTCCTTTGCTCAACTTTTGTCCTTTATTGTGTCAAACTCATCCATAGCAAACTGCTTCAGTGAATATACTAATAAACCATTTTCAAAGTGAATGCAACTAAATTATACAGACATTATCTCTCACATTTGATAAATTGATTACCTTGTCCCCTAGTTCATAACTGGTGCCCAGCACTGATATAAATTAGCACAATGATAGTTTTTTACTATCTTATTATTTTTTTCTCAGAATCTTCTGTATTACAGGTGTACACATAAAATATACCTAGTGCTTTAACTGCACAATAAAATAATCCCATCAATTACATATCTCTTTATTTTAAGATGAATATCTTTTCATCAATCCTTTTACAAGACAAAATTACTTCAAGAATGTACAACTTCAGCAGCTTCATGCTTTTAAAACTGGCTTCATTCCAGTTAGTGCTGGACACTTGCATATGATTGACATGCTTCATAAATCAAAAGACCCGAAGTAAAAACTCAAATACTCCCAAAAATCGACTTCCTAAAAAGTACCTCAATACATTATCCAACAAGGTTCATCACATTTTGAAAAAAATGTTCAGCTGACATTTTATTTCTGAAGTTGATGTGGAACTTGAATCACCTGGTTATTGTACTGAAAGAAGCTTCTTCATTTGAATGACTGGTCTTTGTAAGGTAGCCATGATTGTTTTCTCCCAAACTTTCAACTTAACATGCACATGTGCTTTCAAAGCCTTACCTTGTCTATCTTTCTTTAATCTCTGAAAGAATACATGTTGATTAACAATTTTGCTGTCATCATTCAATGTATCTTTGTTGCTGTCCACATACTCTTTGAATGTTTTCAATTGCCAAGCAGCTTTTGTTGAAGAGAGATCACTCCTCAAATACTCAATCATGCATAATCATTTGCATACAGAACAATCATATTCCACAATGTCCACACAAAAACATCCACTGCCTACTTTGCCATTAGTGTTTTGAAACTGTGGATTTCATCCGATTTTCCTTATGCTTTTCCTTCTTATGTTTCTTTTTGTGCTTGTGTTTTTTGTGTTTCTTATTCTTTTTGTGTTTTGAAGATTTCTTCTCTTTACGTTTTGGACTGGCACTTGATGTAGATTCACTTGGGGATAAGCTTCTGGCTCTTTTTGCCACTTTACTTTCTTTCTCTTTCTTTGCAGGTTGTTTCTCTTCTTCAGAAAACTCTTCTGAAGACTGGTCACTTTGGGAAGATTCTTCATAATCTGGTTCAAATGAGGCCTCGTCTATCACAGATTCTTTACGGACATCTATTTTTGCAGATTTCATTTCGATCAATTTCTTATCTTCATCATTTTCATCCTTATCTTTACCATTCTTATCTGAGTCTCTCCTACTTTCCATTCTTTTGTCCCGGGGCTTATCCTCCCATTTGTCATCTTTATTACTGTTTTTATTCTTTTCACTCGAAGGAACTGTCACATTAAACCCTTCCTTGCCTGAAGTATTGGTGACCCGGCGTTCTGTACTTTGGCTACCTGAAGCCTTCTGCAAAGGTTGAGAATCCACATACACACGCCTTCCCCCTTTCTGCTGTGAGGGAGCTGAAGAGATGGTAGATCCCACAATGGCAGACTTGGGTATAGACTTCTGGGCCAGCACTTTCTCAGCACTCTCAATTACAGATCTATTTAAAAATAAAAAATAGAAATTAATTGTGGTGCTGATATTTTGATTGACACAATCCATTACATAGTTCTTATTGAATAAATGTATATTACAATAAACTTTAGAAAATGGCATACCTATTGTATACTGTGAAATCAACCAGAACTTTGATACTTTAATTTAGTCCCCTATGCCTATAACGAGTGTTAAGATGTAACATGCAATCTCTCTCTGATATGAAACTGAAAGCAACTTACTTGGGCAATGGTTTCTTTTCATTTTGCTTCTTCCTAGTATCCTGCCCATCCCCTGAAGGAGAGTCGTAGTCATCCCTCTCCCATTTGGAGATTTCCGGAGCATTAACAATCAGCTCTGGCTCCTTGGGCTCCTCACTCTGAACAGGGGTAGACATCTTTACTTTCCACCTCTCTTGCAGTTGTTTTCTTTTCGGTTGGGTCAACACTGTGGTTCCCTTTTTCTTGAATGAATTCATCCTCAGTTGATGACACAGCCCCTAGTCTTTCAAATACAGATTTTTCGGGCTTGATCTTTTTGTCACCTTTACCTACAGAGGTCTTGTTGATAGTAGCACCTTTATCATTTTGAGATTCAACTGTTGCAGTTGTCTTGGTTTTAGATTTTTTCTTTTTCTTCTCAGGCTTGGTTTCTTCTGCTTCGGATTTAATTTGTTTGACTGGTGGTTCATCAGGCTGTTCTGTTTTCTGCTTTCGCTTTTTAGGTTTAGTTTGTGCAGAGGCGTCCTCCTCCGTTTCTTTTTTGACCTTCTTCACTGGGGACTCTGAGCCAGATTTGACTTCAGCTTCAGCAACTTTGGAAACTTTCTTTACTTTCTTCACCTTCTTTGCCTCAGCATCTGATGGAGTTGGTTTTTCCTTCTCTTTCTTTTCTGGTGTCTTAGAATGCTTTTCTTTCTTTCTCATCTTGTTCTTTTCCCTTTCTTTACTATCTCTGTACTTTTCATCAGTCTTTTCTTCCTTCCTTTCTTTGGACAGCCTAGCTTTTTCAGTCCCTTTTGCATAGTCCTTTTCTTTTTTGGCTCTCAGTTCTTTTTCTCGGCCATCCTTCACCCTCTCCCTCTCCCTTTCCTTGCTTCGAGTTCTGGACCTGGTTCTCTTTTTGGACTCTGGGGGTTTATTGCTTCTGTGAGATCTCTCCCTTTCTCTGTCCCACTCTGGATGAGGAGGACCTCTGGAGTCAGATCTTGAGCTGGCATATCCTGCATTGTACATCTCCCTCATGTAGTCCTCATAACGAGGATCTGGATACCTGGGGTCAAATGGAGGTGGTGGCCTGTCATACCTCTCGTCCACTGGCCTGTCGTAGCTGTAATGTACCAAATAGTTCAGGTAACTTAAGATATAGAACTTTGTATGATGAAGAATTGAAGAATGTAATGCCCATAAATGTGCACATCAGACATCTTTAAATCATAGGAAATACTTGCATTTGTGCAAAAAAAAGATACTTGCAATCTAGAATAAAAGAGCATAGCTGGACAAATGTAGTACAGACAAAAATATAATTACATATTAACATATATGAACGTAATAAAAATGATGGAGTACATATATGTATGTGCACGTGTGTATTGATACTTAAAGTTGTTAAGCAAGAGAAAAATCAACATATTGTTTCAAATCCTACCGATAAAAATCTTCATAATATCTTGACGGTGATGGTGGATATTGGGGGTATCCTCTGTACCTATCTGGTGAGTATCTACTACCATATCTGTCTGGAGAATCATAATACCCTGGAGGAAATGGGTAGGATGGAGAGAAATGGCGGTAACTAGGAGAACCTGACCTCCCATGAGTATCATAATATGATCTAGGTGACAATGGTCTTCTACCATACGGTGATCTTGAACGTGACCTATATTTTCCAGGAGGAGGTCGTCTTGGTGAAGGAGATCTAGATAAAGGACTTCTTGAGAAACGCTTTTTTCTAGGCGATCTTGCTTTTTTAGGTGCTGGTGATCTAGAAAGAGACCTAGATCTGTAGCGTGATGGAGTTCTTGATCGTGGCCTAGGTGATCTGGTACGTGATCTGGTTCTAGATTTAGTTCGAGATCTGGATAGACTTTTTCTTCTAGTTTTGGGTGATTTAGATCTTGTTCGTGATCTTGACCTTGACCGGGACTTGGATGGGCTGCAAAAGAATAATATCCACATTGTCAATACACAATAAAATAGACATTTAAAAAAAATCTTAACCTTACACTTAAGTTATATAACCTTCTAAATCAGACTTGCCTTACTAAACAATTAATATGACTAAATCAAAAATTTTACAATAAATTTTTCAAGATTTCATATTTCCTTACCTCAAACCTAGACTCTTTTTTAACTCTTTCTGTTCTTGTCTTTTTTTCTGCTCTTTGGCATACTCCTCCAATTCTTTAAGGAAATCGTCTTGCATTTGTGAAACTGACCTAAGAAGAAAATAAGGATTTCATATATTAAGATTTCAGTATATTTATAAATAATTAAACATTTGAACAGTTACAAATGGTTTTCATTCCAATTTCTTCACACCTTTTAAAACTAGTAGTTAACTTTTTGCGTAAATGTAATAGTCTCAAGTCATAATTTAAAATACAAATAGATGCCACTTCACACGAAAAAAAGCCTTATCGATATTTACACAAACAGAGCCTTATCAATATTTACACAAACAGAAGCTATTACAAAATAGATGGCATTGTAGCAGTAATGTAAATCAACTTACTTTTCCTCCAATTCCTGTTGCAGTATTTTGGCCTTTGTTTTATAGAACTGCTCCTCAGTTAAAGGTATCCCTGGGGGGCGCGCAGGACCTGGAAAGGGTCCAGGGGCTGGGGGTCCACCAGGGAGACTAGGAGGCATCACACCTGAAGGATAATCATACTGGATTTAATATCTAATAAATCCACTAGAAAATAAAGACTGCTGCTAGTCTGATAAAACATTATTTCGCATGAAACTACAAATGATGCGTCACAATCTTTAAACTGATAAAAGTAAAATGTCACTGAATTTGATAAAGCTTTACTCAAACATGTGTTTATATTCAAAATTACATTTGAATATTTTATCTAATCGAAATCAGTAATGTTAAATTGCTAAGCTGATAGAGCTTTGATTATGCAAAGTGGTAAGCTGTAAATTCTTATCTTCACTACAATTGGTCTACACAGTACAATTATACTTTTATTCAAATTTTACTGACTGATAATTAGGAACCCAGCTTCAGTGATATTACATAATGGTTGAAAGACTAAGAACTCAAATAATGCACTAGTGCATGATATCTTTTAAAGCAGATTTAATAACAAAAACAGAATGAGGTAACTGAAAACAATTTAGGGGGGCAATGCACAGGAGTTCATTTCACTTAAGGGTAAAAATAACAAAAGCTGCAAAAAACATCTTTGCTTTACATTTCAACACAATAAAATACATGCATATTTGTACACATTTCTTTAAGTCAGATCATCAAAACAAAACAAGAAACAACTAAGGGTAAATATATTAATTTACTGACGATTTCTACAACTAAGTTACCACAAGAAAAAGGCTACAAGAATAAAAATGATAATCCAAGAATTCTGATTTTGCATTTTCCGACACCTTTTTTTTCACGTATAAAATATTTATGTGTAAACACTCATAAGTAAAAATGAAGAAATCACACATGAAAGTCAGAATTCAAAGCTGTGTTAACAAGTTGCTAAATCTAACAATATATCATACAAGGTAAGATGTGTGTATAAGTGCAAACTACAAATACATTAATGCAATTCCTACATAATTTGCACAAGCTCAGGCTTCAAATAATTGGGTATGCTGTGCATAGTGCAAAAGGGAAGGAAGCAAGAATTAATACAGTAACTGTAGTCACAAGCAAATGCTGTGTTCTCTACTCTCTTACCAATTCTAACATCCATTGGAGGCCGAGGGCCCATAACAATCTGCTCTGTAACCATAAAGATTTGCAAACATCATCCAAACGAGTCTCATTCCCATTTAATGAAATACCATTACGGTACTTTTGATGATCTCTGTGTTTGTATGGGAATTCATAGACTCTAGATGCATACACCTGTTTCTTTGTAAACTTTGTAAACTAAATTTTTTAATGGAAGTTAACGATTTTAGATATTGGAGTGGGCTTTCACTGGCACTTAAAAGTTTCCACTGACCACTTATAAAAAGTCTGAAAAAGAACTAAATACCATAACCTTTATTGGTATGAGCTGGGCAACCCAAAAGATATGCAAGTATTTTGTGTTAAAAACACTTCTTACCTGGTGGAGGAGGCTGCCTGTACATGGGAGGTGGTGGCCCCCGTGGTCCAGGAGGAATGTGATGAGGGATGGGAGGCCCTACAACTGGGGGCCCATGAGGCACTGGGGGTCCATGCATATAAGGTGGGGGAGGGCCCCCCTGTGGGACAGGAGCAGGAGGGTGTTCCATGGAGTGGACGGGTGGCGGTCTCTGCTGGGGAGGATATGTAGGCCTGAAAGCAAAAGAGATATGAGATCACAAACAGCCATTTGTAGTTAAATGATACAGAAAGTTTACTCTAGCTGAGGGAAATGTAAACCATTTAATATAATATCAGAAATAATTCTTTACAGTATTAGTAACTAAAATCAAATATGCTTTACATACCCAGGGGGTGGTGGTCTACTGGCCCTTACAACTGGTCCACTTTGAGGAGCTCCTGGGGGTCCACCTAAAATATAGAATAAGGCTTATGACAAAGAATTTTCAAAAAACTTTTCTCCAACTCTCATACATGAACACAGACATCATCAAAAAGACATCTGTGCATGAATATTCACAAACCTCTCATTCTACATAAAAGTAACCCTGATACTCCATACAAGAACTTGTTTCATGACATGATAAAGACAACCCCTACCTGCTGGTGGATACTGTGGGTGCGCCTGTGGTCTGGGCTGTTGGGGGCTGTGAAGGGTATTTTTGTCTGGGGCCTCTTGTATAACCTGATTGTGGTCCTGCTTGAGGGGGTGCATTTTGAGGCTGTGATCAAAGAAAATATTGGTTAAGTGTAAACCAAGTATATACTGTTGTGGCAGACTGAGTAAAATGAATAAGTTTAACTCACAGTATAAAAAAATAGAAACTGTATTTAGACTGAGCTATACTAAATAATAGCCAAATGTAATATAATATAAAATTAAAATAATCACTGACATTTTTACCATTTTCACATGTAGTACTGATCAACTTACCCTCCTTTGTTTCTGTGGTGGAGGACGATTTTGTTGATATGCCGTGGGATAATTAGTAGTGGGTGCAGGCTGACTAGAATGGATCTCCTCTTTAACCTGACTTGGTGGCTGACTTTCATGAGATACTGGAGGTGGAGTAGACCTGAAAGGATATACATGTGGAGAAAAAAAAGACTTATGATTTATACCAACTCATCTAGATGAACTGTCCTAACAATTTCACTATAGCTACCTGGGAAATACACAATATATTGCATTACAGACAAAAGCACATTGTATACAAAACATCACTTGAAAATCTAACAATAATTATTTACCCTACAGCATTTTCTTTATAATTTACTATCATATTTACAAATAAGACAAATCATAACTCGCTCAATACATCATAAATTATAAATACCTGTGTATATCTGGGCTTTTAACATCCTGCACAGGTTTAGCCACAGGGGGTGTCTGCTGGGCCTGTACTGGGGGAGAGGCTGAATGCTGAGGCTCTGTCACTTGGGAATTTTTCTTAAACTTTGTATAACCTGATTCATTCAAAAAGTTTTGCACAGCTGTTCTCAGAAATTTGTTGGCTATAAGTTTATCTGGGGATACATCTGTCTCGTGGCAGTGAGGACATTCATGTTCCTCTGTTTCCAGGAGAGCATTACGTACACCTAGAAGAAAGAAAAGCTATAACTGATGGACGTCTCACGCTCTATATATGGCTTATTGAAATAATATCAAGAACAAAACCATTGTGATTTCAACACATAATAGACAGTGAATTTAATTATAGGAGATACTAATTCAAGTAATAGATACATCTAGGTTATAATGAAATGCTTTCAAATCAAAGCCCGTTAATCTGACCCTGACAGAAGGTCAAACAATAAGGTTAATTCAATTTCAACCAATTACAGCCTTTGCAAGTTTGTCTCCAACTCTTGGATGTATTCAATTTGATTTAAAGAAAGATTTGATTTGAGTTGCTAATTTATTCATTTGATATATATATATATATATATATATATATATATATATATATATATATATATATATATATATATATATATATATATATATTGCAATTACTTTACCCTTCAAAAATTTTAATTTGTAGTACGAACAACCATAGAAAGTATAAAAACCTCTTTGTGTCAAAAACTGTTTACATAAATTCAAAGCACAGACTAGTTTAAATGATCATTGTAAGAATAATGTGGATAAAGATAAATTTTGAAAATACTGCTATTGTTAAGTGCATACTGCACAAACATTATGGCTATTACTTTGCTCTCAAAATATCTTATAAATCATTAAGGCCAGTTCAGTACTTTCCCCCACTTAAGTAACATCTTTAATTCTCCACCAAAACTGCATGGAATTTCAAATCATGCTAGTTTTATTTCAAGATAGTCAAAATGAAGCAAGTTTGCTTATTTCCTTTCTCTTTCACTTAGAATTTGAAGAAATGCAATAAGTAAACACAACGGTAAAGAGGCTGTGGAGAGGGGGAAACTGATAACTGTGGTTTGGCCTCGTAACTGCTCAGTGCTCACATTCATCACAGAAGCTGTTTCCACAGCATGGTGCCACCACTGCATCAGTCAATAGATCTTTACACAGCTCACAGAGGAGTTCAGATGGAATGTGACGGGACTCTCGCTTCCTCTCTGGAGAATCTGGTGCAAATGGAGGTTTTTCACGTTTTCCAATGGCAAATGCTTCTCTGTAGAATAACAAAATGTATGCCCTTACCTTTATTATATAGTAAACTAGTTTACAATGAATGTCACATTTAGATCTTGCATTAATAATAATAATAATAATAATAAATTTTTTCCTCTTAATTTTTCATTCCAGCATTATTATATTTTCTCCCATGTACACAATCCAAAAAGATTGTGACACTGACAACTAATAGAACAATCAGAGTTTACATCCTTTCAGTACACTGAAAAACAGTTCTTATAAAAGATACTAAGAAATTGTCCTCACTTGTCAATTGTAGGCACTACATAATGTCCAGTATGGGTCAACAAGGCTCCAGTTTGGTCACCATCCTCTACTCTGGTAAGAAAGCTAATTGGTATCCCTGTTGGTCTTTTCAAGCGAACCTCTACTGGAGGGAGATTTGGGTCCTGAATATACATTATCAGTTTATTTCTTCTAATACAGAATATTTTCCCTTTGTGTACTTGCAAAATACATTTAAAAAATAGAACATATTTTTTGTTGTTTGTAATAACTTATGGAGAAGTGTCATTTATTGCATGTGTGCAAATGGAATCACAACGACAACCCCTCTTCCTGCAGACTGAATTGCATAATGAAACTTACATTTTTATTTGGGCACTCATGTATATAATGACCAGCTTGATTACATCTTCTACACCTATAAAATGCTGGAGGGGGGCCTGTTGGTAAATTTGGCTTCACATACCTATCAAATAAGGAAAAAAAATAATTTATTTATTGGACCAATAAAATATAATTACCTTATTTACACAATAATCTTTGAAATAAATAAATGTATATAAATAATTTTTCAATCCCAAAATCAAACTTCTTTAAATTAAAAATTCAACAAATTTCCTGGCTATGCAATATCTCTGGATGACTTCTTATAAAATTGTTTGAGAAATATTATTCCCCATTTCTAAAATAAACGTCTTTTAAGCCCAAGTGGGTCATACTTGGAAGAATCATATTCCATAGTGGACTGTGACATCATGGCCTTCACCTTGTCCTCTTCTGATGCATGGGCTGTGTGTAAATCAGCAGTCTAGAAATAAAGTATGAAATTGCAATGGGACAACTGTCGTTTCTTCTTCACTGTCACCAGATTAATTCATTTTATTGCATTACTTTCTCTACTGCATTATTTCTTTGTCATACTACAGTGTTACTTTCAAGCAGTATTATACCCCTGTATTTATTCTTCCCTTTCCATGGGGGAAGGAGGTGGTGGGGCATGTCACTTGGCACCCACCTTTTATAATGTCATAGGTTTTCCTTTGATCAGAATCATACAGACAATTTTTGTTTTGTAAGTAAACATTTTCCACACATTTATTTGGCTTTATTATTATTTGAGATTTAATACAAGCCAAGCTGTGGTTATCATCTTTTAAGATAAGTTCACATTATAGATATGTCTATGTTATAATGTTAACACTTTCAAATCAAAGTCCATTAACCTGACCCTGACAGAAAAAAAATGAAGTTAATTCAATTTTAACCATGTATGTTTGTCTCCCACTCTTGGACTTAAAATAGAAGAAAGACAGAGACACAGTGTGACATATTGCATTTTAACTTGTTACCTTAAGGATTAAAATAACAGATAGGTCAAAAATGTAAGTTCAAGGTCAAATCTTTTCTGATTAGAAACCCTAGAAAACACAAGTTTTATCTATGAACACATACCATGGAAACATAAAAGGGGTTTAGTATTTCAGTTACTCAAGAATTTAATACAACGACACAAAGACCAACTGTTTAGACACAGTACGTTCATACAAGGTATTTATGATTGTTGACAGACACAACTATCAGAAGCGTAGAAAAGCATATCCATATGAAGAATAAAAAGGACAGTGGGATGAGGGTCCATATTCTTCCTGGAAGAGAAATGGATCATCAGACAGCAGTGAAACTGATCCATATCCAATTATAGAAGAGTTAAAAGATGATTTGTGTAGGAATAAATGATTCAAAAAAAGATTTCAAGGGCAGACAAAGACATACAACACATCCTCATTGAAAAAAGTCATAGTTGTATGAACAGCAGTTAGGTTGCATCTCACATAAAAACCAGTGCCTCCTTGAAATCAAATTGAGCTGACACTTGTATCCCCCAAAAGAAAAGAAAGGACGACCAGTAAATGGAGAACAGAGTCAAATACTGTTGATACATTTTAAACAGTGCTCTTTCAAACTGATCTTTAAGTAGGGTAACACTTTTTTTAACCAGTGTCCCAACTTGTGCAGACAAGTTCTTTATTTTGGATCTAGAAGTACTACCAGTCTGAATATCTGCAAAAATTAGATTTACCATACTTTTGGGAAAATAAATTGAAAGACAAACGTAAAACCTAAATCCTGTAGTATTTTTCAAAATTGCCTTGAGAGGCTTGGGTGGTCTGCATAAACAACACATTTATTAACAATTGATGGTAGAGACACCATATTCACTTTCAAGAAGCTTGGATATTATTTTTAAGGCCAAATTGACAAAAGGGGGTAAAAGGAATAAAGAGGAGCAAATATATAATTCATACAGCTCAAATTTACAATGTACCCATTATTAAAAACTTGGAAAGTGTTGACCTACTGTTATTCAAATATGAAGAGGCAGATATTTTCCATCCATAAGTTCAAATAAATTGTAAGATGGAAATATTTTCAAACTTGCAGAACTATGTTAATATTAGTAACAGTACAAATTTTGAAAAAAAAAAAAAAAAGGCTGGTTATTATTATCTAAACAAGACATTTAAATCCAACCTGGATCATAGTAAGGGTAATTTTAATAACAAAAAGCTGGGATACACAATCAAATGATACAGAAGTTGTGACAAGGGTTAGCACACACGCATAATAATTGTGATATTATGAAAATCATGCTATAATGTTTGTGTACATTTTATCAATAGACAATAGAGAACCGATTTAAAAATTGACAATAATTCTGAGCAAGGAAGGTCAAAGTGGATGAAGAAAAATTGTAGCAAATCGGTCAGTTGGAATAATTGACCAATTTATTATCGTTCATCTCAACATTAGCAATATTTATGTCACAGTACTTGACTAAAAGATACTTTTTAAAAAGTGAAACAAAAGTATTATGTACCTGCTTCAACTTCTCAAGGGTCATTGGTTGCAGATCACTCTGTTAAAAAAGACAAAAAACAAAGCATTTAACATTTAAAATCATGTCAGTAGCTGTCTCAGTGACATCTTCTGTTTCCTTCGATTCCCTTTAGCTATCAACCATTACATTTCAATATGTGAACCACCTTCAGATTATGCCTGCAAATAAATTATTTCTCCCCTGTTATCTTCTGTGGGTGCCAGGGTCAAACAATAAGATTGCAACAGCCAAATGCTACTTCACTCACTCTCACATTATTTGTAATTTAAATCTATTATTGTCTCAATAATTGACTTTTCTTACATTTCATATAATCAGTATAACTTTTCTCAAAATACACAAATTTCAAAATTACAAGAAGAATAAATTTAATCCCAGAAACATCAATTTCCCCTTAACTTTCATGGAAATTGGTAGATTTTTCAGTTTGTACAGTAAATTAAATAACTATTGTATAAACTACTCATCTGGCTTTCAAACTTGGATTGAATTTCCTTTCTTTTCTTTTGACAAAACACTTGGTTAAATTGATTATCAACATTAAGTATACTTCATTTGGTCTTTCTGATTATAACACCAGTCACAAAATGATGAGTTATTAAGCAGTTTACAGCTAATAATGAGCTAGGTTAAGCTTTAAGTGGGACACACAAAATCATTCAATCTGGGCTGATGCAATCCCCATGTCTGACACAAGACAAAAGGAACAACAGTCAACCATACTGTAACAACTTTATTGATTGTTCAAATCATGAACTCACAAAAATGGCATTTATATCAACAAGAAAAATAGGTCTGTTAAAAATATAGTATTTTTTCACTTTGTAAAAAGTGTAAAGGCATTAACAACATCAACAGAATGTTGACTGTATCAAAATAACATATAAAAATATGAAATTTAAGACAATATAAAAAAAACAATTAAAAATCTTAAAACAAAACAATTAATGACTACAAACAATACTATATCCAAATATCCCAACAAAGTCTTCTCAAATGACATTCTCCATATGCATTGTCTTTAATTACTTGTCACAGAACTGTTTCTAAATAAACACCAACCATCCCCTGAGTTTTACTGATTCAAATTGTACAATGACAATTATTTCTGATTTTTTAAAATTAAAATTAGCACTGTACAAACAGGTCATTAACTATTGTAGCATCCTGGAGCTCAAAACTGCAAGTAACACATGCAGTTCTTTCTTTCCAAGATTGCAATCTGTTTCAAATGGTAATGACCACCAACCATTCCTTTAATAAAGTACCCAATTCCCATATCACAACAAAATGCGCATATCATAAACAGTATAACTTAAAACCAATATAAGTCAAACTTTTGTTTTGAGCATCAAATGTCCATTATCAACGGAACACCTCAGATATTCTCGCTTAACATGTTTGCAAAACATGGATGATTTACTGTACACGAAATGAGAAAGAGTCATGCACTGTTCACATTATAAACATATTCATCTCATTTTGACCTTAAAATCTTCACTTCTAAAAATAAAATAAAGTCATTTCTCATTGTAACTCTAAGAGCTTTCAAGGTTAGTTTTGTGATCCATAAACTGAACTTTTTTACAATCATGTTACAACATTATATTCTAGTAGAGCACATATAAACTATCTTACTATTAATAAAGCAATCAGTTTTGAATTTACCAAAGAAAATCCATTGACACCACTGTTAAATTCTAATTCTCTTACAGACACCTGAAAGCAACTGTTGTGTAAAATGCCATCACAAATATACATTTCTTTGGGTAGCATTTATTTCTATATGTATTAGCATCTCACTGAACATGGACTTTTGTCTTTTGTCTACATAAGATACTCAAGGCATATATGAAACTTAACTTTTTGAAACAGCCTGAAACCTTAACATACAACAGCTATGATATAACTATGATATAACACTTATACTCCTTAAATGATATTTCATGAGCAAGATCATTTGTGAAATATGAATTCAGACCATAGGAGGAAAGACAGTGCAAACAAGATGTTGATGTACGCATGTCATACACACCAAACCGCCCATCTCTGTGCAAACAAACCCGGGCGGACGGAGCTCCTTATGCTATCACTAGTTCTACTTACGATACAAGGATGAAAAAATTGATCAAAATTTGATATGTTGTTACATACTGCCTTAGGACCGTTGGACTCTGGACGCGGTAGATTTTGATGTTGCTGTTCCCTAAAAGATTAATTTGAATGAATATCATTTCATGAATAACATCACTGTATCCATACTTAATATTCAATTATGCCCATTTATGCCCAGTTACTGTGCCAATTCCAACATCAGTGTTAAAATTTTAACCAAGTTGATAATTGATGAAATGAATATAAGAGTCCTGAACAAAAAAATCTCTTTTTATTTTAGAAAGCGTGAAAATTAAATTTGAAACTTTGAATACTTTTTTCAAAACTTACCATGGTTTTGGTTGTTTACTTATAGGGATGCGCGCAACCAAGACCGATGTATTCTTTGGAATGAGTTCTTCATCGTTCATATACTCTGAAGGATAAAATAAAACTTTAAGTACCAACTTTAATGAACGACTCACAGCACAAAATTTAAAATGGTTTCCACTAGTTTAACAATAACATCCAGAACTCATCGAATTACCAACAGCATTCAATAGTATTTATTGATGTTAGGAATTAAAATGGAATTCACTTCTTAATTTTTCCTGAAGTTTAGACACTGAAGGTACATCCTACAGAAAACATAGCAGTATGATCCTAGAAAGCTGAATTGTGATGCCCAAAGGTGAACTTAAAACTTCTAAGTATATCATCAAACAAATTACATTATCCAAAGGGTTTTGGCCAAAAAGCCATGACCATATATTTTCAGTTATAAATGCATGTCAACTGTGGGCAGAATGGTCAATAGCATAATTTTTCATAAGGTATACAGAACTCTTTTATTGTAAGATTGGGTTAGTATTTTTAGACTTTTTCATCATGAGCATTTGTTGACCAATTTTGACACATATTTAGAGATATCTCATTTTTGCAAAGTTTTAGACAAAATTAACAGACAGGGTACACTTTGAAGTGTTATTATCATGATGCATAGGCACAGTTATTCTTCACCAAAAATTAAAAGCAAACAAAATCCATAAAGATGTGCAAAATGGTGAAATTAGTATTTATTTTGAACAGATGAAACCGAGATTCACCTTCTTGGGTCTGTGCATTGATGATCTGGAACCGGAAATTGTCCATGCTTTTCTGAAGCTTCTTCTGTTGGATGATGGCCTTTTTGAGATCCCCCAGGGATATATGCAGCCCATCAAATGTGATTGTTTCATGGTTGCGGCTGCTCTTAAACTTGAAATACACATGAGACATCTTGACAACTTCAGCTGAAAAGGCCCTTTGAACTTTTCTAATAGGCTTTTGCCAAATAACTCATCAATTTCGGTCTGAAAATGAAATGACCTTGAAAACCACTATCACTATCAGTATCAATCACAACACAGGAATATTTTCAAATATGTATTTGAAACCCATATATTCCATTATTAAATGATGTATTTGTGTTAAGTTGCATGCAATTCAGGAACGTAAACCATTGCAATCTGACAAGTAGTCACTGTTATTTGTAAGGTGTTTTCCTTTCTTCAGTCTAACATTAAGACCTTGAAAACTGCCAAGTCATTGTTTTTTTGAATACGGGTACATGAAAAATCTGCATAAAATTGTGTGTCATATCACGACAGTAATGTTTCTATAAAATAAGTCCATCCAACTATATCAGTTCAGTTCTGTTACGAATAAATTCTCCTTTCCTTTGTCTAGAACGTATCAAACATCTTTTTCTTCACGCTTTGTCATAAATTTCAAACACATGGTTTGAGAAAGTTCTGAATAAATGGGTCCTTGATGCAACTCAGGTAATACTCCTATGTTCTTGAACACTGCGTCTTCTTAAAAAATCTTCTCTGAGTCTCTAAAAATGAATTCTTGCCTTACTGAATCTTTAATAATACAGGACACGCAGACGCCCTGAGAACTCAGCTAACATGGCCGCCTTAAAGGTGGGGATTCCCGGATGTTCACAAGGAAGTATCGTAAAATCCCGCAAATTTTCGCAGTGACGTCACATTTTCACTATGGCGCTGCGATGAATGGAGTTCAAGAAGGTACGTATAACTGTTTTGATGATTTATTCCTTATATTGTTTTCCATAGTGGTTATTTTTTATCATATATTTGTCAGAACATATGTATATCGTCACTCCATTTAATCTTATGCCAATACATGAAACTCGTATGCCGAGAATATTTCACTTGTTTACATTTTAGTAATTGCTACCACATTACTTTCACTATAAAAGAACAAAAAGTTTTTTTCTCGATAAATGTGGATACAGATGTTTTCATTTCGTGAAATATGAACAGCCAACAAAAAACCTGCTTTGGTAAAGAAGAAGTATTGGCATATGTGCATAAGCAAAACCAAAAAGAAAAAAACTATGTATAAACACATGACATTCAATGAGTAATATTGTTTTTTTTTTTTCCAAGTGGAAAATCAAGATCTGTGAGATGTCACATTTCACAGTAACTGTCTTGGCAATTAGGTTACAATCTAAAAGGGCATGTCAGGACATTTGTTTTAATTTCCTCGAACATGACAGTGTTATGAGTTAAATGTAAAATGTTGTCCAGTCAGGCACAACAAGTTGAATTAAGGAATGATTCTTCCAGAAATATCTCATTGACAATATTCTGTGATATGAAATATTTCTGGTTATATTAAGGTGTTCCTTTGTGAATGGAACTATATGTTATAGCTATTTTTGTTTTCAAGTAAATAAGTGTGATATTTTACTTGATGAATCAAATAAAATTGAGGTGTTATCTATATATGTTTGTGAGCTTATGATAACATGATCTCAGAGAACAAACATAACATACAGTTTTTAACTGTATTTCAGGATACTGGATTGTTGGAAGTTGAGGTGGGATGACAGGCTGCCTCTCATCCCCAGAATGTAACACTGCTTATGGCTACTAAAAGTTTAGAAACAAGGGCCAGTGAGTGCTTCCAAAAGGGCCAATATGATGAAGCCATTAAACACTATACCTTGTGTTTATCTAGTGTATCCCAGACTGCATCTAAAGATACAAAAGCCACGCTGCTTTTCAATAGATCATCTTGTTATCTGAAACAGGTAAGGGATTGGTGATTCATTATTTACAATAGGGAAGTTTTGCATATGCCAAAGTGCAAAAAGCCTTGTTTTTACTTTTAAGTGGGGTTTAGCTTACCTTACAAAGTTTGAGTACAAAAAACTCAGACATTGCATGTGTTATATATGTCCATAAAGATGGCATGAGCGGTGACTGGTGGCATGGGTGAAAAAAATGTGCTCAGTTGACACATAAAACTATGTTGTTAGGTGCCCCAAAAATGTTTAATGGATATGAAGTCTGTTTGTCCTTGATATTTTTAAGGATGATCTTTCAAAATATTTGTAAGCTGGAATAACAAACTGAATTAAATGATTGGTAATGGTGAGCAGAAAGTGATGATGTGGTTCACAATTGCTGCCTATCATTTTGACAAACAGAATCTTATTTTGTCAATATGGTGTATTTTCTTAATCCAGCATGGAGCTGACATGATTTTCTTGCACAGCACAGTCAAATACTAGTAATCAACAAGTTGTTTTTAAATACAAACGCTGCAAAAAGTATTTTTGTTTTACTTTAAATTTACCGAGTGGAAAATTGGCATGTTCGGTTTACATTTACAGTAATTCTTCTTTCCTTTTTTTTTTTTTCACACAGCATTTTCAGTGGCTTTTATATCCCATGTAACTGAATCACTTGCTAGTTTTTCAATGTCTATGTTACCTGTAGTTCATAATGTAAGAGGATAAGAGTGATTTTGCTGTTTTAAAGCTTTATCTAACAATGCATCAAAATTGGCCAAAATATTATTTTGTACACTTTTTTCTGCGTAATGTCTAAACATTTGTCAGCTTAGCTGTCTTGTTTCCTGTAAGGTGTTTGTATATTTGCCAGCTTTGCTGTCTAGTTAATATTAAGTCTTTAAAATCAAGATGTGCTGTAGACATTAAGTTTTTTTTTTTTATAAAGCATTATGCAAATCATTAGTAATTGTTAAATCTGTATGAGTACTGAAATATGTTTGTTGTTGAGTCTGTATGTTTTTTAGTAATTCTTTATCTTTTTCAGAAACTTTTTGAGAATGTTGTAGAAGATTGTTCAACAAGTAAGTCAGTGATCGATGAAATGTAAAGTGGTTTCAGGGAATAGCCATAAAACAATTCTGAAGTGTACTGGTATGAACAGTAGGCGTAATGTACTCAGTCTCCACTAGTCTATTATCAAGTATTGATTTTTGATTAAGAAGCCATGGTATTTTTGTAGGATAAAAAACATGTCTCTTTGTGCTTAGAATTAACAAAAAAAAAAGATCAGAGGCCTTCAATATTTTTTCAAGATTCATTGTTTTTATTATATTATTTGAGGAGAAAAGGATATATCAGTCCCAAATAAAAGTGAAAATGAAAATCTATTTAAAAATGAAGAAAGTTTTTTTTATGTGCTGTAGTTAATATCTTGGCAAAGTTCTATAGCAAGAAAAATTTACTTCAAAATTCAATCTAGGCAAAATTTGGTCAGTGATTGGTCGAACATTTGAAGAATTTTTGTGAAAAGAATCAACTTGCAGTGTTTTTTTGTGCCTTGAGAACACCAGATTTTGGAAGGGAACTAAAAGTATAATTTTTTGTTTTTATCATCTCTGGTCTTGTTTATATTGAGAAATGATCTTCAACTTTACCTCAAATGAGATATGTGCATATATAACTGAGGAATACATGTCCTAAAAATTAATCTCCCGTTACCTGCCTTGACCTTGCCAACACTATTTTTATATCAAAGTACTTATACATCTTGGAAGAGAAGCCAATGGGAGAAGCTTTTATTTAGGGCCTCAATCAATATATTTAGTCTTGTTATTGACCACAGAGATCTTCTTGTATTGTTGACAGGAATTGACAGTTAAAGGGAGAATCAATAATGTAAATATTTCATAAATGAAGCAAGTGTTTGCTGCATTCAATATTACAATCAAAATATAGCATACATGACTGCATTGCAGTTCTTGAAATATGGCTTAGAAAACTGTTGATTGAAGTGTTTATGATGTACTTGTTGCCCAACAAAAAGGGATGCCGATTTTAAACTATAAACCACATGGGAATGTCTGGCCATGTGGATAGTTTTACTTTTTGAAAAACAAACCAATTGTCCTGGTTATTTTTCAGTTCTAAAATTTGACACGAAGAATACTAGGGCTTATGCCAGAAAAATTAAGGCATTGTGCAATGGATTAGGAAGGTTTTCAGAAGCACATCAGACAGCAAAACGGTGGTATGCAGCTGACTCTCAGGTGAGAAAGCTATTCAGTTCATAAATGTTAATGAGAAGCTTGTCAGACAAGTATGTTGTGAAGTAGATATGTAAAAATACCATTTTATAGAAGTAAGTAGAAAAAGAAGGTGGAAAAAATGAAGTCCCCCCCCCCCATTGTTATATATTATTACATACACCATATTATTATTATTATTATTATTATTATTATTATTATTATTATTATTATTATTATTTAAATATAATTTCTTTCATTTTTTTGTGTTGAATTAAGTGATTCTTGAGTTTGATGAATATGCCTTGCTTTATATTTACATAGAATGCTCAAGCAAAGAAAGAGGTGGAAAGACTGGAAATAATCCTCAATGCTATGAAAGAACAGGTAAGCAGGGTCTGATGTTCTTAACTAAATTATTAATATCAGAATATTTACCTTTACAGAGAAACGACAAATTTGGACTTTTTTGAAGACTGTATGAGATCTTATTTAAGTTGGGATTTTAATGTCATTTGTCACCAATTTAGTTTTGGTTTTTTATGTAAATGTTAACATTTTTGTCTTTGAAGGATGAGGAAGATGATGATGTTCTTGTGTCTGATAGAGGTGATAGGGGTGATGGGGAGGAAAGAACACCACCAGAAGGAAAAGAGGCTGACCCAGATAATATATCACTTAATGTTACCACATCATCTGGAAATGTCAGTAAAACACCCTTGCAAATAAAAACATCATTGCCTGGGACTCTACAAAATGGATCCAGAAATAATGATAACACAGACTCAGGTTTGGAACTTTTTTTTTCTAATATCTGCTTAGCTTTGTTCAAGTCAAATTGCCAATATTTGAAAGATATGTAATGTCTTAAATCCAGTTTAACAAACTACAGAACCAATGATGGCCTTTCTTTGATGAAGAAAAAAAGATAGGTTCAGAAACATATATTTATCAACAATGTATGAATCGAATCTCTTCACCCAAAACAACCTTTTTGCAATTGTATACCTTCAGACTCAGCATCTTCATCACAGTCTTCAGTCAAGTCAGACAATACTGCCAAACAGCTACATTGTGTGCCATGCAGCATGGAGTTTAAGAACAATGAAGACTTGGATGTTCACCTAAGCAGTGAGGTCCATAGGCAATCTGTCAGTCTGGAGGAAGATAAAAATTGGAAATTTCGACCTCCTCCTAGAGGGCTGACCAGTGAGGAATACACCATCTGTCCTAGGTAATTGTTCTGAATTATTCTGCAAAAGCATTTTCCTCATTTAAGAAATATTTTGAATATTCATTTGGCAACTGCATTATTACCAGTCATGATTTGATTGAAAACAGATAGGAACATGACGTTTTCATCAGATATTTATGAAGATATTTACACATAAAGATAAAGAATATGACCTACTGTATTCTTTGTAAGTAGTATGATATACAACATCATTATAAAGGTAGATTTATTTTCATAAATGTGATATTGGAGCCTAGAGTGAACATTGCATTTTTCTCACATTTTAAGGCAACAGACATCAGGCACATGCAAGTATGGCACTCGTTGCACACATGCTCATTCTGATGCAGAGCTAGTTGAGTGGAAACAAAGATTTGACTACAGAAGGCATAACAGTACATCTTCTGGAGATCAAGTAGCTGTAAAGAGATCATATGCAGAGCTGTTAATGGAGAAGTGGATAAGGGCAGAGAATAAAGATGCAGTAGTAAGTAGAATCCATTTGTTTAAGTAGCTTTGAGCATATTTTATAATCACTTCCTTTGATGCAGACCCTTTCTTGTATTAAATATTGAGTTTAAGATGTTAATCAAGCTTTCTTTATTGATAAATAATTTAAAGCAAATTTTCATGGGTAGGTTTGTAGATATAAACTATTCTTTATGATTAATGTATATATAGGGTAAGAAGAATATAATCTTGGCTTAATAATCAAATGTTTTTATTCAACCTATTTAGATGAAGGAGGCAATTGAGAATGTGAAGGTCCATGTGAACTCTGATCTGACTGTAACCATGTCAACCAAGAGATGTACAAATGCCTGGACATTTACACTTACGAGTAGAGTTAGTATTCAATATAAATGTTCCATTTTGTTGTGTAAAAATGTAGAAACTACCACGAAATGCATCTGGTCCCTGTTGGTAACAGATTCTGCATTGTTGATCATATTTTGACATTTTTATGGTGTTTAAAAACTGCTAAAAGTTAAATCTTTATGTATATTGATATTGAATAGATGTGCTGTTTTACAGACTTTATTGACTTACTGTTATCACCAGCACTGTCTTCTGTGTGTGTCTACTTGGTCCCTTTTTATTTCAGGATTGCTTACATAGGATTATTCTATTAGATGATGCCTCCAGGGCCCACTATAGTATAGGCAGTGTCACTGTAGGACCAAAGAAAAGTCAGAAGATACAGAAAGTAGAAGACAATTGTGTGGAATGGACAAATCCCAGTATAAAACTGAAGGGAAATAATGAGAATGTGTACAGAATTAAGGTAGGTGATATAATCATCTAAATATATTAGAATGTTTGGAAGATTTTTAGAAACAGATATTTTGTGTCTGTATATATTTTGATTGCTGTCTGTATTGCTTTTGTTGTCTGATGCATCTGTTGTTCACCTTATAACTGTCCAACAGTCTTTTGGTTTTACTTTAGACTTACTGTGAGACTTTTTTTTTTTTTTTTGATCAAAATTAAGGTGCCCTTAAAAATGAGCATGATCCAATAGTTTCATGAACATCTTCAGTCTGTAAACTGAGAAATGGTTACAGAAAAGTTAATCATTTCTTGCAATATCATCACGTGTATCATCAATTTAACAAGTTAATATTTTCATTCCAGATTGTATTTAAAGCTGAGATATTTGGAACATTCCGCCAATCTGTAGTGTTTGACTTTGGTAGTGAGCCAGTTCTCTACCAGCAGCTCTGTGTGGATGCCACTCCTGTCAGTGACATTGAGAAGCTGCAGCAAGATCTCATCATCTCTGAGAAAGGACGATGGGATCTGGCAAAACTTGAGATCATACAATACAAACCTAGGTGTGCAATTTGTATCTCCTAGATGTTTGTTTTAATTGATTTTTTTTTCATATTTTTTTTTTTTACTTTTTAAAATTTTATTTTACATTAAAGATCAAAAGGTATCTAGAATGGTTTTTCAGAACTAAGGTAAAAGATTGTGGTCTGTGGAAGAGCTATTGCTATGTTGGAACAATTTAAATCCCCAGAAACTTATACTTTTTGAGTAGATGGATATCCAAGGTGATTTTTCCAGTTATCTGTTATAAGCCATGTATATTGGATTTAAATGTTAATTTTACTTATACAGTCCCTTCCCTATACTGGATGGTGATCGACAGCTTCTCGAAAATTACCAGCCTCCAGTGGCAGAAGAGCTCAGGAAGTCTCCATCCATTGCTGAACTTAATCTTTCTGCAGAGAACTACAGACAAAGGATGCATGACTTGCTTTATATTGAAGAAATGGCTCAGTATGCAAGCATTGCAAGGTAAATAAAAAGCTATAAGAATGATGTTCCATTAAAAATATATGACACAAATTTTTGTAAACTATTGCAAATGGCCAAACTCTTGCATTTTTTTGAATAGGTATAAGGCAATTTTTTCAATTGTGAAATATTCAAGTTAAATGGATGACAAGACTTTTTACATGTCACCAGGTTATGGTGATGTTAAAATAATTATGGGCATCAGTCCCTCATTTCACCCCAGCTTTTCTCTTTGTTAAAGAATTTTGAAATGTATGTATTATCTAAAATGTTTCTACTGTAATTTCTTCCAGATATAATGTGAAGACAGCACTTCAGATAGTGGACAAATTCATCCTTTTACCAGCAAACAATGCTACAGCAAAGTATGCTGTGAATGGGGAGCTGTTTGCTAGAATGAAGCTGAATACAGAGATTTCTGAGGACACTTCACATGGACGGTTGATTTTACAGACTGTTAACACAGTACTTCTTGCTCCCTTTGACCCGAAGAAGAAAAACAAGGAACCAGAAACGGTATTTCATCTTCATAAACAGTTTTATTTTGACTTTTACAATTATTTTAATATGGCATCCAAATGTATGTTATTGCATTTGTTGCTAAAGTAAATGGTTTTTATGTTTGAATAAAAACTGTGATGTACTGTATTATTATTATTATTAGACCTTTTTCAGGTATGGCATAAATTTTTGTCAAAACTTGTCAGAGTAAAAGTCAATGTACCTGTTTGTTAGTATGTCAATTATAGATAGACATGAACTATTACCACATAACTTCACTTGTAGGATTTCAAGCTGCATGAGCATGTTAAACATAAAAAAGTTCAATACTGTTTGTTCCACTGGTAGCCTTCATGTTCATTGTTTTACCAGGTATATGAAGCAATGGTAGAGGAGAAGGGGAAGGATTTCATCATGGTCAGAATTTCAAAGGAATGTGTACAGGAGTTAGGACTCAAACCAGACAAAGAACTAAATGCCGAGGTATTTGTTAGTGCATATTTTATTGAGTTCATTTATTATTATTATTATTATTATTATTATTATTATTATTATTATATCTCCTAAATGGGTTTTGTAAATCAGCATGTTCTGAAAAAGAAACTTAATTCCTTTAAAAAGGATGTGAAATATTAGAAATATTTTTTAAGAAGTATAAGTTAACTTTACAAAGTTAAAAAGATAGCAATTATTTAAGTTATGAACAGAATTAGTAACAAGATATATATATATATGTATATATATGTTAATTTTATCTTCAGGTCCAGTTCCAGCTGAACAGACTCCCTGTGTGTGAGATGCACCATGCAATAGACAAGCTACAGGACGTTAGACTAGTGTTTCCAGATTTAGATCATTCTATTTCCATTCCTTGGACACCGAGGAGGTATGCAGATATACATACATTACTTTTATTTTCACTATATGTATATGGTGTGGGTATTATTTTGTGCTTTTTACATAAAAAAAGATTCTGCATTAAAAAAAATCTGATATATACAGATATTGTTAATATACTCCTTCATGGTACATACAGGTTATTGCGTGTGTGGCTCTTGCAAATTACTATAAAATATTCTTTACATACAAAGTCAGACCTGAAAAACATTCGGTATTATATTGCTTTTATGTAAAATTCAAGTCAGTGTTCCTGTTAGGCTAACCATTGATTGTTTTCATGCTTTTATTGTTTTGGATGTCAGCTAAAAAAAGAATTAAGCATACAAATTGTTATGTGTATGATATGTGCTCACTTTGAGTATTCATTTCTATTTGTTGGCAGCATGGGAAGGAACTTGGATGGGTAATTATTTCTAGTAGTAATAAACAGCTTGACTGGTAGTTTTGTCTTGTGAGCTTTGCTTTACCATATCTATATTGCAGTGCACTTAACTATTTGCAGTATATCTGATTCACTAGTGTAAGATTTTTTCTTTAATGTTATTCTTGTCTTGAAATTTTCTATGATCTGTCATGTCTCAAAATACTTAAGCCACAACTCTAAATTGGATCCCCAGTTTATTTGTTTGTTTTTGTTGTTATATTGTCATGTTTTCTTGTCTTCTCAGCACTTCTCTGACACAAAGGCAAAAGCTATACACATGTACTATATATATTTATATACACAATTTAATTTAGTACCATTAGTTTATTATGGTATGCTTTTATTTTGAATGGCATTATTTTACAATCATAGCTGCCAGGCATTTAGTGGTCAACTAATAGTACTTATTATCAATATAAAAGGTGAACTAATGGTACTTCTCTATGCAGGTTTATTCATTTAATTTATAAATTGAAATAAGAAAATAAAAATAGAAAAAAGTCTGATGTAGCAACTAGAAATAATCTGAATGGAATGGTTTATTGGGCAGACATGCTGAAAACTTTTCAGAATGGCTGGACATTTGGACCGGCAGTAATGAAAAATTTGCCGGACCGAATGGATTTTTGTCGGACCGGAAATCACTCTATTCGTTTGTGACAGATAGTACCAGTACGATTAGGGTAGCTTACTTTGTTTGTGAATGTGATAGTTTTGAAATGGAAGGGAAAAAACGCTTTGGGTTTTATATAATTTTATTAGTGAAGTATGTCAAAAGATGACTAAATTCAAAATTGCGGTTCTTAAAACTCTTGTCGGTCCTTTGGACCGACCAAGTCTAATTTTCTACCGGTCCAGACAAATTTTCCCGGTCATGACCGATTGGACCGACAGTTTCAGCATGTCTGATTGGGTATAGATAATTTCTCTCCAGTAAGTGATTGTATAATGTATTTGTTACATCGCTGACTTTTCAACTTAAAGATGAAAGTATTATGAACATTTTACCAAGCTTTAGTTACATATACAGTACCCCCTGTGAGCCTCATTTGAATAACTGACAGTATGTGGAGCAGTGATAGGCAGAATGTTGCTTAGGTGGTGAACATGGGTCTAAATGGGTGTAATTAGGTGCCTAACCAATGTATGTCATGCACAGTCAGTAACTGAGATAGCACTAACGGGGGGGGGGGGGGGGGGGGNNGGGGGGGATTGTCCCATATTCAACACTTCAAGATCAATCAGATAAGACAAATTAACTCATCGACATGAGTAGGTATTTAATAATAATAATAATAATAATATTTATTTCTTATATAGCGCATTCCATTTTTTACATTTCAATGCACTTTACAAATAATTAAAAAGTCTAAAAATAACAATACTAAAATACTTTAACATTTACTGATAAAATTAATTAATTAAAGAAAGCAGAGAAAATTTATTGATATAACTTTAAAATACTACTAAAATTAGTAGTATTTGAATAAGTGTTTCCATCAGCTTATAATGTTAAATATTTTTATTTGATTAATTAATAAATATAGTATGATGATTCAATAAAGCAAAGAATTTTTTCTCTGTGTGCCTTCCTCTTTAGTAGAACCTGAGAAATTAGCCTGTTCCACTATGCACTGAGCTTTTTTTGGACTAAATGGTCCTGGATTTTAATATGCCTCAGTAAAGTTAACAGCAATCGATAATGCAAAGCATTATTACATGTTTAGTATGTTTTATTTGATCAGATCTTGGTATACCATGATGGATGATTTAATTTTAATAGAGTATATGTAATCATTCTGTGTATGCATCATTTAAATAAAATGCCATCTGGTCCTCCGTACTGTATTTAAGAAGTATTGTTTCTTTTCTTGTGCTACATATACATTTCCGATCAAATTGTTAACTTCCAGACATTGATATATTTTCAGGCAGTGGAGTGATAAGCTAGATGCCAGACTAAATACCAAACAAAAAGAGGCAATTGTTGCAATGACAACCTCCCTGGAGATAGAGCTGCCCCCTATTCTTTTGGTCGGTCCTTATGGGACAGGGAAGACCTTCACATTGGCTCAGGCTGCTAAACAGATATTACAGCAAGAAGGCACCAGAATACTTATTTGTACACATTCAAATAGGTAGTGTATGGAAGAAACCAAGAAAATAGCAGATATTTTGGTTAACAAACAAGTTACACATGAAGCTATGATGGGATAATGTCATTGGGTTATTATTCCACAGATAATGTTGTAGTTTTTTTTGCTTATTGAATTGATATAAAGGCTGCAATCAGACAAATCTCACCTTGGTCAAAGTATATGTTATTGGCTCTCTGGTATGGCTGCCATACTTGTTAATATTACAAAATAATGAAGAAATGCACGAAGGAGTTTCTACTTAATTATTTAATCTGTAAATCTCTTTTTATTCCTTGTTTCAGTGCTGCAGACCTGTACATAAAAGACTACTTCCATCCATATGTAGAGGACAATCACTTAGAGGCCAAACCACTTAGAATCTACTACAGAAACCGCTGGATACAGACAGTGAACGAGACTGTGCAGAAGTACTGTTTAATAGATCCATCTTTTAATTTCCGCATGCCTACCAAGGAGGACATTGAGGGGCACCGAGTGATTGTAGCAACTCTCAGCACATCAAAGTACCTGTATGATATTGGATTAGAGCCTGGTAAATGTCTTTACTACTTATAACCAGGGTTTCTGATGAGTTAACAAGACTACTATTTATTGGCTAAAACTAAGGAAAAGTAGAATGGGAATTTGACTTAAATGGCATAAAATTTGCTGCCCTTTTCAGAAATTATTAATACAGATATACTCTTCAATCATTGAAAGATATCCTGTGCAGTTGCACAAAATTGACTTTTAGTAAAAATTGAGGTACCAATATTTGACAAATAAATATTGGTTTTTTTCCCATTAATTTCCAGATTGTTTTACCCACATATTGCTGGATGAGGCAGCCCAGGCGTTGGAGTGTGAAACAATCATGCCACTGGCTGTGGCCAGCAAGAAGACCAGAATTGTGCTGGCTGGAGATCATATGCAGGTATAGGGTCTTAACAGCTGAGGGATTCATTTAAAAGATAACTTGCCCCAAAATAGTCATTTTTTAGATAAAATGTAAATTCCTATAAAGAATGTTATTACATATGACCTTTTTTGTTCCTACAAGTTATTTTCTGCCATAATGATGTATATAATTGATTTAAAATGAGCAAAATGAAAGAATATATATTATTTTTTAACAGTCAGTATAATCCCTTATTTTTCCCTTATTTTTGTTAAATCCATAGTTTGCAAATAAAAGAATGTACTTGTCTTTAAATAAAATACCAGTCCTTAACTACCTCCATGTTTCTGTGTGCAGATGAGTCCAGAGGTTCATTCTGACTTCACAAGGGGCAGGAATTTACACATTTCCCTGCTAGAAAGGTTGTATGACTTATACCCTGGAGAACAGCCCTGCAAAATCCTTCTTTGTGAAAACTACAGGTCTCACAAAGCCATACTGGATTACACATCAGAACTGTTCTATGATAACAAACTTGTAGCTGGAAGTAAGCAGCCAAGGCATGAAGTGTTCTATCCCCTGTCCTTCTTTACTGCCAAAGGAGAAGATGTGCAGCACCAGAATAGCACTGCATTTTATAATAATGCTGAGGTAGGATTTATGTTTTTGTTTTCATTTTTTTATGTGTAAGATTGCAGTTTGTTATAAAGTTTCTTGTAAGATGAAAAAATTATTTACATCTTCTCAACTCAAATGTAAACATTCTAAGTGGCTGATAGCCAGGTGCTGGAATTTCTTTGTAATATCACAAGTTTCAAACCATTGTGCACAATAGATGATGTATCAGATTGGATATGTCTTTGCATACAGCTGTGACAGTCTTGAACTGAAAACGTATTTCATTAACTTGAATCATAATTTAAAATCTAGGATTCCTATTTGACCACCCATTTCACCCACCAGCTCCACTCTCATTTCAGGTCTATGAGATAGTGGAAAGAATCTCGGAACTGAAGAAAATGTGGCCCAAGTCCTGGGGTTCACAAGATGATGGTGCCATAGGAGTAGTGTCTCCATATGCAGACCAGGTCAGTCACTGATTATATGAAAAAATACTTCCTTTAATTGTTTTACCCTCTGATTAGGTACAAAGTATTTTTTCCTCCAAGAACACTAGTTTCAACTCATTTCAATGAAAACTGGGGTAAGGTAATGGTGGATTAAATAGGACAGTCTCTTTTTGATATCAAACCATGGGATTCTGCAACATCTGGGAATATTAGACATCTTATATTTCATTATCTGTTTTTTTTTTTTAATTTTCAGGTAGTTAGAATAAGGTCAGAACTTCGCAAAAGGAAGATGGGGGGAGTTTCAGTGGAGAGAGTCTTCAATGTTCAAGGTAAAATGTTGAAAAATTGTCAAGTAGTTATTTTATGCAACTGAACTGTGTTACAGCTATGAAATAATAAACACACCAGCCAGTAGTATGTTTTGTGGTTGTTTTTTATCACCAGTCTAATGTCACCTAAAAATTAAATACGTTTTGTTCTCAAAATGTTGCTTATTTCAAAAAAAAAAAAAATGTTGTTACAGATTGCCAGTGAACAGCAGGCTTGTAACTCCAAAATGTGCTCATAGCAAAATTTTAACAGTACTATCCAGCAACTTTTAAGAGCAGATTTCTAAATTTTGCCACCTGATCTAGTGACACCATATAATGTAAAATCGAAATTTTATATTTCAGGAAAACAGTTCCGTGCCATATTTTTGAGCACTGTTCGTACACGTAACACCTGTAGTACTGATACCACAATGGAGGATTTTATGGACTTTGGGTTCTTGTCTAATGCTAAACTTCTCACCACTGCCATCACTAGAGCCCAGTCACTGGTAGCTGTGGTGGGAGACCCTGTGTCACTGTGTTCTATTGGGAAGTGCAGGTATGATTACTGGTACCTTAATATAGTGATAGTAGAAAACCCCATCTATTAATTTTTTTTNTATATATATATATGTTAATTTTATCTTCAGGTCCAGTTCCAGCTGAATAGACTCCCAGTGTGTGAGATGCACCATGCAATAGACAAGCTACAGGACGTTAGACTAGTGTTTCCAGATTTAGATCATTCTATTTCCATTCCTTGGACACCGAGGAGGTATGCAGATATACATACATTACTTTTATTTTCACTATATGTATATGGTGTGGGTATTATTTTGTGCTTTTTACATGAAAGAAAATTCTGCATTTAAAAAAATCTGATATGCATTTATATATTTATTATATGCATCATATGGGGATTTACAGATATTGTTAATATACTCCTTCATGGTACATACAGGTTATTGCCTGTGGGGCTCTTGCAAATTACTATAAAATATTCTTTACATACAAAGTCAGACCTGAAAAACATTCAGTATTATATTGCTTTTATGTAAAATTCAAGTCATTGTTCCTGTTAGGCTAGCCATTGATTGTTTTCATGCTTTTATTGTTTTGGATGTCAGCTAAAAAAAAGAATTAAGCATACAAATTGTTATGTGTATGATATGTGCTCACTTTGAGTATTCATTTCTATTTGTTGGCAGCATGGGAAGGAACTTGGATGGGTAATTATTTCTAGTAGTAATAAACAGCTTGACTGGTAGTTTTGTCTTGTGAGCTTTGCTTTACCACATGGTGCACTTAACTATTTGCAGTATATCTGATTCACCAGTGCAAGCTTTTTTCTTTCATTTAATTCTTGTGTTGAAATTTTCTATGATCTGTCATGCCTCAAAATACTTAAAGCCACAACTCTAAATTGGATCCCCAGTTTATTTGTTTGTTTTTGTTGTTATATCATCATGTTTTCTGTCTTCTCAGCACTTCTCTGACACAAAGGCAAAAGCTATACACATGTACTATACATATTTATATACACAATTTGATTTAGTACCATTAGTTTATTATGGTATGCTTTTATTTTGAATGGCATTATTTTACAATCATAGCCGCCAGGCATTTAGTGGTAATTTAGTGGTCAACTAATAGTACTTATTATCAGCATAAAGGGTGAACTAATGGTACTTTTCTATGCAGGTTTATTCATTTAATTTATAAATTGAAATAAAATAAGAATAGAAAAAAGTCTGATGTAGCAACTAGTAATAATCTGAATGGAATGGTTTATTGGGCATAGATAATATCTCCCCAGTAAGTGATTGTATAATGTATTTATTACATCACTGACTTTTTAACTTAAAGATGAAAGTATTTTGAACATTTTACCAAGCTTTAGTTACATATACAGTACCCCCTGTGAGCCTCATTTGAATAACTGACAGTATGTGAAGCAGTGATAGGCAGAATGTTGCTTAGGTGGTGAACCTGGGTCTAAATGGGTGTAATTAGGTGCCTAACCAATGTATGTCATGCACAGTCAGTAACTGAGATAGCACTAACAGGGTTGGGGGGGGGGGGATTGTCCCATATTCAACACTTAACGACCAATCAGATAAGACAAATTTACTCACCGACGTGAGTAGGTATTTGAATAAGTGTTTCCATCAGCTTAAGGTTAAATATTTTTATTTAATTAATTAATAAATATAGTATGATGATTACATAAAGCAAAGAATTTTTTCTCTGTGTGCCTTCTTCTTTAGTAGAACCTGAGAAATTAGCCTGTTCCACTATGCACTGAGCTTTTTTTGGACTAAATGGTCCTGGATTTTAATATGCTTCAGTAAAGTTAACAGCAATTGATAATGCAAAGCATTATTACATGTTTTATTTATCAGATATTGGTATGACATGGTTGATGATTTAATTCTAATAGAGTATATTTTATCATTCTGTGTATGAATCATTTAAATAAAATGCCATCTGGTCCTCCATACTGTATTTAAGAAGTATTGTTTCTTTTCTTGTGCTACATACACATTTCCGATCAAATTGTTAACTTCCAGACATTGATATATTTTCAGGCAGTGGAGTGATAAGCTAGATGCCAGACTAAATACCAAACAAAAAGAGGCAATTGTTGCAATGACAACCTCCCTGGAGATAGAGCTGCCCCCTATTCTTTTGGTCGGTCCTTATGGGACAGGGAAGACCTTCACATTGGCTCAGGCTGCTAAACAGATATTACAGCAAGAAGGCACCAGAATACTTATTTGTACACATTCAAATAGGTAGTGTATGGAAGAAACCAAGAAAATAACGGATATTTTGGTTAACAAACAAGTTACACATGAAGCTATGATGGGATAATGTCATTGGGTTATTATTCCACAGATAATGTTGCAGTTTTTTTTTTTGCTTATTGAATTGTTGGCTCTCTGGTATGGCTGCCATACTTGTTAATATTACAAAATAATGAAGAAATGCGCGAAGGGGTTTCTACTTAATTATTTAATCTGTAAATCTCTTTTTATTCCTTGTTTCAGTGCTGCAGACCTGTACATAAAAGACTACTTCCATCCATATGTAGAGGACAATCACTTAGAGGCTAAACCACTTAGAATCTACTACAGAAACCGCTGGATACAGACAGTGAACGAGACTGTGCAGAAGTACTGTTTGATAGATCCATCTTTTAATTTCCGCATGCCTACCAAGGAGGACATTGAGGGGCACCGAGTTATTGTAGCAACTCTCAGCACATCAAAGTACCTGTATGATATTGGATTAGAGCCTGGTAAATGTCTTTACTACTTATAACCAGGGTTTCTGATGAGTTTACAAGACTACTACTATTTATTGGCTAAAACTAAGGAAAAGTAGAAAGGGGATTTAACTTAAATGGCATAAAATTTGCTACCCTTTTCAGAAATTATGAATACAGATATATTCTACAAGATATCCTGTGCAGTTGCACAAAATTGACTTTAAGTTAAAATTGAGGTACAAAATATTTGACAAATAAATATTGTTTTGTTTTCCATTAATTTCCAGATTGTTTTACCCACATATTGCTGGATGAGGCAGCCCAGGCATTGGAGTGTGAAACAATCATGCCACTGGCTGTGGCCAGCAAGAAGACAAGAATTGTGTTGGCTGGAGATCATATGCAGGTATAGGATCTTAACAGCTGGATTCATGTAACAGATAACTTGCCCCAAGTACATGACAGAATTGTAACATTTAGATAAAATGTTAAATTTCTATACTAAGAAAAGAATGTTATTACAAACGTTCTTTTTTGTTTCTACCATCTCTAAGTCATTTTGTGCCATGATGATGTATATAATTGATTTAAAATGAGTAAAATGAAAGAATATATACTTTTTAGCAGTAAGTATAATCCCTTATTTCCCCCTTATTTTTGTTAAATCCATAGTTTGCAAATAAAAGAATGTACTTGTCTTTAAATAAAATACCAGTCCTTAACTACCTCCATGTTTCTGTGTGCAGATGAGTCCAGAGGTTCATTCTGACTTCACAAGGGGCAGGAATTTACACATCTCCCTGCTAGAAAGGTTGTACGACTTATACCCTGGAGAACAGCCCTGCAAAATCCTTCTTTGTGAAAACTACAGGTCTCACAAAGCCATATTGGATTACACCTCAGAACTGTTCTATGATAACAAACTTGTAGCTGGAAGTAAGCAGCCAAGGCATGAAGTGTTCTATCCCCTGTCCTTCTTTACTGCCAAAGGAGAAGATGTGCAGCACCAGAATAGCACTGCATTTTATAATAATGCTGAGGTAGGATTTTTTTTTTTTTTTTTTTTTTTTTTTTTTTTTGTGAGTAAGATTGCAGTTTGTTATAAAGTTTCTTGTAAGATGAAAAAATTATTTACATCATCTCAGCTTAAATGCAAATGTTCTTCATGACTGATAGCCAGGTGCTGGAATTTCTTTGTAATTTTCAAACCATTGTGCACAATAGATGATGTATCAGATTGGATATGTCTTTGCATACAGCTGTCTTGAACTGAAAACTTATTTCATTAACTTGAATCATAATTTAAAATCTGGGATTCCTATTTGACTACCCATTTCACCCACCAGCTCCACTCTCATTTCAGGTGTATGAGATAGTGGAAAGAATCTCGGAACTGAAGAAAATGTGGCCCAAGTCCTGGGGTTCACAAGATGATGGTGCCATAGGAGTAGTGTCTCCATATGCAGACCAGGTCAGTCACTGATTAAATGAAAAAATACTTCCTTTAATTGTTTTACCCTCTGATTAGGTACAAAGTATTTTTTCCTCCAAGAACACTAGTTTCAACTCATTTCAATGAAAACTGGGGTAAGGTAGTTGTGGATTAAATAGGACAGTCTCTTTTTGATATCATACCATGGGATTGTGCAACATCTGGGAATTTTGGACATCTTATATTTCATTATCTTTTTTAATTTTCAGGTAGTTAGAATAAGGTCAGAACTTCGCAAAAGGAAGATGGGCGGAGTTTCAGTAGAGAGAGTCTTCAATGTTCAAGGTAAAATGTTGAAAAAGTATCAAGTAGTTGTTTTATGCAACTGTGTTACAGATACGAAATAATAAACACACCAGCAGTATGTTTTGTGGTAGTTTTTGATCACCAGTCTAATGTCACCTAAACATTAAATACATTTTGTTCTCAAAATGTTGCCTATTCCAAAAAAAAAAAATGTTGTTGCAGATTGCAAGTGAACAGCAGGCCTGTAATTTCAAAATGTGCTCATAGCAAAATCTTAACAGTACTGTCCATCAACTTTTAAGAGCAGATTTCTAAATCTTGCCACCTGATCTAGTGACACCATATAATGTAAAATCGCAATTTTATATTTCAGGAAAACAATTCCGTGCCATATTTTTGAGCACTGTCCGTACACGTAACACCTGTAGTACTGATACCACAATGGAGGATTTTATGGACTTTGGGTTCTTGTCTAATGCTAAACTTCTCACCACTGCCATCACTAGAGCCCAGTCACTGGTAGCTGTGGTGGGAGACCCTGTGTCACTGTGTTCTATTGGGAAGTGCAGGTATGATTACTGGTACCTTAATATAGTGATAGTAGAAAACCGCATCTATTTTTTTTTTTTTTTGGGGGGGGGGGGGATGTAATTCATCAAGCATGTGTAATTGTGTATTAAATATAATCATGATTATGGTCCTTCTGAATTATGACTATTGAGTGTCATGAAAATTTTAATCACCAAGGGTGTCATTACCATTGTTTTTATTTGTATGAAAATATTGAGAAAAAAAAAAGAATAATAAGCATGATGGTACTTTGAATCTTCAGAGATTTACATTGCATTGAATTAAACTAAAAATCAAATTTCTCTTTAGGTAATGAAAATTTTCAATTTTTTAATTATTAAAAAATTTTGGTAACTTTCAGAAAAATCTGGGAACGCTTCATTGAAGTGTGCAACCAACACAACAGCCTGTATGGAATGACATGGTCCCAGCTACGATTGCAACTGGATGGAGTAGAACTGAAGAAGACCTACGTCTTGAATCCTCTGGCTCCAGAGTTTGTTCCAAACAGGCTACGTCATGGGGACCCATTGTCTGTGCCTGAGGGAGTGAAAGGACCATATGGGCATCATTTTACTGGGAATGCTCTATACAAATATAAACAACAGCAACAGCAGATGGCAGCTGCACTGACACAACCAGTAAGTGAATTGAAATCGTAAATAACTGTATTTAATTGACAACTTTGGCAACGTGACTTGTTTGACTTAAAGAAATTTCCCAGTATTTTCAGAGTATTAAGTATGGTTGAGATGGCTGTTGGTAAATAGTTTATGTTTAACATGATGCATGGCAGTTGATAAACTGATGTATTTTACTTCACACTTTGAAGCCAAATTGTGGTCATTGTTTAAGATAAGAAAAAAAAAAGAAGTAGTGAAAATGTACATATTGACGTAGAGCTTTGAAATTTTCATTGCATTTTTTTCAACTTACAGTACTTGTTCTCCATGCCTCCTACACTTCTGTCACACCCATACTACATGGTGCCCCCATACATGACTGCTCACAACAGAGCCAGGGGGACTCATCATCTGGTGGCTGAGGGAGGTAGAGGAACCTCTCCAGGCTCCTCCCCTGTCAGGTCGCCCCCGCGTTCTGAGTCTCAGGACAAGAAAGGAATGGGGTCTCCAAGGTCTGGAACGCCCACACCCAAACCAGATGACAAGAGCTCCAAGAGTGCATCACCTGTCCCTCTGGGGCTTGGTGTCAATACTGCCTTGCCAGCTCAGTCATTTCCACTTCAGTTTATGCGCCCAGGAATGGTCCAAGTTGACTACAGAGCTTTAATGAATATGTACAGAATGCAGGGGCCCATGTCACCAGGACAGGGGTTTATTCACCCACAGACAATTCCTGTTGTGCCTCCCAGGGTGGCGTACCCCTTTGGTGCCATGCCTCCCCATTTGAGGCCCCATGGATCACCTCCAGGGATGATGCAGATACCAACAACTGGTGCTGCACAGTCACCACCTTCATCATCTCCACTGGCACAGAGAACTGATGCTACGCAGCCGCCTGTTGTCAATATGTCTCCAGGACGAGCCAGCCCCATGGCTGGTTCTCCAAGAAGTGCACCCCAGTTCACTCTGTTACCAAATGTAAAACATGTGCCCCCTCATCTTCTGGAGCAGACACAGCAAGAGGATATGACCAAAGGTGTGATATATTGTAAATCATTGGAATTGCCTTATTTAGAAATGAAAATAGCTAAGTTTATTTTTACTGTCAAAAAGGGTAAAAAATTCTGTCGTGATTGAAATTTGTAGGTTCCTGTGAAATTTCAACTAGCCCTCAGTAATGTATGAATGATTTAACTCTGCTTCTAGGACACTGTAAACCTTACAAAAGATTAAGTTAATACTGTGCTAACCATAAGCTGTAAACACTTATTATGATTTTCCAGAACCTCCAGTTATGAGATACCCAAGGCCCCCTGACATGGAGCCCTACTACAATGGCACTGGTGTGAATCACCATATTGATACTGCAAGGCAACACCAGACAACACTGCAGCAGCAAACTCCAGAGAAAAGTTACATGGCAGAACAGTTCAGTCAACAGAGGGCTCTGTACAGACAAATGGAACAGACAGAGTCCTCTGAACCAGTGTCATATGAAGAAGAAATGAAAAAGCCACCCTGGTTGAGGAGAAGGCAATATGCTTCTTTGGTTAAGACGCCAGGTGGAGATCAGCAGGAGAATGGAGATGCCAGTCCCCAACCCAGCCCTGTAGCAACGCCGGTTACAAGACAAGATAGTGCGTCCTCTGATATTCTTGCTCCGTCTGAGATAGACAATGTGGTGAAGTTCATTACAGATGATGCTAGTACAGAAAGTGAATTGGGGAATATCCACATTGGACACACGGTCCCAAGATTGAAGTTGAACACTTTTGCAGCAGCAGCTTCAGGGGCGGCAGCAGCAGTGGCACCACCTAAGATTGACAGGCAGTTGCCACTGTACATGAGAGGTAGTCCTCAGTTGGATGCTAGCTCTACTTCTACACCACCCCCTACAGCTGTGCCAGAGTCAGCCGAGGCCACTTCAGGTAGCACCACACCACAGCTGGGCCAGCTGACCTACGCCAGCGTGTTAAGGCGCCAGACTAGCTCTCCTTCATCACCGCTCCCTCACAGGGTAGAGCCAAGAAACAACCTGCTGGATCCTCCTAACAATCTTCTCCCAAGTCCTGTGTCACCAACAACCCCTGCGACTTTCCAGGAGTCATGGAGGTTCCCTTCTGTTACTTCCCCGACATCAGCAGAACCCGAGAACAATCCTTTGGAGTTGCTGAAAAATCTGAATATCAGAGCTTCTCCTGCCACACAGGCCATGTACAACTATTTTTCCTAAAGGAGGACTGCTGCTGTGATTTTAGGTGAAATGTTTGACTTTAAAATTAGACATATAGACATTTGAAAGAATGTATCTTAGACTGATCAGAGTGAATTTAGTCTAGTTTTACATTAATTGCTGTGTGGAAAAAAGTTGGAGTAAGAGAAGTAAGACTTAATTTTTTTTTACAAAATAAATTTCAGTCCAGCACTGTGTAAAATGTTTGAAAAAAAAACACAAAAAGCATAAAACAGACGTAAGTCAATAAAAACAAGTACAAAATACCAAAAATATGATAAAAATGAAGTTTTTAAAATTAGGCTAGTCACATATTCAAGTGCTTTGTAGCTTGTAACATTAAAAAAGAAAAAAAAACAATGTGTAAATAGTAGTCTATATATATGTACAATACAGAAGGTGAGTAAATGTCAGTCTTTAGTGCTTATAATACAAATTGTACAGAAATGCCCATTACATGTAAGCCATTTAAAAAAAAAGTTATCAGTGTTTATTGGATGAATGACTGTTGTCAACTACTAAATATTGCATGTAAACATTATTTTTCTAGTGCATGTGTGTATAGTGTCAAAATTTGGTCACTGATTAATATTGTACTTTGGGTCCAACCTATATTTATTTCTATATAAATGTGTGTTAGTGTGCATGTATATACCTGGGACCATGTATGTATTCGCTTTTGTTAGCTTGATGTTCTGCAGGTAAGGACATTTGTTATGCTGCCATTCTAATGGATATGGACTAGTCAGTAGTGTGACCTAGATATAAGCTTTGATATGACACATTAGAATAATTTCTATAGCGATTTGTTAGCACTGCCTTTGTTAGTTGAATATAACAACTTATTGAAGTCTCTTCAACGGAATACCTGATATTATAAATGAAATTATTGGAGGAATCATTTTGTCATTTGGTGGAAATGTTCTGTTAAAATCATAATCTGTCATTATAGTTACTGCATTTCTTTGAATTATTAATTTAATAGTGCTTCTTTTGAAGTTCACGTTTTAAAGGCTTTGGTTTTATGTAGATTGTAACTTGAAAGAAAAATGCAGTAGCTAATCAGGAGTGAAATGATGGAAGTTTACAAGGTGAGAGTTGGATTAAGGATTTTATCTTGATTGAATGTTTTTTGTGAAATTTTGAACAATTTGTACAGTTAAATAATTCACTTGAAAGGTTAAATAAGTTTGGAGATGTCTGATGCTTTTGAAAAGCTACTGCACAAAAAAATGCATACTGCGCTGATTTTTTTTTTTTTTTCAAATTATGTAGTCATAACTAAAAAGATTTGTGGCTAAGACTGATAAATGTGAAGGAAACAATAACAAATTACATGTGGTGTGAAAATCAGTCCAAGTTCTTTAATAGCAAAGGACTGGTTTTTTAACTCGAGCAGTTTCCTTTGGTCTAGAATGCAGCACGTTTAGGCAGTTGTTTAGTTGAAAGGTTGGGAGATGAGTGAAGGTGACAAAAGCATTACCCATGTCACAAATACAGAAATAAAGAAAAGTATATTTTGCTGCAAACTGAGTTTATTTTTAATTTATTTCCTTTTTTGATGCACTTCAAGTTCTATTTTTTTAAGTGCACAGTCTGTAAATTTCTTAATCCTGTTATGCCACTTTGTTCATAGACTTATAATTGCTTTTACCATAACCATAAACAATTCCTGTACTTTCATGATTTTTCAAAGAAGTAATGCCTGATTATTTAAATGAGAGTGTTATTATCCACAGCTTTTTGATAAGTCTTTGTCTATATCATATGTCAGTTTTAATTTAAATTCCATTAATTTTGTATATTCCAAAAATGAGAGCCCAAGACATACAAAAATATAAGGAGTTGGAAATAGAAACATGAAGTGGTTTGGTCATGTAGAAACACTTTTGCATCTTTCTATAATTAACTTTAATCATAAAAAATGAAGAGTTCATGATATCTCAGCACTGAGCCACAGGTTATATCAGCACATTTATGTCATCTCCACTTTATAATGTAGTGGTTCTTCTTACCTGAAATGAAAAGTGTTAGACATTTTTAAAATGCAGAGAAATAACAAACTAGACTACTTCAAATTCCTTTTTAATTCAATTACAATAAATAAAAAATTATGTCAAGTCAAGAGATGTATTTACAAAATTACTGTTCAAGTAACTTCTAATTTAATACCACAAATCCCTGAGACAGAAATGTTTGTATACATCGATCATTTGAAAAATGCACCACAAAGACACATCAATAGCAATTCCAGGATGATGTAATGTAAATAATTTCAACCTATGCTGAAAAATATGACTGACACAAAACAAACCACACACCAAGGGTGGTATGAGAACTCACCGATTCTAATTACTGTAATGTGGTTTGGTAAAATGTGTTCCCCAGGAATTAGAACAAAATCTGGTTCTATTACTTTCCGGGTGTTAATATAGACACCACCCCCTTTGATAATTCGCTCTGCATCCACTGAAAGAGAATGAAAGTTTCATTATGAAGTGCACTTCATGAAGAAACAGTTTCAACTTACCTAAAGTAGGTTGCTGCTTTTCAAATTTAAATACAAATGTATGCATGGGTGAAAGCTGTGAAAACTAAATCCTGAAAATGTAAATCTTGAAAGCTGGCCAAATAGTTTGTGTAAAATGCAAAATGCTACGTTTACAGTTTCACCCATGTGTAAAAAAGTTAATAATAAAAAAAAAGCATTCTCCACTCTTTATTTATTTCTTTATTTACAGAGGCATAACACTTTATACTTCAAACATATTGAAGTTTGGGTGTGTTTTCTTGATAGTGATAGACTTCTCAGCTATAACAAATTTTTAATAATAATAATAAAAAAATTCATATACTCATTTTCTTGAATTAATCAATTAAGCAAAAAAAAAATCACATATTAACCTTCTCTTGTAAAACACTTTGCTTTCATACAGGCATCTATGACAGTGCTCCCTGCTTCAAGAGTCAGCTCAATTGTGGGGGCATTAGAGAACAGATTTAATAATTCTTCTGTGGTCAGTTCTGCCAGAGTTTCTGCAGAATTTTCATAGAGGATCTTGGTGCACTTCTTGGCAAGTTCAAGACCAGCCTCTGAAAAAAATAATGTGTGAAAAGACAACACATTTTGTGATAGGCTTTATATACAGATAACACATTTTCTAACTTGAGCCTCAGATTAGTGAGCACAGCCTCTGAAAAAAATAATGTGTGAAACGACAACATATTATGATAGGCCTTATATACAGATTACACGTTTTCCAACTCGAGCCTCAGATTGGTGAGCACAAATGCCCAAATTAACGACTCTTAGTAGTTAATCTGTGGCTGGGTCATTTATTTGTGCATTCCTGTTCACAAAACTAAGGCTTGTGTTAGCAAATGGTAATTATTGTTTATGAGGCCTGTGAGAAGAAGAAATGATAATGATGTGTTAAAAAAACATTTATTAGAAACCTTACATATTTATTTCCATGGAAATTCTTGTACTACTAAGAGGCAATCACATGATGTTGATTAACATAATTTTTCTGGGTGTTACAATGAGACAGGATCCAAAAAATACAGAGAATAAATAAAGAGAATGACTTTTTTAACCTACCTCCATGTACTAAAATAGTGATTTGTTCAGCAAGAAACCTTTGGGCACTTCTTAAACCAGCATCTAACTAAAAATACGGAAGGAATATTACTTTTGAATGGACATTAAATAAAACTACTATTAAAAAAAACATTGAATACATTACAAAAATTTTAAACATATATTTATTTTCAAGTTCATATCAAAGGCCAATATCACAGCAGTATTGATTAATGCAATATTTTGAACATGAAATCAAAGTTGATGGTAATTCACAATGATTATATAGTACACCACACTCTTTCAAACAAAGTTATCAACTGGTATAATAAATATAGGTAATGCCAATTTGACTATAAACCATATCCATGGCATTTTATATCAATTACAAAATATCACTTATCATTTTCAAGGATTAATAATAACTGTAAAAGTGATGACATTTTATTATCAAGAAATATTTAATTTAGTTTAAATAATACATGAAAGTATTTTCAAACACACACACACACACACACACACACACACTCACACACACATATTGAACATATTTGAGATTTACATTGAATTTATACATCAAATCAAATTGAGAGACTCAGTATATTCACCCTATGACTCCTCAATAAATTCTCTATTTTATCATCTGGGAGGAAAGTAAACAATTTCACAAACTTCTCGACATCTGCATCAGGTAGGCGCAAAAAATACTGAAATAATATTCATAACAATAAAAATATAAGGTAAATAATATGATTAGTAAATAACTTAACAGAATGGTAAGTACCATCCAGGGTTCGCAATATTTTACATATATTTATTTCAACATGAAACTAAGTCCAAGATTCCATTCATCCCAATCAATATCTCCAGCAAATACTACAATTTCACAGCAGGCACAGCTAAGAACTCCCAGTCTTTATAAATCAGTGCTTTATAACCTGGTTGAAAAAATACAACTACTACATCCGTTTGTCTATCAACATCAAAATACCTGGTAAAATTCAAAGGGGGAGGTTTTGGCAGGGTGTAACCACAATACCTCTCCCCCTGTGCTCTTCCCCATCTTCTGTCCAGCATTATTAGTGAGGAGGGGAACAGTCAATCCTAAAAATTAATTCAAGATTTCAAGATTTGTTAACACAGACTTTGATTTATCTCTGCAATTCTTTTGTGTTCATTTGAAAATGGTAAGCTGGTTAATTTTCAACCCTGCTCTCAATCAATAAAACTATGAAATACATACCAAATACCTGCTTTCCATTTATTCTGTTTATGAGTTCATAACCAGAGTCAATGTTTCCCATTTGGTCTTGCCCTCCTAGCTGAAAAATAAAAACAGAATATAGAATACTAAGTAAGTTTACTCAAAGTGCAACTTTTTCCTAACATTCAACACCAACATATATGTTTTAACAGGGAGTCCCTTCAAATGTACACTTTTTTTTTTAATGACAACTTTTGCATTTACGGTCATTAGATACAGGGTACAACATCAACAAACACATTTTTATGAAATCTTTCACTCTTTTCACCCATACATAAGCAAACCAAATTCTTGTGCTACATATTGAAATTCCCCTTTCCTCACCTGTATTCTGCAGTTGTGGCTACTTAAAAGATGTAACCAGTCATAAGCTTGAAAAACTTGATATGTAAATTCTGACAAATTCATCCCTTCAGGACTTTGTAATCTTTGACGTACACTGAAATAAAAAAAGTTAGCGAGTGTATGCTTATTCTTCATAGCCTTAGGTATGAATTGTAATTTAAGTCAGGAAGTGTTTACCAAAGACATCATAAAAATACTTCTCTATATCTGTTTATAAGGTCAAAATTCAATCTACTATCTAATTTGTCAGACACACACATCTTGGATTAAATAAAAGCAACATTACAACTTACAAGCTAAAAAAACAGAGCAACATGTTATTCTTACTTCTCAAGAACAATATTGTAATCACACACTGATAATAACCTTTCTTTTTGTAACATTTTTCCAATCCTAAAACATTTTCCAATTGTAGAAAGAAATTGAATAACATTTTCATCACCATACCACTCACTGTTGTTTAAAATACTGAAAGAGAGAAAAAAATTCTTCTAACTAGAGTGAAACTCTTATGAATGTATCCATTCCATTCACTCATTACTTTCAAGTGACAGATGATACATGAATTTGTTTTTAAAAACAGTCATATATTTAAGACAACAACCAAAACTTTTTAAAATTCACATATATTAATATAGTATATTAACTCTCTTTTTCTTTTCTTTGAACATGCATCAAATCTGATGCCAAGATATCTTCAGAAAATACAAAAACTAAACCATCAAGATAATCTGAAATAAACCTTTAAAATGTGACTTCACTGAGTAAACTATAAAACTACAATAGTCAGTTTCACAAAAGACAGTCCTAAGGAGCTAAAATCAAGTGAAAATCACCTTACATTTCCTAGTTTTCTGGAGGTTGACCTCCATATATATCTTTCGTGGTTTGTAAATATATTGCTGATAATACCATGTAATGATGCCACATTTTTCTCCACATTGTCTAATGAAATGGCATCACGATCTCGTGTACGTCCACTAGGATCTCCTATTTGGCTAGTAGCCCCACCTATCTATATATTAAGTGGAAAAACACATTAAAAGCATAACACATGAACAAAAACAAATTTCAGTATATTTTCACATCTGCATAAATTTCTATGTGTCTGACTTTGATATTTATGCCATTGTCTCAATATGATATTTTTTTAGAATAAACCATTACACTGAGATTTAAAATGAAAAACAGGATAATAATTACTAAGCAAAAATCTCAGAGGCCAAATTTCCCTAAACTTCAGATGCAGAAATAAACATTAATATCATATATAGAGCAACAAGGATCCATTTTGGCATCCCATAAGTTCAAGTGTTATCATACCCAGCATTAGACCATATTCTGGCACAATGTGATATTTGTTTACACACACACACATATATATATTTAAATATAGCATATATTTAATATATAATATAATATATATATAATATATTTAAATATTTAAATGTGTACTTGTAACAATATATATATATATATATTGTTACAAGTACACATACACATGAAAATGTTTACAAATATATTACAAAATTGAAATTTCAGCCATACAGGACAACTTGTCTTGGCATCAACTTACCAATGCTATAACATCATGTCCTCCCCTTTGGCAGTGCAGCAAGGCAATGAGAGGAAGTAAGTTGCCTATGTGGAGACTGTCTGCTGTGGGATCAAAACCACAGTAAATGCACTGTGGAGTGGAACTTAAAAGCTTTAGCAGCTCTGGGGCACTATATTTAAAATAAAGGAACAATTAAAGGTCGTTTTCTATGCTTGCAGAAACATAAACTTGCTGAACATGAAAAACTTTCAAAAAAAAGTAAGAGAAAAAACAAGTAAACAGGTACCCCTAAATAAATTAATTTTGTATGTGCGTTTGCGAAAATGGTGTTTGTGAGTGAGAGAGAGAGAAGGAGAGAAAGAGAGACAGAGAGCACACATCATCCAGTTGCATGTTAACAGTTTGTAGACAGAAAAGTGCAGTGTGGGGCTGAACTTACTTCTTTTCAGGAAATATGCTATGAAAAACTCCTCTCTCATGAAGACCAAGTATATTTCTACTGGCCCATCTCCTTGGTTGCCATTCTGTTTTCCAGACATTCAGACATACAGCCCTCCTTGAAATGACACAAAATCCAAACTAATCAATCCTCAAAGCAAAGAAAGCAATTTATATTATGTTTTTAGTGTTCTATTCAACTACGTGTAAGGGGGTTACACGTGCATCACAAGTGACTTTCATCTGTCAGACTCAGTACCAGAGGATGCAATGCACAGTCCACTCAATCAATATTTTAACTTGTAATTTTACCCTTGAGAATGTCACAAAATTTTCTTCTAAAGAGGACATATGCATAAAAGGTTCTCTCTGGGTGAATGAATGACCTGTAATTGATTTTGCAATTGAAATGACAGCAGAATACAAACTGTTAATGATATTACCTGCTACTGTATACCAATATAATGGGTNAAAAATAATGAATTATCTATCTTCAAATAACAGAAAGTGGAACTTATGTCCTAATTAAGTACATCATTCACCCAAGTCAATTTACTGTATCATTACAAGATGTTATGTCACAACAAAAAATTAAATTAATAAAAATAACGATACCTCAAACACGCTTTTATGGGAGCTGCCATTTTCTCCAACTTGATGACGTAGTTCACACTCGGAAGTGTGGCTGTACTTTGAGTTATATAACTTGAAACTGAAACTCATGTCATGTCAGTATGTTATTATCACTACTGGATTGAAGACGAAGTCTTTGCCTTGAACTAAATCTTTAGACGTTGCTTTATGTAGAATGTGACTGCCTACAACTTTGATAATTAGCTGACAGACTGTTCCATGAGGCAAAATGGATTTTGTTGAGGAAACGAAAACTGAAGTCAAAGAAGAAGTCATTTCCCCGGCCTGGGAGAACCTGAAAAGTCATGTCCAGAGTGTAAATGAACAATTCCAGTTGGAGGTGAAGTTCGAGTCTTTGAAGTCTTTCGCTTCGGCCCATCCCTGGGTTACCCTGTGTCTTGCGTTTACCTTGGCGTTTTGCAGTGTTCCCGTAGCAGTTTTTGTGTGCTTCGCTGTTGGAAGTGTGTTGGCTACCTTAATTGGATTTGTTATATTTGAAGGTAGTTTTCGCAACTTCTAGTGTTCACTTTTGTTTGAGACTTTTATCGGTGTGCTTGGTAAAAAACACTTAACATGTTAAAGTACCGTACTTGTACATGTACATACTGTATTTATTATAAAATATTTAGCTCTTTTAATGTTAAACCAATGCTATGAAATAACAGTGTGATATAGGTTAGCACGAAAATTCATGCGTTAGCACTCCTATTGACAATTCTGATAAGTACTGGCTGGTTCGGCAACTGGTTCTCATTTTCCACTTTTTGAGGCCATTGCTTAATTCATGCATATCAGAATCGTCAATAGGAGTGCTAACGCATGAATTTTCATGCTAGATATACATGTAGGTAAAACAAGTCGACTTTGATCAAATGTAATATTTTTGACTTAAGACAAACCTGAACGTTTAACTTCAAGTGATTTTGTTCAAACTCAATTTTTTTTCAAATAGAAGGATATAACTTGTAATATTTTATTATCTCAGATGGATTGATAATTTGATCTATCCAGATTTTTACAAGTGCAAGGGAAAGAGTGGGGTGGGAATGGAAACAGTGGATTTCTCAGGATGCATATACTGATGTGGTGCAGGTCTTAGGAAGGAGCCATAGCAATAGTCCGAAGGTCCATTGGGCCGAAAATTCACTATAGCACCTTCGGACCAACAATCTCTTGATTGAAAAACTGATGAAAATGCTACAATTTTTCGGACCAACGAACCTTCAGACCAATGAACTTTCGGACTATCAAGAGGCCCCCAAGAGGAAGGATCAGTTACTTGCTTAGGAGGAGGAAAAGTGGTTTAGATATCTTCTGTACTTCTCAAAATTTAGGTTCTCTATACATGATTTACCTGCCAAAATATATTTACTTGGGTAGAGGAAGCAATTTTCTACAACTCACGAATCATTGTTCTACCTACCTGGGTATCCCTGCACTTGGATTTGATGTTTTGTTCCATTATTAATATAATGACAAAGTTCTACAATGTAAATGACTGCCCAATCATTAAGAGCAAAATATATTCCTGTACATTTGAGAAGGAAACTATATCGACATCAGGTGCTTTTATTTGAGTGGTTTCCTAGTTTTTAGGGCCTATTAGCTGGAGAAGATTTGTAGCTTTTCAGGATAAGAAGCCAGAAAAAAGCATTTGGGAAATTTTCAAATGCCCAAATGAGCTTGGGCTGGAATTGGGACATGATGTTTTTAACTTACATAACCTGAATGCAATTTGAAGGTTCTGGTTGTTCCATTTCGAAGTCTGTAAAATGTTTCTTTGGTTCCCAGGTGACATTTACCAGAACTTGTTTTATGCTCCTTTGGTAACCTCTTGAAGTTATTGTACACCATCTTAAGAGATCTTGAGATTTTTTTTATTTTATTATTTTTTTTTTTATAACCAATTATAAAAATTCTTGCATGTCTCTTTATAGCACAAGAACCAAGAGATGAAAAGATGTACATAATGGCAGTACGAATTTAATAGGAAAAATGAACAAACCAGGGTTACATTAAACCAAACTCCTGGCGTGTTGGAACCTGCTGATGTGATATGGTATATGTTGGGGTGTAACTCAAACTGATGTCTTCATAGGGGTACCCGTGCAAAAATTATAACTTGTTTTAGTATTGCATGATCCATCATATCTTTTCAAATATATAAAAAGAAAGATTATAAACAGGATTTATGCTTGAACAACTGTGATAGGGGCAAGGGGCACTTCTTGGCAGGCATCAGGTGCAAAAGAGATGTCAGTTTATTTTCAGGCACGATCAGCTCACGACTCGTATCCTCGAATTCAATAGTAGCTTACATAAACCTAGGAGTTATAACTCCTTGCATAAACTTATTTCTGGTATAACCAAGCTATTTTGAATAATAAATGAATGTTTTAAGAAGATGTGAATAACACATCTTGGCCTGAAAAAAATGCCTTTTGTTGTGTAATATTGTAAAGGCAACATGGAGTTAATAACCCCATAACAATGGGTTTGAAGAGAGGATTACAGGAGACCCAAGATTACATCTGAAATGTTGCAATTTATATGATGTGAACTGATTTGTTCTTATAGGGGTAGCTATGCAAAAGTGACTCGATTTTAATTATTTTTTTGTGAACTTCACCTTATCATTGTGAAAAAAAAAGAGGAACAATACCCAATTCTTTCTTAGTTCTCAATAGTTGTCTTCAAAGTCATTTTGGAAATTAGAAGGCATGGTTTAGGTTTAACTGCCAGAAGTTCTCATCCACTCACAATGTCTGTTACAAATATACATGCAGATATCACTGTCATTTTTTTTTTTTTTCATTTTCAATTATTTTAGATAGATAAAATTATAATATATAATGGGTTCTGGCTGGGCATGACTGCAGGATGGATATAAGCAAATTTGTGAAAAAGACTTGTGAAAGACAACATGATATAAAACTGTGCAAATACTTTTGTATCAGCACAGCAGTGTCGCTGGAAGGACATCTTGAAAATGGCCTGTTGCTTTCAAACTTGCAGGACCCTCTTTAAAATTAGACATGTTCAGAAACTTTTGTTTGTTTCAAAAGCAATATTTATCATTTCCTATTCAGTTTTGTTGAAAGCACCAGACATCATACTAATGATAAGGGTTATTATATAATTTCAAACAAAAAATTAGTAAGCACTTCCATCTTGTATCCAATATAAAAGAGGTGTTTTACTTGAACATATTTTCAGTTTTATTATTTGCATATTGGCAGGTACCCTTCTTGCAGTTGGAGCAATATTGCTGGGTTGCACTGTGTGTTTCACGACACTGATTTCCATTGGCCTGACCTTCTTCCTGGTCACCAGCTGGATAGCATTCAATGCCACACTCGGGGTGTTACAGGCACTGAGGGAGTATATCAAGGAAAATGCATGAATCTCTGGAGGAGTGGAAAGTGATATTGAAATAATTCTAAGGGGGCATGTAATATTCTAGCTTATCTCAAGAGGAGAATGATATAAATGGTTGTTTTTGTTTTTGTCACAAACTGTAAGAATATAATTTTGTGTCAAAGATATTTGATCTTAATTATTTACTAAACAAATGAAACCTTTTTTAAATATCTTTAAGTTACTGCTCTCTTTCTGTTGTAACAGTTGTAAAAACGAAATGAGATAATTATACAACAAAAACCTGTTAATGTATTTTATTCATTGAAAAGAATATGTGTGTGTAACACATTTCAAAAAATTATTTGCCCTGCTCCAGCAAAATCTTTTCAGAAACTTTTACAGTGGTGCTCAATTTGCATGGATAAATAAGTACAAGTTGCACAAATATGAATGAAAAACCCTCCACTTAATCAAGCATAGTTCACCATGATGTGGATGCAATTCCTTGCAACTGAACTGAGGAATATGCTCATGAACGTTTCTGAAAAAAAAAAGTTTGCAGAAGCTTTTTCATCAGGGTGAAGGATTCTTTATGAATAGAATATATTTTTGTATTGTTATAACCTTCTTAATTAGTATGTACTACATTTCAGGATTCTGAGTTTTATATCTTAGAAGACATTGAATTTTGTAGTTGCAAGTAATAGATGTAGTACTCGCACAGTATTATTGAGAAGCACTCATCAGTGGTCTTTATTCATCTATGTGAAGTCTTTTGGGGGAATAAGGTATTATATACACATGAAGGGGAAAAATGAACTGACAATATTATGAGATGCAGCAGTTATAGTGCTACGTATATATTTTGTGTTCTCATTTAAGGCATAGAATATCTCCACAAGTTATCAAGAAGGCTGGTTGCAAATAAAAATGTTTTTAAAATGTTGTAATGGAGCTTTATTTTACGAGTCCATATGAGTGAGACTGCTTTTTTTTTGGGGGGGGGGGAGGGGAATAGTAGAGCTATACATGCCCCTTCCTTCCTCCCCCCCCCCACACACACACGCACACACACACGATGTTAACAAGTTGCCATTTAGAAGCATTTATGGATTCTAGTAATGCACTTTAGTCCCAGAACAATTGTTCCCAAATTTGTTAGATTTCTTGTATTTTGAGTGACTGTACAGAAAAGGAATGTTTCACAAAAAGAAATGCTAAGTGTTTGAGAACAGATTTATTGTCAAATGCATATTATAGACTAGTACATATAAAGAGGTAAACAAAAATCTCTAACATAAATGGATATTATTCACATCTGGAATGACTTTTTCCAAGCAAGTTGATTCAAAAGGAGGCCGTTGAAATGACTGGTCACCAAGTCTGAGACAAACGCATTATTATACAGGTATTTTTCAACAACTTGCTAATTTTTCACCAGCGATATTTCTACAGTCCTTTTTTCCTACCAGTCAAAAGTAACCAATGCACCATAGGTGGAAGGTGGGGGGTACAGTTAAAATTGGCATTATGCCGCAAAAATGAAGGACTTCTTAATCATGTGTGGCAAAGTGCATCAATACAGAGACCTCTTCAAAAGAAAACATCGAATTAGAAAAAGACTTGGTTCAAAACAAACGACTGCAATTTTAGTACTGAACATTAAGGGAAGAATTACACCATTTGCGAAAGATGGGCACAATACAGAATTTTTGTGAAATCTATCTTATGACCTTGTTCTTTATACACTGAATGTATAAAAGACCACTACCATATATAACAAGACTAAAAGGATAACTTCATTTTGGCTAAAAAAGGAATTTTTCTTAGGTTAAATGCCAATTTTCCCATACCAATGGTTGATGAATCCACTTCTACATTCAAAGTAAGTCCCCGTTTTTTTTTTTTTTTTTTTTTTTTTTCCTAAAAAGCTTGTTTTCTGGTAATAATTATAATAAACTAGAGGATCAGAGAGGCGTTACCGCCTCCGAATATTGTACCACCAGCTGGAGTAAGCGCGATCGTATAGACCCCCCCACACACAAAAAAGGGACACCACCACCAGTCTTGTGCTTGACAAGCTGTAAAAAATGCAATCAACAAGAATTCTCAAAAAATGCAAAAAAAAAAATATAACTAAAAATGGTACAATCAAAGTTTAGTTCATATTAAGGTAGGTCAAAGGTCAATTTCAAGGTCGCAGTAAATTTTCGGTATGTGACTTCCTATTCAAATTCAATAGCAACTATGGACCTATCTCTGCTAGTTTTGGAGATAAAAGGGAACCAAAATTTGCAAAGTTAAGTTCATGGTAAAAAGTAGGTCAAAGGTCAATTTTAAGGTCACAGTAAATTGACTTTAATGAATTCATATTCAAATTCAATAATAACTATGGACATATCATTGCCAGTCTTGCAGATAAAAGAGAACCAAAATTTGCGAAGTTCAATTCATGATAAAAAATAGGTCAAAGGTCAATTTCAAGGTCACATTTAGATTGCCAGTATATGACTTCCTAATCAAGTTCAATAGTAACTATGGATCTTTCTCTGCTAGTTTTGGAGATAAAAGGGAACAAAATTTGCAAAGTTCAGTTCATGGTTAAAAGTAGGTCAAAGGTCAATTTTAAGGTCACATTTAGATTGCCAGTATATGACTTCCTATTCAAGTTCAATAGTAACCATGGACCTATCTCTGCCAGTTTTGGAGATAAAAGGGACTAAATGTTATAATTTTGGAGTTACAATAATGTGCCATAAATTTCCTACAGAAAAAATTAATTAAAATAAAGAAAAGGTCATTTTGGTCAAAATTCTTGAAATGGGAGGTGCTCTGAAGTTCCAGATGTTCAAATTTGATGAAATAATGTCATTTTTGACCACAAGTTGTCTGCCTCGCCAAGCCTTATGTTTTATTTTTCCCGGGTTCAAAATTTATTATCCATTACCATACTGCACATTTTGCTTTCACCACCTATATGTACTTTTTGATACAGCGTAACTCGAAAATCGTATGGAATACAAAAAAACGGAGACCACCTCCAGTGTTGGGCTTTACATGCTCTACAAAATGCAAAAAAAGAATGGGTCTCTAGCATTAACGGTTCCCAAATTAGAGACAGTTTTCAGTTTCGGTATCTTATGGTCGCTACTCCCGTGAAAATGCACCGATTGACCCAAAATTCACGGAGATGAAAGATGACATGAAGGGTAACACTTTCCAATAACATTATTGGTTAAGTCTGTGTGGTGTCTGAATAACAGCGCAAAGAATTTTTTTTTCGTAAAAAATTTCGTTTTTTTGAAAATTTTGGCCTGTTTGACCTTGAAATAAAGGTCAAATCCAAGGGCATATTTGAAATCTACACATATGACTTTTGGAAAGCCGTCTGTAGAAATTTTTCCCATAATTCCTTCCATAGGGTAGATAATTAGCATTTAATTTTGCCATTTTTGGACAAGGGTGCATTGCAATGAGTGCCACACCTAGACCCCAAAACCGACAAAGCCCAAATTTTACGTGGAACGAGTTGAGATTATAGGTGACCTAAATCCAAGAGATGGGTACGGAGGCCCTTACCGTCTAGGAAGAGAAGCGGTAACGTAACATGCCGGCGGAGCCGGCGGAATGATCCAGACGGGACTAAAACCATGTGTACCGCCAGCGCCTACGCTGGTGGTACAATTATTACAGAGTATAGCTATCTATGGAGGTCACGTGGTACGATGACGGGCACAGATTTTGGAATAATTGCTATTACTGCTGTTTTTGTGGCAAAATAGAATATATTATATTGCTACGAGTTGTTTACAATCCATTTATTGTGAAATATAGATTTCATACGAAGAGTTGTTATCCCTTTAAGGTCATTCAAGTTAAATGGAAGCTATGAATGTATCTGTTTTAGTTGTGGGGAAATGGGGGCTAGAAAATGTTAAGTGCATTTTTTTAAAGTCAAATTTAAGGTCACATAAAATGCCCAATGTATGATGTCCTATTCAAGTTTAGTATTAACTATAGGTGTAACTCTGTTTTGTAGACAGAAGGGCTAGAAAAATTTGCAAACTGCATTTCATGAAAAGAGTAGGTCAAATTCTAGAACTGATATTTAGTTGTCCAATGTATAAATAAAGTGAAATATTCCAAAAACTAGCAGAGATACAACCGTAGTTTCTATAATTAAACTTAAATAGGAAAATGGCACAAATAAATTCTTCCAAAGAAAATTAAAATTTTTATTTTGAAAATTTCTCACAATGGAGCCTGGCAACAAAAAATAATGCAACTTTTATACTGTATGAGAAAAAAAAACTGTTGCAATTGACAAACTGAGAAACAAACAAGAGGTCTCTAGCTTTTACAGTTCCAGAATTTTCAGTTTTTATTTAGATACCTAATGGCTTCCTTTTCCATGAGAACGCACCAATTGACCCCAAAATCAGGATGATGAAAGGAAACCCCAACTGTAACTTCTCACCAAAATATTAAAGCTTATGGGCACAAACAAATTTTTCCACAAAGAAATTAAGTTTTTACAAATTTTTGGTCCATTGACCTTGAAATATAGGTTAAATCCAAGGTCATATTCAAAATCTCTACATAGAACTTTCAGTCCAACTCCTAGAGTAACATTTCCCATAATTCCCNCGCTTTTATGGGAGCTGCCATTTTCTCCAACTTGATGACGTAGTTCACACTCGGAAGTGTGGCTGTACTTTGAGTTATATAACTTGAAACTGAAACTCATGTCATGTCAGTATGTTATTATCACTACTGGATTGAAGACGAAGTCTTTGCCTTGAACTAAATCTTTAGACGTTGCTTTATGTAGAATGTGACTGCCTACAACTTTGATAATTAGCTGACAGACTGTTCCATGAGGCAAAATGGATTTTGTTGAGGAAACGAAAACTGAAGTCAAAGAAGAAGTCATTTCCCCGGCCTGGGAGAACCTGAAAAGTCATGTCCAGAGTGTAAATGAACAATTCCAGTTGGAGGTGAAGTTCGAGTCTTTGAAGTCTTTCGCTTCGGCCCATCCCTGGGTTACCCTGTGTCTTGCGTTTACCTTGGCGTTTTGCAGTGTTCCCGTAGCAGTTTTTGTGTGCTTCGCTGTTGGAAGTGTGTTGGCTACCTTAATTGGATTTGTTATATTTGAAGGTAGTTTTCGCAACTTCTAGTGTTCACTTTTGTTTGAGACTTTTATCGGTGTGCTTGGTAAAAAAACACTTAACATGTTAAAGTACCGTACTTGTACATACTGTATTTATTATAAAATATTTAGCTCTTTTAATGTTAAACCAATGCTATGAAATAACAGTGTGATATAGGTTAGCACGAAAATTCATGCGTTAGCACTCCTATTGACAATTCTGATGAGTACTGGCTGGTTCGGCAACTGGTTCTCATTTCCCACTTTTTGAGGCCATTGCTTAATTCATGCATAAGCACAGCCAATACATATCAGAATCGTCAATAGGAGTGCTAACGCATGAATTTTCATGCTAGATATACATGTAGGTAAAACAAGTCGACTTTGATCAAATGTAATATTTTTGACTTAAGACAAACCTGAACGTTTAACTTCAAGTGATTTTGTTCAAACTCAATTTTTTTTCAAATAGAAGGATATAACATGTAATATTTTATTATCTCAGATGGATTGATAATTTGATCTATCCAGATTTTTACAAGTGCAAGGGAAAGAGTGGGGTGGGAATGGAAACAGTGGATTTCTCAGGATGCATATACTGATGTGGTGCAGGTCTTAGGAAGGAGCCATAGCAATAGTCCGAAGGTCCATTGGGCAGAAAATTCACTATAGCACCTTCGGACCAACAATCTCTTGATTGAAAAACTGATGAAAATGCTACAATTTTTCGGACCAAAGAACCTTCAGACCAATGAACTTTCGGACTATCAAGAGGCCCCCAAGAGGAAGGATCAGTTACTTGCTTAGGAAGAGGAAAAGTGGTTTAGATATCTTCTGTACTTCTCAAAATTTAGGTTCTCTATACATGATTTACCTGCCAAAATATATTTACTTGGGTAGAGGCAGCAATTTTCTACAACTCACGAATCATTGTTCTACCTACCTGGGTATCCCTGCACTTGGATTTGATGTTTTGTTCCATTATTAATATAATGACAAAGTTCTACAATGTAAATGACTGCCCAATCATTAAGAGCAAAATATATTCCTGTACATTTGAGAAGGAAACTATATCGACATCAGGTGCTTTTATTTGAGTGGTTTCTTAGTTTTTAGGGCCTATTAGCTGGAGAAGATTTGTAGCTTTTCAGGATAAGAAGCCAGAAAAAAGCATTTGGGAAATTTTCAAATGCCCAAATGAGCTTGGGCTGGAATTGGGACATGATGTTTTTAACTTACATAACCTGAATGCAATTTGAAGGTTCTGGTTGTTACATTTCGAAGTCTGTAAAATGTTTCTTTGGTTCCCAGGTGACATTTACCAGAACTTGTTTTATGCTCCTTTGGTAACCTCTTGAAGTTATTGTACACCATCTTAAGAGATCTTGAGATTTTTTTTATTTTATTTTTTTTATAACCAATTATAAAAATTCTTGCATGTCTCTTTATAGCACAAGAACCAAGAGATGAAATTGGTGCACATAATGGCAGTACGAATTTAATAGGAAAAATGAACAAACCAGAGTTACATTAAACCAAACTCCTGGCGTGTTGGAACCTGCTGATGTGATATTGTATATGTTGGGGTGTAACTCAAACTGATGTCTTCATAGGGGTACCCGTGCAAAAATTATAACTTGTTTTAGTATTGCATGATCCATCATATCTTTTCAAATATATAAAAAGAAAGATTATAAACAGGATTTATGCTTGAACAACTGTGATAGGGGCAAGGGGCACTTCTTGGCAGGCATCGGGTGCAAAAGAGATGTCAGTTTATTTTCAGGCACGGTCAGCTCACGACTCCTATCCTCGAATTCAATAGCAGCTTACATAAACCTAGGAGTTATAACTCCTTGCATAAACTTATTTCTGATATAACCAAGCTATTTTGAATAATAAATGAATGTTTTAAGAAGATGTGAATAACACATCTTGGCCTGAAAAAAAAATGCCTTTTGTTGTATATTGTAAAGGCAACATGGAGTTAATAACCCCATAACAATGGGTTTGAAGAGAGGATTACAGGAGACCCAAGATTACATCTGAAATGTTGCAATTTATATGATGTGAACTGATTTGTTCTTATAGGGGTAGCTATGCAAAAGTGACTTGATTTTAATTATTTTTTTTGTGAACTTCACCTTATCATTGTGAAAAAAAAGAGGAACAATACCCAATTCTTTCTTAGTTCTCAATTGTTGTCTTCAAAGTCATTTTGGAAATTTGAAGGCATGGTTTAGGTTTAACTGCCAGAAGTTCTCATCCCCTCACAATGTCTGTTACAAATATACAGTTATCAATGTCAATTTTTTTTTTTCAATTATTTTAGATAGATAAAATTATAATATATAATGGGTTCTGGCTGGGCATGACTGCAGGATGGATATAAGCAAATTTGTGAAAAAGACTTGTGAAAGACAACATGATATAAAACTGTGCAGATACTTTTGTATCAGCACAGCAGTGTTGCTGGAAGGACATCTTGAAAATGGCCTGTTGCTTTCAAACTTGCAGGACCCTCTTTAAAATTAGACATGTTCAGAAACTTTTCTTTGTTTCAAAAGCAATATTTATCATTTCCTATTCAGTTTTGTTGAAAGCACCAGACATCATACTAATGATAAGGGTTATTATATAATTTCAAACAAAAAATTAGTAAGCACTTCCATCTTGTATCCAATATAAAAGAGGTGTTTTACTTGAACATATTTTCAGTTTTATTATTTGCATATTGGCAGGTACCCTTCTTGCAGTTGGAGCAATATTGCTGGGTTGCACTGTGTGTTTCACGACACTGATTTCCATTGGCCTGACCTTCTTCCTGGTCACCAGCTGGATAGCATTCAATGCCACACTCGGGGTGTTACAGGCACTGAGGGAGTATATCAAGGAAAATGCATGAATCTCTGGAGGAGTGGAAAGTGATATTGAAATAATTCTAAGGGGGCATGTAATATTCTAACTTATCTCAAGAGGAGAATGATATAAATGGTTGTTTTTGTTTTTTTCACAAACTGTAAGAATATAATTTTGTGTCAAAGATATTTGATCTTAATTATTTACTAAACAAATGAAACCTTTTTTAAATATCTTTAAGTTACTGCTCTCTTTCTGTTGTAACAGTTGTAAAAACGAAATGAGATAATTATACAACAAAAACCTGTTAATGTATTTTATTCATTGAAAAGAATATGTGTGTGTAACACATTTCAAAAAATTATTTGCCCTGCTCCAGCAAAATCCTTTCAGAAACTTTTACAGTGGTGCTCAATTTGCATGGATAAATAAGGAACAAGTTGTACAAATATGAATGAAAAACCCTCCACTTAATCAAGCATAGTTCACCATGATGTGGGTGCAATTCCTTGCAACTGAACTGAGGAATATGCGCATGAACGTTTCTGAAAAAAAAAAGTTTGCAGAAGCTTTTTCATCAGGGCGAAGGATTCTTTATGAATAGAATATATTTTTGTATTGTTATAACCTTCTTAATTAGTATGTACTACATTTCAGGATTCTGAGTTTTATATCTTAGAAGACATTGCATTTTGTAGTTGCAAGTAATAGATGTAGTACTCGCACAGTATTATTGAGAAGCACTCATCAGTGGTCTTTATTCATCTATGTGAAGTCTTTTGGGGGAATAAGGTATTATATACACATGAAGGGGAAAAATGAACTGACAATATTATGAGATGCATCAGTTATAGTGCTACATATATATTTTGTGTTCTCATTTAAGGCATAGAACATCTCCACAAGTGTTCAAGAAGGCTATGGTTGCAAATAAAAATGTTTTTAAATGTTGTAATGGAGCTTTATTTTATGAGTCCATATGAGTGAGACTGCATTTTTTTTTGGGGGGGGGGGGTAGGTAATAGTAGAGCTATACATCCACCTTTCCCCCCCAAGATGTTAACATTGTACAAATACCAAGTTGCCATTTAGAAGCATTTATGGATTCTAGTAATGCACTTTAGTCCCAGAACAATTGTTCCCAAATTTGTTAGATTTCTTGTATTTTGAGTGACTACAGAAAAGGAATGTTTCACAAAAAGAAATGCTAAGTGTTTGAGAACAGATTTATTGTCAAATGCATATTATAGACTAGTACATATAAAGGGGTAAACAAAAATCTCTAACATAAATGGATATTATTCACATCTGGAATGACTTTTTCCAAGCAAGTTGATTCAAAAGGAGGCCAGTGAAATGACTGGTCACCAAGTCCGAGACAAACGCATTATTATACAGGTATTTTTCAACAACTTGCTAATTTTTCACCAGCGATATTTCTACAGTCCATTTTTCCTACCAGTCAATAGTAACCAATGCACCATGGGTCGAAGGTGGGGGGGTACAGTTAAAATTGGCATTATGCCGCAAAAATGAAGGACTTCTTAATCATGTGTGGCAAAGTGCATCAATACAGAGACCTCTTCAAAAGAAAACATCGAATTAAAAAAAAGACTTGGTTCAAAAGAAACGACTGCAATTTTAGTACTGAACATTAAAGGAAGAATTACACCATTTGCGAAAGATGGGCACAATACAGAATTTTTATGAAATCTATCTTATGACCTTGTTCTTTATACACTGAATGTATAAAGGACCACTACCATATAACAAGACTAAAAGGATAACTTCATTTTGGCTAAAAAAGGAATTTTTCTTAAGTTAAATGCCAATTTTCCCATACCAATGGTTGATGAATCCACTTCTACATTCAAAGTAAGTCCCCGTTTTTGTTTTTGTTTTTTTGTTGTTGTTTTTTTTCTAAAAAGCTTGTTTTCTGGTAATAATTATAATAAATTATTACAGAGTATAGCTATCTATGGAGGTCACGTGGTACGATGACGGGCACAGATTTCGGAATAATTGCTATTACTGCTGTTTTTGTGGCAAAATAGAATATATTATATTGCTATGAGTTGTTTACAATCCATTTATTGTGAAATATAGATTTCATATGAAAAGTTGTTATCCCTTTAAGGTCATTCAAGTTAAATGGAAGCTATGAATGTATCTGTTTTAGGAAAATGGCACAAATAAATTCTTCATAAGAAAATTAAAATTTTTATTTTGAAAATTTCTCACAATGGAGCCTGGCAACAAAAAATAATGGAACTCTTATACTGTATGAGAAAAAAAAACTGTTGCAATTGACAAACTGAGCAACAAACAAGAGGTCTCTAGCTTTTACAGTTCCAGAATTTTCAGTTTTTATTTAGATACCTAATGGCTGCCTTTTCCATGAGAACGCACCAATTGACCCCAAAATCAGGATGATGAAAGGAAACCCCAACTGTAACTTCTCACCAAAATATTAAAGCTTATGGGCACAAACAAATTTTTCCACAAAGAAATTAAGTTTTTACAAATTTTTGGTCCATTGACCTTGAAATATAGGTTAAATCCAAGGTCATATTCAAAATCTCTACATAGAACTTTCAGTCCAACTCCTAGAGTAACATTTCCCATAATTCCCTTAGTTTGGGAGATATTTAGCATTTAATTCTTAAAATGTGCAGGAAAAAAACCAGCATAACTTACACCCCATTTCCATAGATTTTTAGATCGATCTATCCCTGTGGGGAGTCTCACTAGATTACTGTCAGCTTGGCCAGCTTAAGCGTCTGTCCCGCCTACTAAAAGCTGTAAGGGGGTAATTAACTGTGGTGCCCGTTGGGCTGACTGCAATTTAGCGTCAACCCCCAGGGAATTAGGTCGATCTAAAACTTAATCTTTAGATCGATCTAAATCTCTGGGAAAGCACCCTTACTCAACCTCTATTTTGTCAATATTCATCAGTTCTGCAAGTTTGAAAACAAAAAGTCAACTAGTTTTTCACTAATTTGTATATTTATGACTTATTTACATGAGTCATCACTTTAAATAACCTATTTTTTTGTCTGTACATAAATACAATTTGCACAACAAAAGCTTTAAAGCCACTGTTTACTTGACGTCTTTCACCAATTTACATTTCGCATCTATGGACAATAAGAGGGATCCAACACACCAGTTACTTTATGTCCAGTGAATCAACAATTAATATTTGACATATTCGTCATCATCACTGCCAAATCCACCTCTTCTGTCGAAACTGTCAGAATCGACTTCATCAAAAAAGTTATCATCATGCCTTCTCCCGCCTCTCTGTCTGCCAAAACTGCGAGAATCTACATCATCATCATACCTGCTCCCGCCTCTCTGTCTGCCAAAACTGCGAGAATCGACATCATCATCATCATCATACTTTCTCCCGCCTCTCTGTCTGCCAAAACTGCGAGAACCGCCTTGATCAAAATAGTCATCACCAGACCTTCTGAATCCTCCCTCTCTGTTGCCGCCATAGGGTCTGTTATATCCACCCCTGCTCTCTCCTCTGAAGGAATCCCCCAAGCCTCCACGACTTTGGCCCACACTTCTGTAGCTCCAGCTTCCAAACCTATTCCTTTTCCGTGAGCCTCCTGCAGGGATGATTGGTGGGCCTCTGGAAAAACAAGGTATCTTTCAAGTAAACTTTACTTCACTTATTGAGCAACTCAGAATACTTTTATTCTGATCATTTTAAGAGGAAAAGGTGGGGGGGGGGGGGGGGGGACGACATTCAGATTGGTTGTCCTACTTAATGACCATTATTTTATTTTTTTTTTGTACAGAAGACCTGGGAGTAAATATTTTATCAATGTGTAATAGCTGCATCCTCTACTACTTATGCTAGAAATCCACTTAAATATCTAGATTTCTATAAAACTGACCATACTCAACTACTACTATTTCTCAATTTAACCCAAGTTTTTGTTGTACAGTTTCTTATATAGTATTATATGTATGCATGAGTACCTGAGGACAGCTTCCGACCTTAGCTTCAAATCACTGTCAGTGATTTCTGGACACTCTATTTGCCTAATATCAACTTGTTGCCTTATCTGGAATCAAGGAGAAAGAAAAAAAGTAGGCAATGACCTATAGGCTGTTTCATACAAAATGTTTTTGAAAAGCCCATGTCAAAAAATAAAAAAACAATTCAATAATTTCAGGTATATGAGCCAATAACAACTTTATGCTTTCAATCAAAGATTTTTGTCAAATCTACAACAAAGGGGGGAAAAATAAAACTATTTCAAAAACTACTTTTTGAACAAATTACATTTTTACTGAATTGAGCAAGTAAGTAATAAGATTTTCCTCACCTCTCTGATTACATTACTTAGACTATTACTAAGACCTTCTCCAGGATGGATCAATATAGAGTAGCCTTGTCGCCCAGCGCGTCCCGTTCTACCAGATCTATGAATGTAGTAGTCCAATCCATTTGTTGGGGGGTCAACTAAACAATAATGATATATAATTACTTTTTTATACAAAGATGCATTTAAGGTGTTACTTGATGAGCCTTACTACAATTTCACTTGAAAACATACAAATACACAGATATGAAATGCATGCGAAGCAAGAATTGAAAGTTCAAAACCAATATGCTGAAGTAGTGAAGAGATACTCTAGCAGTGGGCTTGTATTTTCAAAGCCTAGATGCAAAGATGCAATATCAGAAATCTAGGACCATATCTGAAGACAGTATTTAAAGATCTAATTTTCTCTTACCCTGAATCACCAAGTCCACCTCTGGAACATCCAAGCCTCTAGCTGCAACATCTGTTGCCTGGAATTTTGGAGAAAGAATTTGAAGGCAAGTGTGAACATGTCATTGGTAAGCATATAAGTTTCAGTTTGTAGCAGCCACTTCTTTTACCACATTCTTTTACCATGAAAATAACAAACTGATAGACCTCAAATTTATACATTATAGTAAACAGAATCCGATTTTAAAAAGCCATTTTTAGAGAGCCCATGCTATCAAATTCTAATATCTGTTCAAAAGTTTCACTTTTGCAAGAAAAGAATGTTTATAATTCTCTAATAATCTAATTTGAAGTCAATTTAAAAATTTAATATGGCGGGGGGGGGGGGGGGGTCCAGGGGGCGCTAGATGGCTTGCTTGCTAAACCCTTTTTTTCTGCAGTCAATAAAGAGGACAATGTCATGCAAAATTAAAGATCATTTAAAGTGAAAAGGAGCCTGATGACAAATTAAATATCTCCAAATATGCCCTTAACAAGTTTTGGCAGTTTGAAACTTTGAAAAAAATTTCAAGCCTGTCTACCTACCACTAAGCTTTTTATTTTTCCCATCCTGAAACCCTTTAAAATTTGTTCTCTTGAATTTTGACTCAGATTGGAGTTTATGGCTTTGGCAGAATGTCCACCTCTGGAGAGAGCCATGGCAACCTCTTTGGTCTGCACTGTAATAGTGAATTCCAGATGTTGACAATAAAATTTATTAATAATAAAAAATTTAAAAAACTCGCAGCTTAAAGTTACATATAAAGCAAGTGTGGATTCCCAGTAAAAATATATTAACCACTTCTACTGGTTTCTTATATGGCTAAAATAAACTCCACGTACCGAATCATATACCAAATTAGTCTCATGTTCTGCCAAAAATGATACAGCTTAGGGATATTTATAGCACAGAAAGAAAGCAGAAAACATCCATTCATATATCACTTTTCTGGAAATATGAAACTATGCCCATTGGTATTTCTCTAAATTATAATATCTGAAACTAGATGGTGGCATTTGGCCAGGTTTTGTGGCAAAATTTTGACAATTAATACATCTTTAACATTTCAATAATTTATCTAAAATGAATTGTGTTGGAGCTTTATCAGTTAGGTGAATTGCACAAAAAAAAAATAATAATAATAATAATAACTCCTGAAAGCATTAAGAGCACTACAGTGTGCCAAATTAGAGCAAGTCCAGAGAACTTAAATAGAACAAGAGAGTCCAAGTCATTTCCTAGTAAGGATTTGTTCAACAAGTAATGAACACACTCCAAAATGAACTTGGAACACTGACAAATGTACTCTGACTGAGAGGACAAAATGTAAGCAAATGAAGCATGTGCAGTGCAACATTTTACTAAAGATGTAGGTGATGGCTTTATGTACAGAATATTTCTATTCAGATACACTAATAAAGCATCTTTATCTCTTCAAAAGTGTCTTCACATACACACACTCTACTCATCCAGCAAAGGCACATAATATTTAAGAAGTGTTGCAGATGAGGATGAGGATATCTACATACCTTTGGTTGCTAAAAAGACAATACACCTATTGTGGCAATATTCTCTGATACAAGCACTCACTGCTGCAAGCATTTTCTCTCTCGGCATGAGTAATTCCTAAATTTTTAAGATGTCAAATATATAGATCAAAGGATGTGCTTAGTTAAAATAACAAACAAAATACACATTTTACTTATTATTCATTATAAACATGTTATAACTACTGCATATATGTACATAACAACAATAACTGAAAGTGTTATTCATATTTAACAACAGTCCATTTTTTACAGTGGAGAAAGGAATTCCTCAAATTAGCAAAGGTCTATTGATGCATCACTCACATACTTACACAATGCTGGACATGCTTCATGTTTTTCTCCTGTGCATCTGCAATGTCCACATACTCAACATCTGTTATATATCTATAAAAGAAAATGAACATAAAAAATTCACCTGTCCAACACACAAACTACACATTTCAACTAGAGGTTCAGAGAGACAATTATTGAAGGTCTGGAAGTTCTGCAAAGTGTATCACCTGGTGAAAGGGTCAAATTCAAGGTCATGTCTCCCTATGCACGATTTCCTGTTCAAAGTCTGGATGTATCTCTTCTTGTTTCAGAGCCATAAGGGCTATAGATTTTGCAAAGTACATTTCATGATGGAGAGTGGACCGATGGTCAATTTAAGGTCACATTAAAATCCCAATAGATATTTTCCAATTCAAGTTTAACATAAACTATCTCTGCAAGATTTGGAGATACTTCACATTTGATTTTGAAAATTATTCATCATTATGCATTTTGACATGGTACTTGTTGAAATAACGCAATTCCTTGATCTTATATAAAACAAGTAAAAAAGGAGACCATCTCTAGGATTGCACTTGCTGAACTCTTCACAATGCAACAAACAGGGGGTCTCAGCTTTTAAGGTGCAAGAATAAGTTTTCAGTTTTAGCATCTAATGATTGCTATTTCTGTGTAAATTCACAGATTGACCCCAAAATCACAAAGCTGAAAAGAGCCCCAAGTTTAAGTTCTCACCACGATGTAAAAGCACAGATCAATGAAGTTTCTGAAAATCAACAAAAATTAACTTTTTCTTTTCAAAAAATTTAGTTTTTTACAAAATTTTGCATCATTTGACCTTGAAATATAGGTCAAAACTCAAATATAAGGTCAGTTTTGAAGAAACCACAAATGACTTTCTTTGAAGCTTATGCAGTTATTTCCCCCATATTTTCTTGTTTGGAAAATATTTTACATATTCAAATTTTTTAACAGGGCACATTGCCATGAGTGCCACAGCTATGCAAATGGACTGACAGAGCCAAAATTCTTGGGGATTCAAGTAGATATAATTTCCTCAGGATGAGGGCACATGTCCTAGTAGTCTGAGATGTAGTAACAGTGACTACTATCCACCAAAATGCAGCAAAGCTGGCTGAGTGTCAAACGAGACAGGACAGGAGAAAGGAGAAAATATTCTAAGCGATCACAATGGTCATACATATATTACATACTCAACAAATAAATTAGAATATTTCTGAATAAAAAGAGAAAAAAAAATCTCCCCCCAAAAAATAGAGAACTTTTTCACTACTCACTCATTAGCTACTTGTCTCACAGACCGTGGCATGGTGGCACTAAAGACCAATGATTGACTTTGTTTCTTGGCAAGTTGCAAGACACTCTCTATGTCATCCTGCAACATGAAAGAAAAATGTTACATTCAAATATCTATAGTGTGTGGCAAGGAACTGAAAATATGATAAATAGAAATGCCATAAAAAACTGCACATCATTAGGGATGTCAGAAAAGAGAATTCCTCTTCCCTGGTCTTGCAAGGTAAAAAGTACCCCCCCCTCCCCCCCTGAAAGATGAGCTAAGGGTAAGGGTTATTCTGTAAATTGACAATAAACATTTACTTTGATCTAAAAAAATCTCACTTGTCTTTTTGAATAAATAAATAAATAACACTGTAAATGTCAATTTGAACAGTAATGTGCAAAAAAAAAATATAGAAATATACCGACTCTCAGAATATAGCACTGCTGTGGTGATAAAGTAAAAAAAAAAAAAACATACAATACAAACAGAATAATTTGATTATATAATATAAACTACTGTTTGTACCATTTACATGAAATACACGGAGTCATACAAATATCATTACCCTAAATTGTGGATTCAACAAATGGTCACCTTCATCCAGACATAAAAGCTTCATTTCTGACAAATTCTGAAAATAAGGAACCATATTGTTTGACACTTTTCAAATACCAGACAAACTTTATTGGCATCATTCAAATGAATTACTATATCCGCAACCTTTATATTTAAATGAATAATCAATTGAATTCAACCTTGCAAGATACAGTGGTGAATACTTCATATTTAACCAAATTCACTGCCTTTTGAGAAGACATTGGTACAAAAGCATACACCAGGTGTGGATTGAAATAAACAGATATAAATGTACTAAAATTTTCTCTCTCTCTTAAATTTTTCTTTAATTGTTTTAAAGGATGCACTTGATCTTTGCTTCATAAAATTAACAGATACTTGCACTTGTCTGAATGTAATAATCAATTTTGCTTTTTATAAATCATGCTTGGCAGGTTACATAAGGCCTCTTGGGGGACATTTTCCCCTGCGTTATATAATAATGAACTCTTAAATATCCTTATGTCAGACACAACAGACAATTTTGAAGTCTGAAACTATAAACAATATTTAACTCTGTACAGGTCCCTGAAAAAGCTAAAACAAAGAGAGGATGAGACTTACGCAATTACTACGATTTATGAGGTCCATGAGTCTACCTGGGGTTGCTAAGACAACATCTACCCCTGCTCTGAGTTTATCCATCTGTACAGAAATACTATTTCCACCATACACAGGCACACAGCGCACCTTTGGATTTAACTCCATGATACACCTTGGAAAAGACAATTATGAAACAAGAATTAATGCAATACACATTACTCTGAAATGAACTTTGAAGGATGAACAAGTTTAACCTCAGTACTATATAGATATCCAAACTGACGTGATACCCCCCCCAAAAAAATAAAAATATGTCAATCAGATATGCGAGCACTTAAAATCAGCATCATAAGATCTGGAGAGTTAAATGTATTTCATCAAGTTCTAGTAAAAAAATTCTTTTCAAACATGACCCAATAGTCTACAACCAGAAATTTGATTGGTGTTCCTCTTCATACCTGTAGTTTTGTAGACACAATTCTCTTGTTGGGGCAATCACAACTGCCAATGGGTGACATGGTTTCCTCCTGAATCCTCTTTCCAGCCTTCCACTATGTAAACAGCAGATAAACGTATTAAATTCAACAAAAATAATAAAATGAACCATTGTTACCAATCCCCATGATTATCAAATTACAAAAACCTACAAAGCTTATCTTAAACTGAAGTACTTAAAGCCAGTTACAGCATATATTACTACAGGAAAAATACACATACACATCTCATTTACTTTCAAAGGGCACCTTTTCCCATCTTTTCCTTAAATGACAACTAATAACTAATAACAGCTACAAATTGTATTACCTTCTCATTATCAGCTCTATAATTGGTATGCCAAATGCCAAGGTTTTCCCACTGCCTGTGGCTGCTTTGCCAATTACATTTCTTCAAGAACAAACGTGCATACTTAGTATCATATGAATGTGATTTTGACTATCATATCTTGTGAAAGCATCATCTTTGAAGGGGTTGAGATTGCAAAAAAAAATTTTCTTCCAGGAATTGCAATCAAGTTGTGTAACCAGGGCTTTGGCACATCATATGAGTGAAGCCCCATCTCAATGTCACATCAAAACCATTAAAAACTTTGATAAAAGATCTCAAAAAATGGTAAATTGTACTTATTATGCTTTATTAGGTTAGATGAAAGCTTAGTTCATATTAAATAAGCTCAATTTTTTCAACTTAATAGACAATCTACAGTTTCATCATGTGTGGTTTTTCTCTTTTACAGTTTTGTTTTCACAAAACAAATGTAATTTTCATGGCAAACATGCATTTCATCTTTCTTTTTATGAATGATTTCACAAACATGGGAAGAAATTTCACCCAACTTACTTTCCTTCTAAGAGGGGTTTCAAAGTCTTGGACTGAATTTCAAATGGTGCAGAATAGCCAAGGTCTTCCAAAGTTTCAATCAGTTCTTCATCTATGTCATAATTTGACCATTTATCATGTCTGAAAGGAAACATGGAAATTGCATTTTTAATTAATCCTATCAATTATGATGATGTCGGTGATTATTATTATCATGTATCTTTTTTTTTTTTTTTTTTTTTTTTTGGGGGGGGGCACATTTTGACTTAAACTGACAATGACTATTTAGCAGTATCTTACTGGTCTTCTTCCTTATACGCTCTCTGGTCTCGCCTGAGTTTATCAACTTCAGTTTCATCAATGTCAGCAAACTCTTCCCCATCTTCATCCAGATATGGCCTGCCCTGCCCATAGACACTCAGTACACTTGACCTGCTTATTAAACGCCTCTGTATGGATGTGACAAGAAGCTCTGAAACACAAATATTGTATTTATTTATTGGAGTTTCAAAAATATTTTGCACAGGCTGCAGGATGATCTTTAAGAGATTCTATTTTTTATCAAAATACTCAAAATGCTGGAAATCAGAGATCACATTTTTTTTCAAGGCTCATGTCAGCATAGTATATTTTTGACAAAGGTTTTAAGATAAATTTCTTTGGCAAGATTAATCTGAATTTATCTGCAGACTATTTGGGAGACAAGATAATCAGTGGGAGAGTACAAGAATGTTGGATAGCCGATCAGGTGGTGCTCAATTTTAAGCTGAATCTTCTACACTGGGTCTTACAACTATTTCCTTTTTTCAATGGCTTTCTGCCTGCCATTATTTTGTGACAAAATGTCTGGGCTTTTCAACAGTGTGGGCCTTATAAAAGTAATTACGGGAAAAAAATTGACAATTGCTGAATCAAAGGCCAAAGGTGCAATATAACATCATAGGGTGGACTGCTATTTTGTTATATTCTACTTCTGTAAGATTTACCCCATTCCTTTGCAGACAAACAAATCTGTTGTAAAACATAACCCATAGCCATTATTATGAAAATCTTTCAACAACTGGCCTATAATTTTTTATCAAAACCTGCCCCCCACCCCCATACCTAACCTCTCTAGCTAGACACCTTAAAAATAAAATCAAGGGACGTATTCCAAGATGTTCCTTTAGATAGTCCTAAGGTCAACTTTTAGGCTTCCTTTGATGAGGTGTTCCTTGGTAAAGGAAGGCCTAACGAAATGGTATTCTAAGACCACACTAGCCTCTCCTTTGATAAGGAATTACTTTGACAAAAGTCAGCCTTTAGGTAAGGGACACTGACATAAAGGAGCTCCTCAGTGGTTAGAGTAGGCCTTTGTGACACCCTCCTTGTTAAAAATGCCTCAGTAATGTTGTATAATATTGGGGTCAACTGACCAATTTCAGTCATGCAACAGCACATATGGACATTATCACTGCATGTGGATGTTTTGATCCAAGCCAAATTTTGTGAATAGAGTTTTCGTTGCCGGTGAGATATGCCAGCTAGATTAATACGTCATCGGTTTGTGCGCACTTGTGACGTTTACCGCGTTCATATACCGTCGTCCTATCTAGTCTGCAGAATACAAGCGCTCCTATCTAGCCAGTGCGGAAGATTATTGAAAATAGTTATTTAAGGTTATGTTGGCTAATTTATATGCCTTATGTACTTTTTTACAATAGTTCAAGTGTACGTTCATGCAAATTTCGACTTTTTAAGAGAGAGGAGTCGCTAGTTTGGTTTATCAGGCACGTAGTCAGGGGTTGATCGTGGGGTTCTTAGTAACCGCCATTTTTGTCGGGAAAAATTGCACTTTTGGGTAATATTTGTCTCCTTTTTCATAAAAAATAATCTCCCCCTTGGAAATAGAGTAGCACATTACTGGATACATTTGCACATACGTAACAATCTAGCCATTGTATCCCAACTGCACCGGAAACTCTCTAATAAAGCAAGTATGCCAAGAAGAGAAAAGAATGGTTTGGAGGATGAGAAAACCAAAGTCGTAGACCTTTTTCTGATATCGAAAAGCAGCTACTGATGCAATTAGTCAACAGAGAAAAGCCTATCCTCGATCAAATGTATTACTTCCGCCAAGGAGGTTGTTTTCACCCCTGTTTGTTTGTCTGTCTTTTTGTTACCTCCACCAAGGAGGTTATGTTTTCATCCCTGTTTGTTTGTCTGTCTGTCTGTCTGTTTGTTTGTTTGTCATCAACATAACTCAAAAAGTTACGGACAGATTTTTATGAAATTTACAGGGTAGGTCAAAAACGGGTTACCTTAGAAGTGGTTAGTTTTTGGTGGTGATCAAGATCAATGATCAATCAATAATCAAAAATAACTTAAAAAGTTATGGGCCGATTGTGATGAAATTTTCAAGAACTGTCACAAGTGGGCCAAGGAACAGATTATAAGTTTTTGGTGGTGATCCAGATCAATAATCAATCAAAAAACTAAATCATTATAGAATGAAAATTGGGTGGAGACTTTGCTGCCTTGGTGGAGGTCTCCGCTCTCGGAGTGCTTTTCTACTTAAATCTAATGATTTTGAATTTAGATAGGCATGTTGGTTTACATAGTCCTCCATGGAGCTGATTTTCACAAGCGAACTGTACATGATGGCTGCTTAAGGAAGACTAAAAGTTACTCAAGACCAACTTTACATTTTAATGAATCCTCAGCCAAAAATAAAGGAAATCTTTAAGCAAAGGCAGATTCTAGAAATGACCGATCCCTTTGTTAAGGATGATTGTTAAGTGATTCCTTCAAGTAAGGTAAAGAAAGGTCTTGGAATACAAATTTCGTATAAGGTCGACTTTAAAGTCTCCCTTAACGCTAAAGGGAGATTCTGGATACGGGCCAATGTCTGCTTGTAAGACCAGACTTCACGAATGGAGATTTCATTGTTTCATTATATACATATATTTAACTGTATGGAATTCTACCTGGGACTACAAAAGGTTGAAGGGTGAAACTGTCTCATGCAAGATATACTGATATTTGGTGAGGGGTCATTTGGACGTTGGTGGAGTAAGTGTTCTTGTTTCCGAAGCCCAATTATAGATCATAAGTGTATGGCGACAATAAAAATTCTCCCTTTGTTCAGACTTTTGCGCCACAATTAACTAGGGTCCAAAATATAGTTGATGTGGTTTATAGAAAAATCAACTGGTTAAGGTGACAGGCGAGCGAAACTGGGTCCACTTACATTGGCGAGACCTTTCACTAAAACAAACGTGGGTCTTCATAGGCGCACGTGCTCATTTACTAACGGGGCGCACGCACATTTAAACTACGGAGGTGACTGAATAATAAGGTATTTGATGCTCGAAAACTTAAAAAACTTACTTGTATTTTGTTGTAAGAGACGCGGCACATGCCTCTGTGGCACAGTAACACATACTGACAAAAAACCACGAGCTTGACTTATGAAACGTGCTCTCAGCGTGGCCGACATCTTGTTTTTCTATGAAGAGGGACACGTTCTAGAAGTTTGTATTTGACATACGGATTAATTGCGGTGGTTATGGGAGAGAAAATTTGAAACATCGTACACATCTTGGTGTTCAAAGATGATGACAATGACAGACAAGAAAATAACTCCATACATTATATGAAATTTCCCTGTCAATTTTTAAAATAAAGGGATATACATAATGTAAGTGGTTCGTCATGCATTTTGACCTTGACCTCTTGCATCGCCTGTGTCAGTGTCCGCCTGTGTCCCTCCTGAAACAAAGGATGAATGAGACAGAGTGTGTGTAAGTATGCATTGGATATTGTACACATATATCATTTGGGAAGGGGCCTTAAAGATCAAACTTAAATGGTTTTAATTATATACTTTTCAGCTATAAAATTCTACAGAGATTATATTTTTATNACAATAGGCTGAGCACACAAAGACACACAGGGTGCTCTGCTGCGCCTGAGTGATCACTGCTGGTCAGTGGGCACAGGTTTTGAGCTGAGAAGTGTGGACACTTTTGGTGGATTTTTGCAGTTAAAAAACTTCAATATCTTTGTTGCTTGTAGGAATATTTAAAAAATTCCAAATGATTTCATCCGGTTTTTGCATTACCTTTCAGATGATATAAGTATTTTAATTTTCTGATCAGTTTGAAAATTTTTCTGATATACCTAATTTTTATGTACAGTACAGACATCGTGTAGTTTCTGTTTTCGACCCGAGTGTAGTGTTACATTGTGTGACACTCAAATTACACTAGATGATTTAATAGTATTATTTCATAATCTGGGTGTTTAAGTTATGTGAAAATATTGTTGAATTTCAGATTACCAAAGATAACCAATGAAGACATCAACATCCTCAAAAATCTGAAAGGGACCCCATTGGCCTATATTGCTTCAGTGGATGTTCCAAAAGTAGATACACCATTAGGAGAAGTGCAACTTGGCTCATATCTATCTTATCAGGTAAAAATCTGCGTGATATCACATTACATTTCGACAACAAGTTCTCATCAGCTTTTGGCCAAAAAGTGGCAAAATTGGGGTAAAAATCACTGTATACAATAAAAGCATTTTCACTTCTATATATACACATTTTCATTTAAATAAGTACCATTAAAAGTTATTTCTACAATTATACTTTATTTTTTAATCATCACTCATCTTCATTTGAGCTTTTATCAGTGACAAAAGTATCTTGACATAAAGTTAAAAAGCAACATATTGTCCATATCTTATTAACACTCTGAAATAAGTTAGTTGGTACACATGTATGACATTTGAAAGAATTTGGTAACTTTTAACTTTTGCAATTAGTTTTTCAATATGAACCCTGTGTTTAGCTATTTTTTGAGTTTGGTATGTTTGTGCTGCTGTCATTTGGGCTCCACTAGATGAAAATGGAGGAATGTTCAGACTGAGCCCTAATGTTTTTAATTCTTTTTTTTTTTAATATTGTAAATCCTTTGTCAGTCATGACAGAGTGCCCCTCAGCAATATAACCTTGTTGCTTAAGTTTATTTAAAAAAATCATAAAATCCACTCTGTTCAGTAATGCATTTATCAGATATAGACCCAGTAAATAGTTCTGAAATGAAAATAACCGATCCACTGGGATCACAGCCAATAAGACCCTTCAGCGTTGTATTGGACTTATAATCACTATACATCTGACTTTGTAAACCAAGAGCAGATGGAGTTGGTGTTTTGAACTCGGTTCCATCAATAATAACCAAAGTATTTTGAAAGTCTGCTTTAAACTCTTTTGGCATATTCTCAATAATGATATTTCTATGCGGCCATATTGACATTTGTCCAAACTTAAGATATATGTGGGCTATCCATGTATTAAAAACACTTCCAGCAGACTGAACAGTTAAACCAAACCTAATGGCAATATCCTGTAAGCCAAAATTGTGACGTAACTGTGTCAACACTGAAAATAAGCAGTCCTCTTGTGTCAAAATTTTAATATCATTCTGACCTTTTTCGTGCTGTAGTATATAGTTGTCTGGTATCAAAAATTTGAACAGACTTTTAAACAGCTCATGAGTAATTCCTGTGTAGTACTTAAAGAGTCCCTTTTTCTTCTGTTCTTTGTCTAAAACGCTTTCTATTCCAAATTTCATTTGATCATCAATTTTTTCTTTTTAAATTTAGCTGTTTATTTTCATCTTTCAATTTAATGATCATTGACTCCAACTGCTTGATTTTATTATTTTTGTAGTCTAATTCACCATGCAATATGTGTAAATCTGTGGATATAGCTAACATGCCCATTGGAGAAACCCCTGCAATGTAAAAGAATATATTTACAATTATAATTAATGTATATGTTGACATGAGTTCTCATTTAATTATACAATTAGTTTTCAATTATGACTGGTTTATTTCAGACAAGAAACATCAAAAGGACAGAAGATTCAGTCCACAGAATTGGTTGTGGTAACAACTCTGTTTCCAAACCATCGCCAGTGATTTTACCCCAGGAACAACGAATTATTTTGAACAATGAATAAAATAACAGTTAAGCTGGATCTTACAACCAGAGAACAATCTTTGTCAAAAGATTGGTTTGAGGCACACAATACCAGACTAACTGCCTCCATTTTTGTTCATGTGATCAATAGAAAATCAGTACCTACTACATGGTACATGGGAAGGTTTTAGCCGTTTTAGTGACGAAAGTTTTAAAAGAACAACCTTTTTGTATAAGATTTGCAAGTTATTAATACAAACAAATAAAGAAATTAGACTGTGCTAAAGGAGTACCTATTATTAGATGCACGTTTATTTCACTGATACAACTTTTCCTTGATTACTTTTTTTCACAATGCCTGGTAATGAAGGTTCTGCAAACTTACGTTCTAAAATCATGCAGTTTTGTTGTGTTGCCTATGGAACATTTAAATGTGCCCTGTTACATGTACCATATTATACATGTTATCATGACTGTAACTGAAATGAATATTTTACTAATGGCTTAAATATTACAAAAACATCAAACAACTAAAAATGATGACCTGTGCCAAAAGACGTGAGGAAGATTTTTTAAATGTATTTTATTTATTTTTTTAATTAAAAAATTAATGTATTTTATTTATTTTTTTAATTAATTAATTAATTTATTTATTTATTTATTTTTGGCAACAGTTGAAATTTGTCCAAAATCTATATTCTGAGGATACAACAGAGAACTCGTTTTCAGTTCCTTTTCTCTGAACCAAATTGAGATCATAAGAAATAATTTTTCAAATATCTGATTCATCCCTCTATGTATTTTTGTGATAAATTTCAAATTTCCCAATTTTTAATATACAATTTATAATGTTCATGTTTATTAAATAGTGGAATAGTGAAATTTGAGACCCTTCAAAATAGAGCTAATTAATGTGCTCCACCTGACACCCCCTCCGATGGAATGAACTAGACCAACCAGTGTAATGGCCTCACCCTACCCATCACTCCTTAAGTGGAATGGACTCACCCCATCTGACACCCCCTCCTGTGGAATGGACTCGACCCACCTGTTACCCCTCAACTGGTATGGACTTGCCCCACCTGACATCCTTCAAATGGAATGGGCATGCCCCACCCAGCACCCCTCCTTGGCGTGGACTCGGCCCACCTGACACTCTCCCCCCCCCCCCCCCATGATAGAATGGACTCGTGCCCCAGTACAAAGTATTATCTTCCATACACTTAAACTATACAAATCGTTCAATTTCTGGATTTAATTACCTGAAACACACTGCTTTTCATAAAACACCAATCCGGTAATCTGAGCGTGTAATCACAGATGTTATGACCCAATCCTGTTTCTTTTCTTTCAGACTCGCACGACGGCGAAACCACAGCTAGCGTGTAGTTTCGTTTCCCCATTCAGATTCGGCCCAGGGACTAAGCGTAAATAGTGGAGATTGCAATTGATGACGTAATGACCCGGTCTCATGAATATCAAATGAGACTAATAGAATTAGCTATATCCGGTACCCACTTTTTAGTGTGTAATTCACGTAAAACGATTTCATGTCATCACTGTTTAACCGCCGATTCAGGATCGCGGCTTGCTTTCCCAACTCTGTGAAGTGAAGTGTAGGCCTACTCTTCCCTAATGATTTTTATATGTGTTTAATGCTACACTTGAACATGGTGGTTTATTGAGTATAACAGTTTATTTTAACTCTTTTGAACTTTGGTTATTTTAGGTACGTACCGCCATACCAAAGGTTTTTAAATTCTCACCGCTCTAGTCCGACTAACTCCAACCTCCATTTGTAATTAGCCGCTAGGTGTAGTTCAAACAGCGAAAGACATATACCCCATTCACACTACAGTTGCAAAAATGCACATTTTTTCGTGAGAAATTCGATTCGGTAGGCAGCGATGGGCGACCGCGTCGGCAGCGACCACTGCTTGCTATTTAGCTAAATATAAGCTCTTCATATCATTATGTTTCGAAAACATTGTGGGAACGTTTTAAACACGTTTAGATGCGACCATGATAACTGTGCAAATTGTAGTGATACAAATATGAAATCATTTTTTCATGTTTATTTTTAATGTATAATATGTAAGTATAAATACGTTGATAATAACAGTGGCAATGTAAAACGTTAGAAAACGTTAGAACTTTGAAATGAATAAATATCTTCTTGAAATTAATATATAAAACCGAACAAAAATTCTACGATACAAAGAACGCCTTTAATATGAGATTCATGTTGTTATACTATACAGTTTACTTTAAGTTGGATATGTGATATGTGTAGGCAGTGCAAAATACAATGTCATACAATAAAAAAAAAATTAAAACCTTTAAAGGCCCATTGCATTTATTACCAGTACCAAAACCCTTTACTTTGTGCTATCGGTATACAGGTGCAATTGAGAAAAATGTTTTCTAAATAGGATTTTTAATTAATGATCATATTATAAAAGCTTATTTACAGAAACACGATGAACCCGAGCAGAAAAGCTTAAATCTTATAATTAATGCTAAATAATGTCAGGTAATAAAAATTTGGTGTTATACTAAAGATGAAAATATCAATATACATTGGTTAAATCTTTTCAAATTACCATGTACCATGTAAGCTATGTACATGTAAACTGCGTAATCTATACTCACTGTGCGATCATGCGACACTATGTTAGCCAGACTTGCCAATCACACCAAAAAGCATCTCTGCCGCTCAAACCTATAGACTCACTGTTGAACAACGGTTGGCATTTTCTTCAAACCAAGCTTTCGAAATACTACATAATCAAATACAATTCTACACGCATAACTTCTAGTTAAAGCCCAGGTGCATCTACACAGCCTTGCTTTTCATATGCTCCGCATTTTTGTCATCCCGACATTTATTTGTAAGTTGACAGAATTGCACAACATTGATTTAATAAAACCTGAACATGTAAGAAATTATGCATGGATCTTTGTAATTTTTTAACAATATTTTTTATAAATTAAGTTAAAGACTTGATTAAATCCACAAAAACCTCACAAGTTTGTGTATGAATAACCAACTTTAGATGTTGTTTACCCAATTCTTCACAAAAGCAAATCTTTCCTTTAAAATATTAAAATGTCAGCTATTTAACGAAAAACAAACAAACACACACACTGCATGTTCCCACTGCCATGAAAACAAAACTCTTCCTTCGCTTTCCATGTAGAACTAACCCGATCCTCCGGCGCCTTCCCCTGCATCAGCGTCATCATCATCATCGTCATCATCGGACTTGCTGGCGAAGCAGGCGACAATCCCACTGCAGCAAGGACACATCTCAAGGAATGCATCCCGAAACTGTTGGTTCAGGCCCACATAGATGATAGGATTCATCACCGCGGCGCATTTAGCAAACATAGAGGGAATGTGAACCAAGAGCAGTGGCATTGAGTAAGGGTCCCCAAAAGTTGCGATGCATGAGACCAAAGCATAAGGGGTCCAGCATAACAGAAAATTACCTGAATAGGAAAACATTTCTTGAAACTGGAGCATTAATAGGCTTGAATTCAGAATAAAGTGTAATTTACATGTCCACACCACTCTTTGCTAATTTTTATAACCTAAACAAAGTGGAATTTCACCATTTAACACTTTCGATGTACACTACATTTTACACTTTCGGTATTGTTTTATTATACGTAAGATCTATCAACATTTTCATTCATTTTCTTGTTTAAAATAAAATAGCAACGTTGGGGTTTATCGATTTATGTAATTACGTTCTTTTAGTATAGGCCCTTAATTTTTCAATATCAAAATTGATTTAATAAAACCTGAACATGTTAGAAATTAAGTACGGATCTTTGTAATTTTTTAACAATATTTTTTATAAATTAAGTTAAAGACTTGAATAAATGCACAAACACCTCACAAGTTTGTGTATGAATAACATTAATGCACTTAGATTTGTCGTCCGTCACACTGAAACTAGACCGAAAAATTAAAAAATAGAGGGAAGAAAAGAGAAGGCTCGGTCGGCACAACCAAAATTCAAATTTTATTTGGCATAAAATGGTTTTTATTGTTAGAAAACATGAAGTTAATTTTTTTTTTTTTTTTTTTTTTTTTTTTTTTTGTTTT